GCAACTACGTGTTTCCGATCTTACTTCTCTGCGATCCGGTGGATGTGTTTTGCTACTGCTGCTTGAAAATTTTCGACCACACGTGGGAACCGCATCCGCCGCTGAAAACCTCCCGACACGTCTTTTTCGCGGTGGTGGACGAGACTATCGACGGCATCAAGCTGACCAACCACGAAACCTGGCTGCCCCTCTTGCGAAGAACCTGGGGCTCGTTGGCGTGTTCCTTGGACATGACCTTCGCGACGGACTTGGCCCTGACCGCGGTTTTGCGGGTTTTGCGGAACGCGATTGGGACATTGGCGTTTCTCTTCTTCTGGCAGTACCAACTCATCGAACAATCTTCCCCCTTTTCCTCCTTGACCCACCGGCTGTATCCTGTGCAAAAGTATCGTACTCGTAGTAATCGCAGTCATGCATTACAAATCTCCCTCTTAAACGTCAATCCACATATACAAATTGCATTTTTCATGCTGAGAGAATTTGTCATGCGATTTCTACTAGTACGATGCGTTTGCATTTCATAGGCTGTGGGCCACGGCAAATTTTGAGGAAACCAGCGCCCTGTGGGCACAAGGGTACCGGCCGCCGGTTATTTCGGTAGCTATTGCGAGGAAAAATCCTCCCTCCCCATATCGAAAAGGAAACTTGTGATGCTGGATTTGCGTATACAAATCGACTTGTATTGCTAGAATGCCAAGAGACGCAGCTGTGGCCTGAACTGCAGGCAGTTTGTCGTGCTGTTGCCCACTTCCAGCTGCCTCCTCTCATGCTGAAAGTGCAAGGCTTTCCCACGCCAGCCAGCACTACAGTCCGCATCTTTTGCCTTCTAGCATGACAACCAGATTTGTGGTGGCAAATCATGCTACACAAATCTCCGTTTTAGTATGGGGTGGGGGCTTTTTTCACTTTGATAGTGGCCGCGACGTCTTCTAGCAATGGCAATGGCGCAGCTGCAGCCGTCGCTCCTGAAAAAAACCCGCTAGTTGAAGAGATAAAACCACTGGTTCAACAAAGCACTGAATTTTTACACGGCGCCGCCTACACGTCGTCGACCCCGTCTCCGGTCTCCGGCGCTACTACGCTTTCGGACGACTTCTCCCTCACCACCCCCTCCCCCGATATTCTCCAGGCCGCGCGGAGCCAGGCGGCGTATGACGCGATAACGGATGCTGTCGTCGCGGAGGTGATGCAGCGCGCGAACCGAGCCGGGATAATAGCGAAGCGCTTACCGGTCCCTACCATGTGGCCGGAAGAAGAGCGGAGCTTTTTTTACGGGCGGAAGAGATTTGTGACGACGCAGGTCCACAGCATGTTCTTAACACAGAACTTCATGGACGAAAAGGATCAACATGAAGGGCGAGCAGAAAAACTACATCAAATCCCACCAGAAACTGCGCATCAAACGCCCAGTCTTTCCGACATTTTTCAAAACCTGTTCCTGGTTTTTCTCCTCCACCACACGATGCACATTTTCCCCGCCCTGGTTTTCGCCGTTCTGGTGTACAAACTGGATTTTGGTCTGTCAGAAACCGAAGAGCAGTATGTGGAAAGACTTGCAACTTTGCCGACACTCCAGCAGTTCACGCACAATACCTTCCTGCTCGCGACTTTTCTCGCGGTTGTCACTAACATGCTCCTGCAAATCCCACAAACGACCTACGAGTCCGGGTTCGAGGCTATGAACTGCAAAAGTATCGTACTAGTATGAATCGCATGACAAATTTCCCTAGCATGAGAAACAAAATTTGTAATGCGGATTTGCCTTAAGAAAAAGATTTGTAATGCATGGATGCAAATGCTACGAGTGCGATACTTTTGCACAGGATAGAGGCCTTGGTGTGGCGGTACGCCGTGCATATGAAGGCGGTGGAGAACGTATTCTGAGTAAAAAAATCCCCACCCCAGAGTTGTCATGCTGATTTGCAATAGCAGGATCATTTGTGATGCGCATCCCCATGATAGGCATTTGCAGTCGTGCTTTCGAATTTGTGATGCTGTAAACAGGATAAGCAGATAGGTTTTCAATGCGGCCGTCCTTGCCAACCTGCACTACACTACGGACAGCAACTTGTCATGCGTGACTCCCAAAGCTTCTAGGTTTGTGTTGCGAAATCCCCATCTTGACTCTGGGGTGGGCACATTTTCCTCACAATAGAATGAGAAGGAAAAAATCCGGAAAAGCCGCAAAGTCGCGGATCAACGGCGGAGGGACAGTATGGGTGGATTCTCAAAAGTTACATTCTCAACTGTTACATGATTTGTCATGCAAAACTAGCATTATCATCTACACGATCAAGCTGTTCTGCATGACAAATTCTGGAAGAGCCAAGCAGGCTGATAATCTGTGCCAAATCTGTCATGCAAGACACGCTGTGCCCCCCTTTCACTTTTCCCATTCTTGCATCACAAATTCATGTAACACTTGAGAATGTAACGCTTGAGAACACCATAGACAGCGTGCTGGGCGTGCAGACGTCGGCCGCGGTGATCGCGCAGCAGGATATCCTGTGCAAAAGTATCGTACTCGTATTGCAATCATGCATTACAAATCTTTTTCTTAATGTAAATCAGCATTACAAATTTTATTTCTCATGCTGAGGAAATTTGTAATGCATTTATACGAGTACGATACTTTTGCAATTCATACAGGAGCGGGAGCTGCAGAGATTGGAGCAGAACACCGCAGTCCCTGGGGTGATGGTGCCGAGTAGTAACGAACTACACAGCAGTAATGCACCTGTAGATCATCATCTTCTGGTCGCTGCAAACGCGCCAGCCGTGCCTGGAGCAGGTTCGATGTTTCCCGCGGAAATAATGAACAAGCAGACGACAACTGTCTCCGGAATGACCAACGCAGTTGGTGGTTCCTCACCTAGCAAAGGCTTAGCAGCGCCAGGAAATAACGCCAGTCTGTCATCCTCAGCGCACTATCTCCCGAATTTGAAAAAAAAAGCTACCCATTCCGCCTCGACGAAATTGATCCTCACCCACGCCAGAACCCACAGCCTCCACCCACTAGAAGATCTGAAGCAGTTCCCGACACAGCTCCATCCGTTTTTGAAAGTCTTCCGAAACAGCGACCTGGTTCCGATGCAAACGATCAGAGAAATTTTGAATCGCGACCAGGCACGGAAACGGAGGGAGAAGAAGAAAGCGGCACAGCAGAAATTTCAGAACGCCGGGCGGAAGGTTTTGGGGAAGGTGATGCTGAAAAACACATTACTGAGATTGGGCAACGATAACAAAAAACCCGATAAAGAGAATCAACTCGCACAACTGCAGTGGGTAGAAAAGCAGGCGACGGAGATGAAAGAAAAGACGGCGAAAATTTCTAAAATCGACCCCGACAAGCCGTGGACGTTGACCGCGAAGCAGAAGAAGGACATTGAGGAGAAGAAGTTGAAGGATCAGCGCGCCTTTCGGCAGACGAAGATGATTCTCACAGGAGAGAATCTGATCGACTCCGACGAGGAAAAATCCTCACTTTCCTCGACGACGAAGGGCTTAAGGGAATTGGAAAACATCTTCGAGATCCAGCAAGAGACGAAGAGACACGTGGTGGGCCTTTATCCTGTGCAAAAGTATCGTATTCATACTAATTGCAAATCTGCATGACAAATCTTCCTCCAAACGTAATACAGCATTACAAATTGCATTTGTCATGCTGAGCAAATTTGTAATGCAATTTATACTAGTACGATGCTTTTGCGTTGCATAGCCTTCGGGAGCCGACGAAGTCCATGATTGATTGGATGTGGAAGCGGGGGTATTTGTACGATCCGGAGAGCCGGTCGTTCCTGATAAAAACGAAGTCCATGTACTACGGCTACGGGAAAAAAAGAATCCCGAAACGCATCACCCAGTCGAATAAAGGGTTGAGGAAAACGATGGCAAGTCTGGCGGACTGTGTGTCTCAAGCCGCGCAGTTCGAACAGACTTCTACGCTGGAGCGGCAGAGAACAGGCGGCGATAGTGGCCCCCTGGGCTGGGGGAAGATGCAGCTGCCGTTGCAAGATCTTCATCGAAAGACCACCGGTGCTGCGGAGCAGGAAGTCGATCCTGGGAAGGCGAACCCTATGGTTCCTACTACTCCGAAGGCGCTTCTGCCTGGTGATGGTACAGAAGTAGAACATCATGATGAGGACAGCACGACGACAAGGGGGAGCAAGAAGCCCACTACATTCACGACGAATAAATCCCTGCAGTTTTCCCTCGACAGCTTTGACCTAGACGGTACGCTGGACACCACCACTACCGGGCTGAATGAGCATTATGGAGGTGGTAGCAAGGACGACACAACGAGACTACCAAGCCAGGACGACACCACGACGATGCAACTTACCACTGGACCGGAAAATCAAAATGATACAGAAATCGAAGGTGAGGACGAAAGCCACAGCGCAAATGACGCACTGGAGCAAACTCTGAAAAATTTTGAAAACGCCTTTGCGTTTTCCAGGTCGGTAACTATTTTCGTGCCCGAGGACGAAGACGAGAAGGAAGTGGTTGATTTCTACGAGCGGCAATTAGACGTCGACTTAACCGACCAGACAGAGATGCTGGAGAAATCCAGGTCCACAATTTTTCTGCCACGAAAAACAAATGCCGACCACTCATCCTTGTTTGGAGGAACCAACGAAGAGGATCAAATGTCGACATCTCTCATGCTACAAAAGCAACACTCGCTACATGGTGGTCCTTCTGCGCGTGCCACTGCAGCCCAGATGAGCATGAACAAAAGCTTCTCGGAAAGAAGCAACAATCACCAGCTCTCCCTTTCCTTCGCGAGTAGCAGAAAAACCAAAACGATTTTCAATCCGGATGGCACCGTCGAAGAAGCCACTCCAGGGTACTACAATCCGCGGTTGGTTTGGGAGCTCCACCGGTCGAAAACTACGGGTAAACTGTACTACTACAACCCGATTTCGGGCGAGTCTTGCTGGTATAAAGCGGGACTGAACAAGCAGGATATCGCGCGGGGCCGAGCGCCCGGGTTTGTCCGGGAGCTGACTAAAAATGAATCAATCACGCTGGCCTTGGAAAATAACAACAGCGAAGTAGACAGTTTGAATGACGAGAAAAATCAGAATGCTGGCGACCAAAGTACCAGTTCGATTTCCCCGATGAGTATCTTGGGGGAGAGGAGGAAGCGAAAGATGGCGAGCAAGCACGGGAAGAACAAAAAACGCAACTTCGATGATGGTGATGATCTACACGACGGGAGAGCAACTGGAGGTGCAGGTGGAGCCGCTACTTCGTTATCCTGTGCAAAAGCATCGTATTAGTAGTAAATTGCATTACAAATTAGCTCAGCATGACAAATCGAATTTGTCATGCTGTTTTACCTTTGGATGGAGATTTGTAATGCATACCTGCAATTACTACCAGTACGATACTTCTGCAATGCATATTCGTCTTCAAGCGGCTACGCGTACGACCCGACGAAGTTCCGAATGGAGGAAGAGTATCCTGTGCAAAAGCATCGTACTCGTATAAATAATGCCAGGCTAGCATGACAAATCTGGTTTCTTAGGTAATTTAGCATGACAAATTCAATTTTTCATGCTGAGCTAATTTGTAATGCAATTTATACTAGTGCGTTGCTTTTGCAGTGCATAAAGAGGAAAAAGCGCGGAAGTTGTGGAAAAACGGGGTACCGCCGGAATTGATGAGACATTGGGACTCGTCCTCTTCCGAGGATGAGGCGGAAGAATTAGCAGAGGACGAGGCTATAGGCAGCGACGGAGATGGACTTCAGCAGCAGCCGGCATTTGGAAAAAATGCGCAGAAATCTTCGAGTCCGAAGACAAAGTTGTCTCCTTCTCCGAAAAATAACGGCCGTGTAGTAGACAAAAAGCATCAAGATCATGTTGCTGCAGATGAAACAAAAACCCTCGCGGAGCAAAGTGAGGACCTGTGCAAGCAGCGTATGCATTGCAAAAGTATCCCATCGCACTAGTATAAATGGCATTACAAATTTTCTCAGCATGAAAGCTGGAACTTGTCATGCTGTTTTACCTTAAGAACAAAACTTGTCATGCATAGTTGCAATTACTACGAGTACGAGACTTTTGCACAGGATACAGCGGCTACAGGACCAATTTTCCAAACGTTGGTCCACTCTGGTGAACAAGCAAATCCACACGTTTCGAGCTGAGGGCAAGTTCTTGGCGGATTGCCTGGAGGAATACAACTTCAACGGGTTGAGGAAGATGAAAAAAAAACTCCACCCCGACACCTACCAGCTCCGGTTACTGTACGAATATCGGCACCAAAAAGGGACGACGAAAATGCCGTTAGATTTGTTTTTCACCGACGTTCTGAAGACGAGGTACCAAAACGCCTTCGAGTTGAAGGTTTTACCCGAAAATTTATTTCAGCGCGGAGGCGTCCCGCGCCGGGACTTCGTCAACCGCGCGGGGAATTTGGCTTTTCGGATTTGGAAGGAGATCGAGTTGGGGAGCTTGATGCGCAACTTGAACTACCGCAACGCGAAGAAAAGAACCGCGAGTTCCTATGCATTGCAAAAGTATCGTATTCGTATAAAAAATGCACTTTACAAATTTCCTCAGCATGAGAAATGAAATTTGTAATGCGGACTCACGTTAAGGAAAAGAAATTGCGAATGCATGATTGCAATACGAGTGCGAGACTTTTGCAATTCATAGTTCCGCGCTCTTGACGATCGAAGACGACGACCGGCCGGATTCGAAAGCGCTATATGGATTGCAAATATGTCTGGGTCTGGAAGAATGCAAGTTTGTCATGCTTGTCTGGCATGACAACTGAAGAGTTTGTGATGCGTGTCCAAGAAGAGACCCTCTTGCTTGTCATGCAAAACGCAATTTGTCATGCGGAGAGCGCAACACTAAGCAGCGCAAATATTTCTCATGCTTGGCTGTGCATTACAGAGAATTCACTATTCACAATTCAGCATTACAAGTTTCCAGACCCAGACATATTTGCGTTTGATACGCTACCGGTGCGACCGAATCAGATCAACAACGCACAGTCGGTCGTTGGGACGGTGACGACGAACACTGCCGGCGTATCATGTGCAAATATGTCTGGGTCTGGAAGATTGCAACTTGTCATGCTGTTTTTGGACTCTAGAAGAATTTGTATTGCATGATCAGCAAGAGGGGACAGGGCATTTCTCATGCGGAAGGTGCATCAGGAAGGGTTCTAAAAATCTGTGATGCTAGGGCATACATCACAGACAGTCATGGGTCATGAGAAATATGCATGACAAATCTTGCATTCTTCCAGACCCAGACACTTTTGCATTTGATACGGCGCAGCTTTTAGCAACAGCGCCAAGAATCTTTGTTCATTATGGAATGCAAAAGCATCGTACTCGTATAAATGCATGACAAACTCCCTCAGCATGAGAAATAAAATTTGTAATGCGGATTTACATTGAGAACAGAATTTGTAATGCATGACTGCGATTAGTACGAGTACGATACTTTTGCACAGGATATTCGTTCGACGACGACGACGAAGATTTTGTCGAGCCACCGCGGCTATGAACTACAAAAGTATCGCACTCGTATAAATGCAAGCGTTGCACTACAAGTCTTGTTCCCAAGGCAAATCTGCATTACAAATTTTATTTCTCATGCTGAGGAAATTTGTAATGCATTCATACGAATGCGATACTTTTGAAATGCATAGCGACCCGAACATGCAGGGCAGCGATTCGAGCCGCGCGATTACGAACTGACCGAAACGCAGCTCTGGCTGGACGAAAAGCGGCACAAGATGCAGATGAAGCAGACGTATCAAATGCAAAAATGTCTGGGTCTGGAAACTTGTGATGCTGAATTGCGCATGATTGCAGCGCTTCCAATGGCAGCCAAGCATGACAAATTTTTGAGAGGCCTGCTGATGCCTAGCACGCATTACAAATTGCGTTTTTGCATGACAAAGCAAGCCTCTCTTTTGCTGCTCATGCAACACAGATTTTCTGGGAATGCATGACACGCATTACATGTTCCACTTTTCCAGACCCAGACATTTTTACATTTGATAAGACGTTGAAGCAGTTTTTCAGCAGACGCAGGTACGAGCGGAAACAGCAGAAGATATCAACTGTAAAAATGTCTGGGTCTGGAAGATGAATGCCAGACTTGTCATGCAGATTTTACATGACTCATGAGGTCTGGTATGTAGGACAGAGCATGACAGATTTGTGAGAGTTCTATAATCATGCCTATCCTGCATGAGAAACTGCCTCTCGATTAGGTCAAAAGTGGACAGCTTTTGGTAATCATGCAACACAGATTTTTGCATGCTTCAGATTTAGCATGACAAGTTCACACTCTTCCAGACACAGACACTTTTGCATTTGATAGAAGAAGGTGGTGAGCAAAATTGAGTACGAACAGGACCAAACGGCATTGCGAAAGAAGAACACGTATCCACTGCAAAAGTATCGCACTCGTAGTAATTGCATTTATGCATTACAAATTTCTTTTCTCAAGGCAAATCAGCATTACAAATTTAATTTGTAATGCTGGGCTAATTTGTAATGCAATTTATACTAGTACGATGCAATGCTTTTGCAATTCATAACACACGACAGGCGGTGTCGCAACTGAAGAAAAACGCGTTTCGGTACGGGCCGGCTAGCGCCAACGTGAAAAGCGGGGAAAAAACGAAGAAGCGTACTCATAATTTTTAGCAAACGACTTCATGATGCGTCGAGGCTTTCTGTTCGAAAACCTAGGCTTGATCTTTCTTGCATACGCAAGCTCAATAAGCAGTTTGAAAGTTGAACTGTTTTCTCGAAGATTTCGCAACTCCGAATCAAAATGGCCTCCGCTGACTTGATGGGCATGGGCATGGGGTACATCAATTTTCGAACGAATAAAAGGCAAAAACACAAAAATCTACAGAGAAAGGCTTCACGCGTCAGTCTGCGCGGGACCATTTGTTCATTCGGAACGCAGAGATGGAAATCTTGTCTACCTCCGCAAGAGACAAATCCACCGCACCGAAATCCGCTCTAGAAGAGGCATTGGAAGAGGAACAAGATGAAATGGACAATTTTCCTGGAAACAGCGACAGCCCGCTTCTCCTCAGCTCGCCGTCCCCCAGCTCTTCCGGAGGTTCAGACCGTGGGGGGTCTTCTTCTGCGGGTTATTTTCCGGGTGCATCATCTGGTACGCCGAAACAAAGAACCAGTGGAAGTGGAAGTAGAAAGTCCGGACGAGCTTTGTTGGTGCGGAATGTTAGTGGCACCACGGATCGCTCGGCGGGGACTAGCGGTGGAGCAGCTTCATCTAGTAGTGTAGGAGGAGCAGGGGCTGGTGGACTACTGCAAAACGATCGATCGCAGGGAGCAGGTTTGTTCAACAAAAGCAACAACGAGGACTCATCTGCCACGAAGATGTCCTCGCCGAAAAAGCCAAAGCTCGCTCGGATCAGGTCGATCATCTCTGTGGAAGATGGGACGGCAGGAGGACCGGACGAGGAAGAAGAAGAAGACGGCGCCCGCCCGTCCGCTCAGCGGAGGGCCACAGTGTCACCCACTTCGCGATCGAGTCCAAGCATCAATGGAACTTTCACACTGTCCTATCAAAAGGAAATATCTCCCCTCCCCATAGATATCGAAACGAAGTCTCTGATGCTGGATTTCCGTACACAAATCAAATTTGTTTTGCAGTAGAGGACTGCAGGAATGTGGCAAGCCTCAGTCGAGGGGTTTTGACGTAGGCGCCTAGCATGGCAATAAACGTGTATTCTCTAAGCCCAACAGCATCACAAACCGCCTGCAAAATGCAGGAGGCTCTCTGGACTTACAGACAAGATTTGAGGTCACAAATGTGCATCACAAATTTTCAGACGGATGCGTTTTCAATATGGGGAGGGGGGATTTTTCTTTACGATATGTCCCCAAATAACACGACTGGTACCTCACCGACGTCGCACCTGAACCAGCGTCAGAGCCGTGCAGGAGCTAATCCAACCTTGCTGACATCTTCAAGCTCAAACCAGCTCCCAAGGCCAAGAAGTCGGCCGAGCGCGAAGGACCAGAATGAAATTGATAACGGGAGGAAAAGTAGACCCTCCGGGTATGATGCTGGTGGAAATCGGTCCTCAATCTTCTCCCCGACTTCGGTGAAAAAAACTTTATCTACGCCAAAAAAGAACTACGTTGCAGCGAGCAAGCACAACACTTCATCTTCTTCGCAACTGATCCAGAAGAGCGTGGAGAAGACGCTCGCGGCGCAGGAGCGCGCGTTTGCTGCGAATCCCGATTTTCAGTTCCAGTACACAAAGATGGATCTGCAGTTGCAGAATTCTCTCTCCCCCAACCGGCGAGCGACGCGGAGAACGACCAGCAATGCTGGCAATCTGGGTGGAAAGAATAGCACTACTTTGCCAGCGACGCAGAAAATTTTTTCTTCTATGAACACCGACAATCACCCGCCGATGATTCCCTCCCAGGACTTGGCAAGCCAAATCCCAGCGCGCGAGCTGATATCAAATGCAAATATTCCTTGGTCTGGAAGAATGCCAGGTTTGTCATGCAGGTTTTCCATGACCCATGAGGTCTGGCGTGTAGGACATAGCATGACAGACTCTGTGAGAGTTCTATCATGCCTATTCTGCATTGGAAACTACCTCTCGACTAGGTCAAAAATGGACAGCTTTTGGCAATCATGCAACACAGATTTTCACATGATTCAGATGCAGCATGACAAGTTGCATCCTTCCAGACCCAGCAGACATATTTGCATGGAATAACTGATGGACCAGATCCACTCGAGAGTTGCGGAGAGGTACGGCGGAAAGCTTTTGCTCGAAAATCGGGACGCGGTCACCTTTATGCATTGCAAAAGTAATATCGTACACCTACTAGCATCAGTCGCATGACAAATTTTCTCAATTAGAAGAAAGTTGAAATCTGTCATGCAGATCCAGGTGAAACATCAGACTTGACATGCGTGATTGCGATTAGTACGAGTGCGATACTTTTGCAGTGGATAACCTTCCACGCTGGGCGCGAGGCGGATAGAACGAAAACCGCGGCGTTCAGTAATCGCGGGGTGAGCAACGCGGAAATCTTACTGAATCCGACGAAGAAACCCGGATTATTGCTGAATGACGAGAGTTCTACGGCTGTGGTCGGGGGGTCCGGGTATTTTGCGCGGAAGAGCAACAGTGCCGCTCCAGGCACTCGAGACTCCAGTCGGAAAAATCCGGATTTGGACGATTTTGGCGCAAACAAAACGACTGCGTTTGCCGATTGGCGCCTGCAGAGTAACGGGAAAGCTCGGTTTTTGCGAAAGCGGGCGGCGTCGATGGGTAGCACGGTTGGAGCAGTGACCGGATTCTTTGGCGGGTCGCGGGAGAGTACCTCTTCTAGGGCATACAAGTAAAGTATAGAAATGTGGTGGAGAACAGGACCAGAGGATGGTAAGTCAGGTAAAACGGGATCGACATCAAGTATGAACAGGCTGTACAGAATCAGAATCTCAAATAAGTTTCAGTGATATAAGTGTACCACAGAAAAAAGTCACAAGTTTTTCAAAGCACATCGTTTCGCAATTTCATGGAAGATCTACGTAGACAGACAAAAATCAAAGCTTTCTCTTTCGTAGGTTTTTGTTCAAATCAAATACTTAAAGTGAAGAAATGAGAATGATTTTAGCTGCAAAAGCTATTGAATCCGTAGTGCCAAAAAGATGACTTGTCACAATAAAGAGCACCAAAGTTGCTTCAAGATAGACGCAAGACAAGGTGGATGAGCAACTAGAATTACCGTCGAGATCAGGGCGGCAAGTAGTGTTAATGCTTTCATCACTTCGCTTTCCGAAGAAGGGAACAAGGCCGGGTACTTACGCCCGAACTGAAAGTCAGCCTACCTTTCGATACGCAGCAGCGCGGTGGCGGCGCTCGTTCCGTCTTCCTTGTGATATGTTCCTTTAAAGCGAGCGCCCCTCTGTGGCTTTCTTGTTCTGCTTTCTACAGGTCTGCTTTGCGGTAACTGATTGGCGCTGCCGTAGGAGTGTTGTCACTTCCTCCGTTCTTTGCCCCCCGCGCCAATTCGTTCGCGGCTGGTCTGGATGACTACCGCCGGCGGTGGAGATGATTTGGAGATGGGGAAGCTGGCCTACAAGGTCTGCCGTGCCTCCACTGACGACATCCCGAAGGGTCTCCGGGCTATCACGTTGCCCAAGGCGAAGCCGCTGGGCGAAACCGCTGCCGCGGCCGCAGCAGGGCGAGAAGGAGAAAGCGGGCCCACTCGTGTGGCCCGTGTTTCTTCGCGACGAGAAGAAGAGGGCGGCGCATTCTCTCTCAGAGTTCTGTGGGCTGGTGGCGGGGAGCAGGGCGAGGGCTGTGCGAACTACCTAAGCGCAACAATTTTTCCGAGATTGCGAATCTTGTCCGCGTCGGTGGCTTCCTCGATTGGCGTCAGGGCTTGGCCAGATCGCCCGGCGATGCATGTCAAAAAGCTGGGGCGGCGGGTGGCGTGTGAAGTGGCCGGCGCGTAAATGCCGCGCAGGCATGAAAACGCCACGCGCCCGGGCGGGTGGGTGCGAGGCGTCGGCCTGGCCGAAGGGCATGCGCGCCCGCCGGCCAATTCGCGCCCGCGTCTTCAAGAACCTGCTCAGCGCGCCCAAGGCGGCCCGCCCCAATGCTTTGGGTTGATTGTGGAATGCCGGCTAGTCGTGTTCGTACCTTGTTGGGGGAGTACAATCAGCCGGGCCCTGCTTCCGGCGATGGCTGCCCGCGCGCCTTTTATTTTGCAAGCGGCCGCCGGCCGCTCGCAAAAAGGCGCCCGTCGGGCAGTTGCCCGGCCGGCCGTGCGGGCGGCTTGCCGGTTTGCCGTCGGGCGGTCGCCCGGCGCCCGCGCGCGGCGGGCTTGCCCCCGCGTTTGAGTCGTGAAGAAAATTGCGAACGACACAGCCCGGCCGGCCCGGGGGGGCTCCCTCTCTCTGCAAAAAAACCCGCTACATGGCCGGCGTGGGTGTAGACTACGTAGGGCAAAGAAAAGCCAAGGGGCCGGGCGCGTCCACGTTGGGCCCTTCCCCCGCCGCGGGCCCGATCGGTGTGCTACTTCTGCAAGCTGGGAAAGTGCGAGCCGGTGGCGAATGGCGTCCGTGTGTCCGCGCGCGGCAATGGGCCCGCCTTTGTTGGCAGGCCGGGCGGGCGGCGCCCCGCCCCCCCCGGCGCGGAGGCGAGCCCGCAACCCCGACACCGCAGGGGCCCGCCCACGCCACCAAAGACATGGCCCGGCCCGGTGGTTTCCATTCATGGGCCTGGGCCCCGCGTTTCATTTGCGCCGAGCCGACAACTTTGCATGTTTGCGTGCTGGTTGGGCGGCCCCGGTTGTTGTAATGTATGGCGCGCCCAGCTAGGCATGGGAGAGGATCTACGCCCCGTTGAGAACTGACAGCCGGGGTGGGCGCGCAGTCCGTCGGTCCTGCGCCGCTATTTACGCGGCCCGCTCACCGCAGCTTGCTGAATGCTGGCTCGTGGAGGAGGTGTCTTCCCTTGGCCGCCGGGTAGCTGCCCCGCCCCCCTCGCCTCGCTCCTCTCTGAGCAAGCTGGGGTCGTGTTGCTAAGTGTGCCGGGCGAACGACGTGTCGATAGGTCCGATGATTGCAGCGGCGCGCCTACCTCTCATTCTGTGGTGCTATGTTTATTCCTGAATGGCCTGTAAGGTGCATTCCTGAATGGTCTGCGAGGTGCCAGCCATCTCCGAAAAAACCCAGCAGCGCACTGAGAACGACCTCCACGGTCATTCTCTTCCCTGGCCTTTGCGCATTTTGTGCTTGCCAGTAGGCTTCCGCCTGATTTTCCCAGATCGATGCCGCAGTGGCCAAGGAAAAGCATCTTTTTCATTCGGCAGACGTGTGGCGTCACAAGCGGAATATTCACGGAGGGCGTCAGGAGTGAAAGCGGAGCCAAACCAACGAGTGAACGTGAACGAGAGACAGGCTTAGGGTTTAGGGGATTAGTTCACGAACTACAACTACGTGGGCTACTAGCTCCCCGAGAGAACAAGGAGAACCAAGACAAAGAGGGATTTGGTTGTTTTCCTGTAAAATTAAAAGAAGTCAGCAAGCGGATGTAGATAGCGGGTTAGTATTTTTCTTGTGCAAAATCTTTATCGAGGTCTATACCGCTGTCCGTGACGTGGTAGACGCTAGACTAAGAGAGAAGAACTACATGCTTCTACCGCACGCATTTTGAACACCTTGTTCACTTGTGTCGTGAAGCGCATCTTCAAAAAGTATCAGCAACGGGACTGGTACAACTTGAGCGCCGGAACTACATCAGTCCAAGCCATGGCGATGACCACCACGGCGTCCCCTTCTACCTCCGCCGTGTATCAAGTGTAAAAGTGTCTGGGTCTGGAAGAATGCAACTGGCGATGCTGAATTTGGATTCCAGAAAAATCTGTATTGCATGAGCAGCAAAGGGAATGCAATTTTTGCTACGCGGAGAGGGCATTTGTCATGCGGAATAGGCATCACGAAGCCCTCAAAAAATCTGTGATGCTAGGGCATGCATCACAGACATGCATCATGGCCAATGCAAAACATGCATGACAAGTCTCAGAATCTTCCAGACCCAGACACTTTTACATTTGATACCGTGGTGGGAGCAACCAACGCGGAACTGCACGAAGCCACCGTCCTGGCGCTCGACAAGGAGAATCTGAAGGATGCCTCGGCAGCGATCAAAAAATTGGTCAAAGAGAAATCCCTGACCCCGGCGCACCAGCGACAAATCGTCTCCGCCTGGGCGAAGGGGAACACCGTCTGGCTTTATGCAGTGCAAAAAGCTTATTCGCTTCCGCTACCACTTGATTAGATTCTTACAAATTGCAGCACTAGCACTGCTAGTATCGTTATTTTCGTCCTGTCTTCTTGTTTATCTTCACCTAGTATGACGAGTTGAAGTCGCAGTTGTATTTTCTGTCGTACCAAAATGATCTGGTGCGACGGTCTTCATGCGGGTCGTGATGCATTGGTGCGGATCATATTCTTTTGCAATGCATGGGCTCGATGAGAAGACGAACTCCATCAAGGAAAAGAAGTACTACACAGTGGAGGATCTGGAGAAGCTGCAGGTGGCGACCAGCGACCAGGTTGCAGCCGAACTGCCCAGTACCGATAGTGCCGGGGATAGTGGAATTGCAAAGAACTCAGCATCCTCCTCGTCCACTGGAAATAGTAAAGCGAGACAACATATGAAATGTGAATATGTCGGATCGATGAGTTCAAATTCAAAAAGATGCAAGGTTTGTTATGCTCGGCTACCATAACTCTCAACAAGTCTGTCATGCGCATGAGCCAAAGGCACTGTCAAGCAGAAGCCCAGTTTGTCATGCTATGCACCATAGACAACGGAACGCCTGTGCCCAGCATCTCCACAACTTGTCATTCTTGGCAGTCAATTGCGGTGTCCTCGTATTTTTCTCAAACCAGCGTCACAGGTTTCTGTTTTCAGAATTCAGATCGAGATGACATGTTTGCATTTGATACAGCAATTTGAGGACGAGCTGTTGCTGGACAAACACGAACTGACGAAGGAGCAAAAGCGGCGTCGGCGGGAGGAAAAAGAGAAAGTCATTGTTGATATCATGAAGAGGCTGAAGAAGTCCAGGAAAGAAGCACTGGAGTACATTGAGCAAGGAGGTACTCTTTACTGCAGCTTTCTTCTTACGAGTGCTACAGTTCTTTTTTTCTGAAATGATCTTCTATATAGCTTGTTGTGTTTCTTACCTGAATCTGCATGACAACCTGTACTTTTCTTGTTCTTGAGAAAATTTCTTGTCATGAGATTTATACTACGAACGGACGATCACGATACTTTCCGATGCATAAACAGCATAGCACAACACTACCCCAGGTCTCGACGCGGAGAAGATGCAGGCCGAGATGGGCGCGCCCACAGACAAATACTGGGACGAGATCCAGGAGAAGGGGCCCCCAGAATGGTTCCAAAAAGCGTTCGAGGAATACGAAAAGAAAAAGGAGGCGGGCGAGCTGGACGAAAATGGAGATCCGGTGTGGGGGGAGATTTTGCAGAAAACCGAAGGTGGAGGTCCGCTTGCTGGTGAACAAGAAGCCCAAAATAATGATGTTGAAAGTGCAAGCGTAAAACCTGCAGCTGTTGAAGATCTAGACGCGTTGTCATAAGCAGTAGAGTAGTGGTCGCAAACCGATACAACAAGTACCAAAGACTACACAAGAGCTGAAACAAACGAAAGGAAACCGCCAGACGGTGCGGAAACTACAACGTTAAAATGGCGATGTTTGGTTTGTGTTCTTTCCGTATCGTGCAGCATCCTCGTGTGGTATTACGCTAAATGAAACAGTGGCCTCGCGTGGTCGTCCCGTTTCCCAAGAGACTTCTCCTGTCTCGTGCGCGAGAAAGATTGAAAATCGTCTCAGCGTCTTCTCTCTCAAATCGCCTTAATTCTTTGTTCCTCAAAGAACCGGAGACTAAGCGGTTCGTTGAAGCTGCGAGAAATTCCCAGTATGTCAAAAGTCACCCCACATGCAAGAAAACAAGTCGAGCGACAAACTACGAAGATTTGGTCGCATTGCGCACAGTAGCGCTCCGTCTGCTTCACCAGACCAAGTCAAAGGATTTGAGTTGCTAAAACTCGGCTTAGCCTTCAAGCCACAACCAAAAAAAGGCATTCTACTGATGCCGGGATGAGCAGATTTCAGCTTTTTTCATATGCTGGAGCTACTTAGTACTAAACTCACCAAATTCTATGCTCTAGTTTGAAGATTTCGATCAGATTTCTGAACTCATCTAAAGACCGTTACGGCTTCGAATGTGAAACCGATGGCAGCAGCGCAACGAACCTCTTCTAGCGGACGATGTGCGTCCCCCGCCGCGGGGAGTAGATCCTGCACCACGACAAGATCTTCATTGGCCGACGACGCCATTGCAGCCCCTGAGACCAGATGTAGTTTTGCAAGGGGGCCTTCAGAAGACCACATCTCGCCACTATTGATGTCTTCATCTAGTCCCAGCTCGCCTTCATCGTCGCGGGCCGAGTCTAGTAATCACCCGTCGAAGAAAATGAAGACGCTTCTCGAGCAGTCGCCGGGCGAACACGAGGACGACGTAGAAGATTACAACTTCACGGAAAGCTGGCAAGAACCTTCGTCGCCGGAGCGGGGAGCTGAACACGCAATAGGGATGAATATCAAGCAATCGAGCGCTTCGGACGATGATAATTTCTCGTCCCCAAGACGAAGAACCTCAAGAGACGCTGCGTCGTCGTCGTCAAGTAGCATGAAGTCCAAGGCCTGCCACAAGAAGCCACTCGGGGTCGTCCACACGAGTATGCTCTCCGACATAGGCCGCATCGCGCATCTAGGTGCTGGAAGTCGGGGCAGCAGGCGGACGCATTCTGCTAGAAATCATTACGCAACAACAACAGCGACCAGGTCGTGGACATCAACTGGTCTTCCCAGTTCTGATACTATATTTCCCGGCCGATATGAGGAAATAAATGTAGATGATGCTGGAGGTCGAAATACCCGTGCTGCTCAGTTCGTGAAAAACATCGCAAATAACCCTTTGCTATCTCACAGCACCTGCAGCACCACCGCAACGACAGTGAACAACATGTCAGCGTCCATGCAGGATTTTTCTTTTGCAGCCTCCGTTCTGAGGAACAGCAACCACCTAGCCAGACAATCAACAGACAGCGAAAGCAGGATTCAGCTGCTGGAGATCAATCTGGCAAGGAAGCGCGACACCTTAAACACGGTGCTGGCCCGGTCCAGGAGGCACTTCCTGCATTTGAGTTTTCGCTCCTGGGCGAGCTTTGTGTTGCTGGCGAAGAAGGTATTTCTTTGAAAGAAGTTCTTGATTACGCCTCATTGACGTGCTTCTGATGCAGGAAGACGAAGACCACATCAAACTGCATGCAATCCTCCATCGGTCGTGAAGACCGCTGTTGTAGTGCTACTCCAGGTTTATTACTGCATGACAAGGATAGTACTTACGTGGGTGCGAATCGAACTCAAAAGGTAACTACTACAGGTCTCCGAGCTCCGGCGCGTAAAGGAACAGCAACGGCGGCTGAAACTCGAAGCCTCGCTGTCAAAGTTTGCCGCTAACCAGTGCAAAAATACGTGTGTGATTGGAAAATTGAAACCTTTCTGATGCGCAGGTGCTAGCAGCAGTTTAAGTTTGCTTGTCATGCAAGAACGCGAAGTGTCACTCAAGTTCATCCAGTCAGGCTATACTTACGCATGCGCCTTCTAGCCGGGCAGAAAATTCTCGTCCTGCTGTAGCTTGACCTTGACCGTGCATGAACAGCATTACACTGCGTTTTGACTTTGAGGTGACGCTGTCTGCATCACACCAACACAAGTGGACGACCCTGGATCTAAACATACTGTATTTGGGATGCATATCTGCTCTGGTCGAAAACAAGCTGAAGTATCACACGGACAAGGCCTTTCACGAATTGCAAACGCACTCGGATTTCTTTCGCTTTGGCATGATCGCCGCGAGTAAGGTGAAGAGCATCGCGAGCAAAAAGGACGAAGAACTCGCGAAGCTGCAGACGAAACTCACGCGACTCACGCTGGAGTTGGCAAAGCGGGACAAGGAAAAGGAATTTGACCTGGAAGCAAGACAAAGGGAAAAAGCCCAGCACGAGGAGAAGTTTAGGCAGCTGAAGCAAGAAAACGAAAAACAGCTGGAGCAGATTTCGCTCGCAAGTCCAATGTTGCCGAGTACTAGCAACTACCCCATTGAAGAAGACGATGAACACAAGAAGAAACGGAGGGTAAAGAACCTCTCCTGCAGCCCGACGAGCCTAGACGTGAATATCTTAGCAGCTGCTGTGCCGGAACAAGATCCCGACCACGACGCAGCTGCTGCATGGAAAAGCAAAATGGAACACGAGCAAGCATCTCTCGTCCAGCAAAAGCGGGAAGAAGAACACGAGCTTGTGGAGCGGCAGATGAAGCAGCTCCATGAAAAAGCGCTTTGCGAGTTGAAGCTGCAGTACGAGCTCGAGATCACGGAACGGCTGAAGCACCAGGAGAACACATTGCAACAAACTCTCCAACAGCGCCACGACGAGCAACTCGCGTCTCTGTCAGCGAAACACGCTGCCGAGCTGCAGCGCTACGAGACCCTCGTCGCGACCAAAAACGCCGAGTTTGGAAAGCAGACCGCGGCTTTGCTGGAGCTTCGGGCGACCACGGAGGGCGCGTTCCCGCAACTGGAAAAGAGAATCAGACTGCTGACCGAAGAAAAGGGCAAGCAAGCGGATTTGATAGAAGGTCTCGAGAAGAAACTGCAGGAACAGCAGAAACAGTTCGAGTGGTGCCGTGAGACGGAAGCGGAAAAGGGACGAAAAGTTCGGGAGGAGTTTGAACGGGAACTGCACCATGAAAAGCAGAAGGGCAAGAACGAGAGCGAGAAGCTGAACCTTGACAACCAAAAACTTCACCACGAGATCCAACAGCTGTACAGCAAGGTGGAACTGGAGCAAACGCAAAGCAAGTTGGAGAAGGAGCTATGCCTTTGCCAAGAACCCTGGGTGTCCTCCGGAAGAGTGCAACTTGTAATGCTGCCCTTGGAGGATGCAAAAATCTGTCTTGCGTGAGCAGCAACAAGAGTCCGGATTTTCTTACGCTGACGAGGAGGCATTTCTCATGCAATATAGGCATCAAGAAGTAAAGTATTCCTCGCAAGAGCTGTGATGCTAGGGGAAACTACATCCCAGATCGATCATGGGCCTTGCAAAATGGGCATGAAATGTTTTGCAAACTTCCAGAGGTGGACCACCCAGATACATTTGCAATGCATAGGAGCAGATTCAGCACAAGATCGAGATTTTCTCCCAGCAGATCGAGGAGCAGAAAAAAGTGATGGATCTGGAAAGAGATCAGTACGACGAAATGAACGAGGACCTGACAAAGCGGGCGTCTTTGCTCCAGCAAGCCAACTTGCAACTTAAATCGGTTTTGGAAAAGAGGCAGAAGGAAGCCACTATTTCCCTTGCCGAGAAGCAGCAATTAGTGGAACACTTGCAGCAACAAGTTTGCCTCCTCCAAGCGCAGCTGACGGATGCGGAAGAAAAGGGGTTTCAGCTGCGGAAGCAGTGCGCGGTGGAAAGTAACAACTGTTCCATGGTGAATCAGAAGTGCGAAGAGTATAGTTCAGCGCTCGAAAGAGTCAGAGAAGTTCTGCTGCGGGAGGTGAGAAGAACAAGAACTACACCGGACGATGAAATAAAGAAGAACTGTGGTGTGGAAGATGAAACGCGTGCAAGAACGGACGACGTTGAGATGGACGACGGTATCCATAATTGTAGTGCTTTCATCAGTTATCAAATCAACCACGATGTTTAGCGACGAATGATCCGTGCTCGACGACTATGGATATAAGTACTTGGGTCTCGTCAACATACCAGGTAGTCGTTTAATCATTCATTTCCACGACCTATGAAATGACGATTGAAAAACAACCCCAGGAGCCGCAACCTCATTTCCGCCCTTACCTTCCGACGCCACTCCTGTTGAAGCCCTGTTACAGAACGTCCTGCTAGGCTTCAAGAAGAAAATCGAAAGCATGGAAGCTGCTGCGGCGCAACACTGTTCGTCCAAGGACGAGGAAGTTGCAGGGGAAAAATGTACCACGAGAGTAGCTGCGGCCGTCGCCGTTGCCTGTCTATCCATTGCAAACATGTCTGGGCCTGGATGAAATAAGTACTTACATTACACATGCTTGTGATGATGCAGGTTTTGCATGAAGCAGAGGATCCAGATGTCATTAACCTGACATGCACCAGAATTATCTGGAACGCACGCAAAAACAGTATGTACAGGTTTTGCGCAGGCTTTTCAAAAATGTCTATCCCGAACGGTAAGTTTTTCGCTCTTCCCGTAGCAAGGAGTGGGCAGCTTTATGTGGAGCTCATCTTGCAGTATTACAGATTTTGGACGTGATGTGGTCGTGCGTTCTTCCAGATCCAGAGCTCCCAGATTGAAATTTGCAAAAATGCATACGTTCCAAAAGATGACAACTCCGACACGAATTTCAACGATGAGGACGACAATTGGAATGCGGGAGCGGAACTAGACGCGTACGCAGAACTGGTGGAGCAGCTGCAGGCGAAATTAAAAGACACGAAGCTGGAACTGCTGGATGTCACGAGGGAACGGGACAGATTGTTGGTGCTCAACAGGAATCATTGTGCAGCCAACGAGTGTGCAGCTTAGGTGATTGGAAATAACGACCACGCGTTTTTGATCTCTTGCTCTTCGAACAACCCATCGGCCCGAACGTCACCATGTTCGTTGACTACAAAACACTTTCGGTTGCGCTTCATCAATATTTTATTTCAGTTCTTTGGACAAACAAAAAGGACCAAGTAGCACAAACGGAAACCTATGTATCTTCCTGCACCTGTTGCTTCAAATGAAGGCCAACAAGGCCCCACATTTGCGTATTCTTTACGCCTGCTCCTTTTATCGAAAAGTAGCGCTGTTGTTCGAAAGGTCGACGCACAAAGAAAGCTCCAAAATCTGTCCTGCCTCCTTGGCTCGTTTCGATGAGCGCAATGAGCGCACCGTCTGGTCGACTCAGACGAGTCCCGCCCTTGTGGCTGTGAAAAGTCCTCTTCAACATTCGCTTACTTGCAGCGAATTCTACACGACCAGGGGAGGCATCAATTCAGGCAGCGAAACTTGAGACATTCGGTGTTGAGTGACTATTGGCTTGGAGTGCGGTAATGTCGTCGATCGCTCTGCTTTTACGAGCGCTGAGAATGACAAAACTTGAGCGTTGAGAAGAAGTTTGACGAGCAGGTTAAATCTCAAATTTCCACCCTGGTACTTGCCCATCTGAAGGCGCAAGAAAGGTAGTTCGAGTTCGCTCGTCGCATTACAGCTTCTTGTACTAGCTTGCTATGGTCGCAAGATACAGGAATACCAACACAACAAATCTCCTAAAGCAAAAAAATTATCATGCTGCTCTCACTCTTTCTGCACACTGTGACTGTTCTTGATGCTGTTACTGCCCAGTGCAGTAGTTTCGGGTTCCATTTTAAGAACAAGTACAGAGTGACACAGCAGTTATCTTCCCGGTAGGCTCAGGGGGGAGAAAGAATGGCTTTCCGTTTCGGCGAGACCGAGACCGCCCCTGTGCCAGTCCTTCCGCAGAAAGAGGATCTCTCGAACCGCATTTCGAATGTCGTAGACAGGTACATCGACTTGCAGCAAAGTGAAGAAAACGAGGACGAGGACGATGACCTCCGGCAAGAAGATAACAGTAAGAATTTTTACCGCCCCGGACGGCCGTCAACGGCATTTTCAACCGGAGAAGTTACCGCAACATCAGGAGCAAGTCCGGCGTCAGAACCTCTAGTTGCATCTTCTCCGCCACTGCGAAAAACAGAGTCGGCCGCGGAAGTGGCAACGCAGCTATGGCACGATTTGAAGAACCCGCCTTTCACAGCGGAAATTGTACCTTCTGCCGCTCCGACGTCCTTGAGTAGGAGCGTGAAAAATAAAGGTGGTGCTGTGCCGGGACCACGACAGGGAGATAGGAATGGAAGGAAAAAGACCATCGCGGAATTGGAGTTGTCACTGCAACCCGCACTGGATATACCACTTACCAACATCAGGAACAAGAGTAGCAGCACGAGAATGAATATGCCCGCCTCCTCCTCCTCCTCCCGGGGGCAGGTGAAGTCCGGAGGAATTATGGCGGCAGACGGTGGCAGTAGAAACAAATCCTCTTCCTCCACATCGGGATCTGCAAGAAATAGCGGAGCGCAGAGTTTCCTTTTTGCACCGGATGCATCACCCGGTGCCGCATTCGACATGGGTCCGGGCAACTCCGTGATGACACGCATTCCCTCTGCCTTTCTCCCCAGAGGACGGCAGAAGTCCGGGAAGATGCAGATGGTGTCGACCAGTTACACCCCGGTGTTCAATCTGCGAGACTTGCGGGACCACCCCGACTGGCCACTGGAGCGGCCGGCTTTTACCCTCGATTTGGTCCGGGAAGACCTCGACAAATTGCTGCGGGACGCCAAGCAGAAGTTTGGAAGCTTCAACCACGAGCGTCTGGTCCTCCGGGATGAGCTGCGGCGGGTGGACGAAAAACTCGACCCCTACCTCGCGACCAGCGTGCAAAAAACGTTCGGGCTGAAGCGGGAGGGCATCATTCAAGAAGAGTCGTCCGTTGGGCTCTTCTATCCAGGAAAAAAACTGTGTAAGTGTGAATTTGTAGGAAGATCATCATCACAAATTCGCTTTGCATTACAGGGAAAACCTGTCATGCGCAGCTAGTACGTGGAAACACCTATGAAAGTGGCCTATGACGCACCTCTAGCATGACAAGTGTATGCAGTTTAGCGCTTCCTGCATCACAGACTTACACTTACACAGTTTTTTTCTTGGATATCTTCCTCCACCAGATTTTGTTCTCGGGGGAAAAGGAGGACGTGATGGACTTGACGGAGACGGAGAGGCTCGCGGTCCTCAAGTTTGCCCGCGGCGTGCACGACTACTGGCGCTCGGTGCAGGAGCGCTGCCGGGTCTTGACCCTGCAGGTGATGGTCAGTGACAACCTGGTCGAGACGGAGATGGAACTGGCCGCCGCAACCGTGCAGGAGTCGGATTTGCAGATCCTGCTCCACTCCGAAGAACTCCATTCCTACCCGGCGTCGACGTACATCGATCCGCACAATTTTCCTCCGAAGGCGCACAAGGAGGAGCACGGCGGCAAGTTCACGCCGGCGGAAATTTCGTACGAGGAGATGCTGACGACCCGGGCCAACCCGCCGAATGCGAACTTGTCCTTCCGCAGACACCAATTTTTGAACGCGTCGGAAGCGCGACAGCGGTGCCAGCGGAATATGGCGTTCTCAAACGTTACTTACATTCTCGACTGTTACATGAATTTGTCATGCAAAACTACCTTGAGCCGGTAGATGATCAAGCTGTTTGGCATGACACATTTCCGAAGGGCTAAACAGCATCTAAATCCGTGCCAAATCTGTGATGCGAAAGCAGCAAGCTTTCACCTTTGACTGTTGCGGCTCTTGCATCACAAATTCATGTAACAGTTGAGAATGTAACGTTTGAGAACGCCATACGGAAGGTGCACCTGCTCGAGCGGGGGTCCAGTGACCTCAGCGAGTTGCTCCGGTACGTCGCATATCAAATGCAAAAATGTCTGGGTCTGGAAGATTGCGAGATTTGTCATGCTTGTCTGGCATGACCAAAAAGTTTGTGATGCGTGTCAAAGAAGAGACCCTTTTCCCTTTTGCCTGTCATGCAAAAACGCAGTCTGTGATGCGAAACACGCAACACAATAAAGAAGCGCAGACATTTCTCATGCTTGGCTGTGCATTACAGAGCATTGATTCACTATTCCCAGCGCAACATTACAAGTTTCCAGACCCAGACATATTTGCAGTTGATATCGCGCTGCACAACACCGTGGTGGAGCCGTCAGTCCTGTACAAACCTTTCGACTTCACCTCAGACCAGGAGTTCATTCTGGAACGCTACGTGATATGGATGTGTCAGGATTGAAATAGTCAGAGTTGAAATAGTTTGTTATGCAAAAAATACAGCCCACAAAGTGCCTGCCTTGCAGAGTAGGCAAGTGAGGCAGATTGTAAGCCTGTTGAGGGGTAGCAACTGAGCTGCTGAAATAGCATGACAAGAGCAGTCTTCTTTGCCGAAACAGCATGACAAACTGCATCTCGGCTCTACCCCAATTTGTCATGCGCCAGTTGGAAACTGGGTTACAACTGGCATCCATTTTATGCATGGCAAATCATTTCAACTTTGTCGATTTCAAACCTGACGGCTCCATACGTGACCGAGGAGCAGCGCGCCCGGGCCGCGGGCGAGCTCCGGCTCTTGCGGCGAAAGGCGGAGGTGTTGAGCCGGATTTTGGACCTGCAAAACGCGATGCGGACGGAGTCGACCACCCCCTTGGCCGCCGTGGTGCAATCGCAGAAAACGCTGAACGAACGGGTCATGATCCAGCGAGAGGCCCGCTTCGTGGAGGGAGGTGGGATTTACAGCCGGACACTTTTGAAAAACGTGGACCAAGACAAGGTCCAGGGGGTGCAGTATTGTGAGGAAAAATGTCCCCACCCCATAGTCAAGATGGGAAATCTGCAACACAAATCCGGAAGTTTTGGGAGTCAGGCATGACAAGTTCCCCTCTATATTGTAGTCCAGTTTCGCAAGGACAGCCGCATCACAAAGCCATCTCCTCATCCTCTTTGCAGAGTCACAAATTCCAAAACACGATGGGAAATGGCTTTCATGGGGATGCGCATTACAAGTCTTCCTGTCTTTGCAAATCTGCATGACAACTCTGGGGTGGGGACGTTTTTACTCAGGATATGCAGCTGTTGGGCGGGGTGATGCAGGCCTCGGCGGGGATAAACCCCTCGATTGCGCTATCATATGCAAAAACGTCCCCACCCCATAGTTGTCATGCAATTCTGCATGCCAAAAAAGTTTCTCATGCGGAGCTCAATGAGAAGCATTTTCTACTCGTGTTTTGGAATTTGCAATGCTAGAATCAGCATGCTAAGCTAGATCTGCGATGCTTCTGAACTAGCGAAACAGGATTTTTACACTCCGCGGACAAAAACTTGTCATGCCAAACAACCAAAGCTAGTCGATTTGTCTAGCAGATTTCCCATCTTAACTCTGGTGTGGGGACGTTCTTGATGAGGATATGCGCAGTTCCAAGACCCGAGAGAGGACGACATGGACTTTTCCGCCGCGTCCCTAGCGCGGGGCGGGTTCTACCAGCCCGACCACCGGTACGAAAAGAAGTTCGGGAAAACGAAGCAGAACGCCCCGTCGCCGGACGTCTGCTGGGGCCAGGTGCGCACCGAGGAGGAAAGGCTCGAGATGGCTATCAAATGCAAAAATGTCTGGGTCTGGAAGATTGTGATGCAGAGTCTGCGTCACACAGAAGGTCTGGCATGCAAGCCCCAGCAACACAGGTTTTGAGCAGGAGGTTTCTCAATGCCTAATCCGCATGAGAAATCCCTTCTTTCGGAGACCAGAAAAAGGGCTGCTTTTGCTCCCAGTGCATGACAGATTTTTTCATGATCTAAAATGCGCATGACAAGTTGCATCTTTCCAGACCCAGACATATTTGCATTTGATAATGGCGGGGAGAAGACAAGGCATTGACATGATGCGGGCGCTGAACACCGTGAATTCCATTCGGAGGATATCCTGAGTAAAAACATCCCCACCCCATAGTCAAGATGCGGAATCTGCTAGACAAATCAACGAGCTTGGGCTGTTGCGCATGACAAATTTGGGCTTGTAATGTAATGCTCTTTACGTCGTCCAGCAGCATCACAAATCTAGCCTATGACGCTGATTGGACTTGGAGCATTTCAAATTCCAAAACGCGATTAGGAAATGCTTCCCATGTGTCTCCGCATGAGAAACATTTTCCGCATGCAAATTTGCATGACAACTATGGGGTGGGGGCGTTTTTCCATAGGATACAGAAAAGCGGAGACAGATGAGCTGCTGGACAGATTTTACAAGTTGAGAATCAGAGACAGGAAGCGAACCGGGCTGCTGTCCGATATCGAGGAGCACCAGTCGGTATGGATTGTAAAAATGTCTGGGTCTGGACGAAGGTTGGAACTTGTAATGCTAGCATTCCATTCCTAGATACTCTGTATTGCATAACCAACAAAAGCAGCAGGCTCTTTTGTCATGCAAAAACGCAGTTTCTCATGCGGATTGCCTATGCGAAAGCGTTTTGGGAAGTTGTCATGCCGGACTGCATTCGGAAGGGTTTTCATCATGCACATTTTAGCATCACAAGTTTCCAGACCCAGACACTTCTGCATTTCATAGTCGGCGCTACTCTCGGACCTGACGGAGCTCGAGGGCCTGTATGCAAAAGTGCAAAAGTATCGTACTCGTGGTAAAAATTGCAGTACATGCATTTTTGCAAATCTTTTGCATTTTCTTTTCTTAAGGTAAATCCGTATTGCACCAAATTCGATTTCTCATGCAGACGAATTTGTATGTGCAGGAGTTAGAGTTACTACTAGTGCGATTATACTTTTGCAATGCATAGCCTATACTCACGGTTGATTTTGAAGCTCGACCTGATAGACGAGGAAGTTGTCAGACTGGAGCGCGGCGGAGCGGAAGACCGGTCGGAACCGGAGCAGCAGGTCCTGAAGCTGCTGGAAGATGACGAGACGCTGGGCTTCAGCATGCACCAACGGCATCTGAGACAGGAGCGGCTGCAGAACTTGAGGACACTTATCACATGCAAACACGTCATCTGGGTCTGGAAACTTGTGATACTGACTGGCGAGGAATCACGAGGACGCCACAAATGACGGCTCAGCATGACAAGTGTCTGAGTAGAGCTAGGCACTGTCTATTGAGCATGACAAACTTTTGTTTTGCATGACAGAAAATTGGTGCTTTTGGGTAACGTGAGTGACAGACTTGGCAGTCATGCTAGCCGAGCAAGACAAACTTGCATTCTTCCAGACCCAGAAATATTTGCGGTGCATAACCCTGCAGATCGACTTGAACAAGGAGCGAGAGAAGCTGTTCAAATTTTGGATGATGAAAGAGTCAGAGCTATCCCGTGTAAAAACGTCCCCACCTCATAGTCAAGTTGGGAATCTAGCAACACAAATCTCCAAGCTTTGCGAGCTGTGCATGACAAGTCTCCCTCTGCAGTGTAGTGCTGGTTGGCAACGGAAGCCGCACGAGACAGCCATTTTCTCATCCGGTTGACAGCATTACAAATTCCAAAACACGACTGGAAATACCTTTCATGGAGCTGCGCATTACAAATGTTCCTGTTATTGCGCATTTGGATTTGCATGACAACTCTGCGGTAGGGACGTTTTTACTCAGGATGAGAACTGAGGAAACTGAACTTTGAGAAGCGGAACTTTGTGCAAATGATGGAATCCAAGAACATCGTCCTCGCGGCGGTGGGGCAAACCACCCAACCCACCACGGACTATCCATTGCGAATATGCGTGGGTCTGGAATTTGAAGAACTTGTGATGCTACTGCAAATGATGAACAGACTGCAACATTAGCAGGTAGGCATGACAAGTTTTTTCCATTCCCTGTGTTGCGTATTCTGTGTGAGAACGAGCAGTGCTCGCACTTTCGCATTACAAATCTTGCAAAAAATTTTCAGACGCGCAGTACATATTTGCAATGCATACAGACTACGTCTCGAACATTCTGGGCGCGAACTTTTGGATGGGGGTGAAGCCGTGAAGTAGAGGACACGAGAAGTCGTAGTTCACATGATCACATAGAACTTACGGTTACGTGCCCCTCTTGCGGTGCTCCTGCTGTTGATCCTGAGTGTTGATGTTGAAATGACCTTTTTATAGCTGCTACAGTTCCGAGAACAGGAACATCAAATAACTGCGACGCCTCGAAGCGTCAGTTCTTCTAGCTTCTGACGAGACGATGCAGTGCATTGAAGATTAAGAAAGGCAGCACACGTGTTGATAATTCTCTGGAGAGGCGCCGCAAGGTCAGGCTTCGGCTCTTCTTTACCAACTGTTGAGGTTATGAGTCTTGATAAAGATCACACGCATCGTGTGTCGCGGATCAAAAATGAAACTGCAGCTTTCGGCCCCCTCGGCCCTGGAGTCGATGATCAAAAAAAATGCAAGGAAAAAACTCGGTCCAGCATCAAAGTTTCCTGATCTCCTTGCATCCCCAGCGTCGGATCCAGTTCAACACATACTTACAGCAAGGCCATTCGATCGCACAATTTATTAGAATTATCGGTGACAACAAAAAAATACATTATTGTTGATCTACGTGATTTTCATCAAATCACCATCGTGTGTGCTCAAATTTGTTGTGATCCCTTTCAATTCTATTTCTCGTTTTAGCGAGGCATTTGCATGGCAACGTCATTGCCCAGACGAGGACATCAATTTTTAGGTATCATAGTGCCTTTCATTAGAACTCGCAGGAAGCAGCTCCGATCTCTTTTAGGACCAACTCTTGCAGTTGTTTGCAAGAATTTCATCTTCTCTGTCACCGATTTAAGTAATACTATGTATTTTGCTAGTACTTAACGAACGTCGAAAGTTCACTACGTACACATATCCAATCCACTAAACTAACTACAAGCACGAGGAGGAGCTCGTCCTTTATAAATTTAATCTACCAATTGTCCATTAGGTCGACGCACAATCAACGACCATGCTGCGTGCCGGTGCCGTGTCGTTCCTCACATTGTATGTGGTTCATCATGTCTGCGACGCCGCGGCCGCCTCCGGTTCTGGAGGTAGCAGGGCTCAGGCTGCGTCTTCTGCGCGCGGAGGAGAAGATCCGGTTCCTGAGACATCGTCTCACTCTCCTGTTCCTGCGCACCAAGGAACAGATCAGTTTCGTGACAGAGACAGGGTGGGAAAAAACATTGTGCGCCGAGCATATCTGCCCTCTTCTCCCGCAGGAGCTATTCCTCCTGAGACATCGTCTCACCCTCCTGCTCCTGCGCACCCAAACTCAAATCGGTGTCGTGACAGAGACACTCTCAGAAAGGTGGTGCTCCCACCATATCTGCGCTCTTCTCCCGCAGGAGCTATGCTGCCTGATGCATCATCTCACCCTGCTGCTCCTGCACACCAAGGAGCAGGTCAGCCTCGTTCTCCCGCAGTAGCCATGCAGCTAAAAACCGCCCCAAGCTCGTCGTCCGTTTGCGCCAGCTCAAGTAGCCCCACTGCATGCTCCGAGCAGCAGCCTACACTGCGGCTTGTTGACTGGGGCGGAAAGCTAATGCATGAATTCGATTACGATTTCAAAGAGTGGAAGGATTGGACTGCTCAGAACCTCCTCGAAAAGGTTGATCCGAACCTTCCAGATTCGCATGCGGAGGTCTTCACAATCGTGCCGCGGCATTTCCCGAGGCAGGTGGTGTATTCAGATAGAGAGAGTATGGTCACCAGCAGCCCAGAGGATACCTTGGAACACTTCCTGCGCGCATATTTCTCGACGTCGTGGTTGCCCTATGCACTGCAAATATGTCTGGGTCTGGAAACTTGTGATGCTGGTGTGCTTATTGGCGAATCCTGAGGACGCCACAACCAGATGTGACGGCTCAGCATGACAAGTTTCTGAGTTCTTGCTAGGTGTTGTGTATTCTCCATAAACAAATCGCGGCTCTGAATGACAGCTGCAGAATAAGGCTTTTGGGAGGTAACGTCCATGACAGACTTTGGAGTCCTGCTAGCAGAGCATGCCAAGCCTACTCCTGCAATCTTCCAGAACCAGATGACATATTTGCATTTGATATGCCCAGCCAGCACGTGACACTTAAACTTCACGGCGTCGCAAGTCAAGACAGATCCACTAAACAAGCACAAAAAGCCCTTTTAATTTTCGAAGAACCACGCCCGGACCCAACGACAGCGACCAGGTTTCGGTTCTGCGACGTCGTCGTTCTTCGCAGCTAAGAGCCTCTTCCGTGGGTGGGACCCGAGACTACTCTGATATATACTTGCAAATTGAAAGATTTTTGTTCATCTTCTTCACATGAAAAAATGTTTTTTCTGTGTTACTGGCTTTTAATCATCTTTTTAGTTGCTGGGCCTCGGTGTTGTTTTCTAGGCCCAGTACGCTTTTATACCCAGCCCCAGCGGCGCGGTCCAACGGGCCGCTCGGGTTCCGGGATTATACCACATGAAAGGAACGAAACGGAGTGTATGTTTTCTGATTTGGATCAGGATCGACATTTTTGACCAGTACAGAAATCTGTGCGTTGTACCATGCTTGTGTCTTTTGCTTTCATATGGATTTATTTTCAGCAGTAGACACGAACTCGCAGAAAACTTGGCAAAAATTATGATCTGACAATGCCATGATCTCGCTCACCTAGAAGCGAACACGCATAATTTTGTTTTTCCTCAGATCATGCCTTGCAGCTCTCAATGCAATACAGTACAGACGATTTTATAACCTTGTTCAGGAATCCAAAGGCAGAACGAGAGCAGCTTTCAAGCTCGCCTGACAATTCGTTTTTGTCTATAGAAGCTTGCGCTACATTCGTTTTCCTCAGAGCTGACGTCGGCTTGAGTATGAAGCAGTACCTTTTTGCCGTTCCCATCTATGATGTAAAAAAGCTTTCCCGCCACGGACATCGACATGGTCGTAGTTCTTACAAAGGAAAGAAGACGTGAACATCAAACATTAACCACTGCGATGATTGTCATTGTAGAGGATTAGAAAGAACTATCATTGCGGTGTCGGAAGTAAAAGAGGATGCGGAAGAACCCTTGAAAACTACCAAGAAATTCTTGTCCTCTGCTTTCCGCATTTATCGAAGAACACTCGTTAGCGAGAGGGTCGGAGGGTCAGCAGTCGAGCGTAAATTTGTGATTATTGCAGGTAAATGTAAAAAAAAAAGAGAGTACAACGTCTAGAAAACGGGCGTTAAGCATGTGGTTCTTGTTGACGTTGAGGTGCTTGTGATATAGTTTTGTGGAATGATGTTTTTTCGGCACTTCGTATAATCGGATTGGCATCGTGGCTCCATCGCCAAGGACATTGATCGGAGAGATGAGGGGGCAAAAGGCTACAACTCCATGTGTCTTCCGAGCTCTGCGCGATTTTGATTTTTCGATCGTTTTATTTCATCGTATAATTTCGGTATCAATTATCGCAAGAAAGTGTGACGATGAACAATGGAAAAATAGAAATCTATCAATCGATTGGACCGCACACGAAGGAAAGGCCGCTCAAGATGAAAATGACTTTACGAAAAGTCCCCCGGGTCATCGGGCGACCCTGCGCTCCTCGTGGCTTTTGCTTCTTCGCCCACCCTGCGATTTTCATCTATTTCGCAGCCTCTCTTTCCAGCACCGGAAATAATTGCGTAGTAGAAGCTCTCGAGGCCGCGCAGCTGCACAAAGATGACCCAGTGAAGATATCCTGAGTAAAAACGTTCCCACACCAGAGTCAGGATGGGGATTTTGCAACACAAGCCTAGGAGTTTTGTGAGTCACGCATGACAAGTTGCGCTCTGCAGTGTAGTGCAGGTTAGCAAGTGCAGCCGTATCACAGATTCATCTACTCATCCTGTTCACAGCATCACAAATTCCAAAACACGACTCGAAATGGCTCGCATGGGGATGCGCATTCCAAGTCTTCCTGTCTTTGCAAATCTGCATTACAGCTCTGGTGTGGGGACGTTTTTACTCAGGATAGAAGAACCCAGATCTCTACGCGGGGGCCGGACTTCTACAGGAGCACGCAGTCTTAAAAATGCAGCAACCGGAACAAGATCAAGTGAAGATGCGACGAAGACCGCATAGGCATATGATTGAGAAGCAGAAGCACCAGAACTACCCGCGGCTGCAAATAAATCCTGATGAGCATGATCGTGACAGTCTTCTCGGCACTGGCGGCGGAGCAGGAAAAACAATACCGTCAAGAACAATAAACACCGAGTCAATATTTCAAAACAAGAAACAAGCAAGAGCATCTTCATCTTCTCCCCTTTCAACATCTTCTGTCGTCGTAGCCGGGGACGCGGCCACAACAGGAGAACACCAGCAACTACAGGAACAAAGAGAAGAATTTTTTTCACAAAAAAGTAAAAGAACAAGCAGTGGTCCTTCAAGTATTCCTTTCTCCTCTAGTACTTCTTCGTCTTCCCGCAAGAACAGCAAAGATGAAAATGAAAAAGATAGAACTCATATTAAGTTCTCCACCGCCAAAGCTGTTGCAGAAAAACAACAAGAAATCCTGGTTGATTTCGAGGACGGCACAACAAGCACTGCAACGACGGCCGGAGAAATAGAGACGAAACGTGGTAGAAGCTTAACGTCATCGCTGGTGAGAAGAGAAGAACAGGAACAAGTCGAGGAGGGCGGCAAGAACGACCAGCGACAGATTCTGCTGGAAGAAAAACGAAGCGGGCTGCATTTTTCCCGGCTGGACATCGCAAAAAACGGCAAAAACGTGACCGTGACGCAAAATAACGCGACACAACAGGCGGCTTTGAACCACGACACGAGCGCGAACAAAAGTGTGAACGAGACTGTGGAGGAGGGCATAGAGGAGCTAGAAAAGCACCCCTTCACAATGGCTGGTACAGAACTGTTTTCACATCAAATTACTCCGTCGTTTTACTACTTTCAGCACAAATCGAATCTGACTCTGTAGCGTATTACAAGCCCTGCATGGCTCTTCATTCTTTTAGTTTTTGTTATAGTAGCGTGTGAAATAAATCGTCGTGCAGTTGTCGTTTAAAAATGCGGAATTTTTGAAAAAAATTTGGACAAAGCGCCTTCTTCACATGATTTGTCAGGTTTTATTGTCGTCGACCTGGTCATTTTTGGCGTAATTATCGCGTGCTGCTGCAGCATCTTATCCTGTGCAAGAGTATCGAACTCGTAGTATATTTCAATCTTGTATCACCTGAATCATCTGCATGATTTGTTTTCGGAAAAATTATTTGTAAGCATATGTGCAATTTACTACAAGCGCGAAGATGCTTTTGCAATGCATACTTGTGTGTCTATGCGTATTGCCGGTCGCGACAAGACATGCGAGACGAGGAAAAGGAAATTCACCAGGCACTAACGGAAGCGAACGTGGAAAACCACTTCGCTGCAGCGGTAGCGGCCGGCGGAACGGATGAGGCAGGGAAGAAGGGAAGTATCAAAGATGTTGAAGCTACATTCATTATTGAGCTATTCTTTTCTTTCTCTTTGCTTTTCCTTTTGCAGGCAAGCATTACAGAAAAATGGAGATGATCCTTTGTTCTTCATGACCCTGATAGTACCCATGCAGTTCCAGTTTATCGCACATTTTATGTTTCTTTGCCATGCATGAAGAAGAAGAGAACAACAAACTACTTACTTACCCCAGGTGGCAACATTACCCACGAAGTCATGGCTGAGGCTGCATCGGTTTCAGAAGATGGCGCCAGCAACCATCCGGGAGACGCGGCTGGTGGTGCAGGGGCTTATGCATTGCAAGTATGCCTGGATTTGGAAGGTTGCGTGAGGATTTGTAATGCTGCACTTGCATGCTCATGCAGCAGCTGCAGAAGTCTGTAATAAAATGTATTCTATGCATGTAATGTGACGGAAGAGCCCTCCTGTCAGTTTTTCGTGTAAATAATACTCGATCTCTTATGCGGATCGTGCTTGCACACCCACTCCAGCACCCCTGGAATTTCTCATGCTCGGCTGCGTACTGGATTCAGCAGCTGTTCATCCATGTATTAGCATGACAAACCCAGACAGGTTTGCATTTGATACGGCTTCACCGGCAGCGACCGAGGGAGATGGGGGGACGTGAAAGTTGGAGAAGATTTCCTCGTAGTGGATCGAATCCCGATAGGGACACGGAAGAAAAAAGGGGAATGAAATAATATGAGAATGACTCTCTTATTTGTGTTTTGACGTGACAACACTGTTCGTATCAATGTACTTACTCCCCCTGCTTCTTGTATCCAATCCTTGTAAAGATAAAGAATTGATGATGTGTTGTAAAAATTGTGTATGATAACCGCCAGGCTCCCGTTCCAAGAATGCAAATGTTTGCTGGTTCTAGAAAAAAATTCGGCCTCCGCTTTTCGTGGTTCGACGTTGTTGACCGACGTGAGCAAGTCATTCCCAAAGATGCCACGGTCTCTGTTCGTTCGTCTGCGCCTCCTCTGCTCATAAAAAACACTTTAAGTGTTTTTTTTCTATACCGTATAAACATGAACCCAATTGTTCTGTAGCCTCTCCGTCGTCTCTCTTCGTGAGTAGGTGCAGTACGCTACGTAGAAATAGAACTTAGTATGTTAACCGCACGCAGCAACAAGACCGGCGGCTGCGCTGCCTCTTCGAAAACATTAAAACTTTCGAGAGCAAACTACGATGTGGAGCGGTGCAAATTGAAATTTCTCACAAACAGAGTGCTTTTACAACAAGTTTAACTGTCGTGTAGTTTCAATAATAAGAGCACATCTCGCCCAAGTGCAGGCGGATAAAGAATGTTGTGACCACACGACGAGGGCGGTCCCGGGCGAAGAGAGTTGGGTTGCTCCTGCATTGATGATGCACCATCTGGCCAAAAAAAAAATCTCCTGCTCGAAGATGTAATCGCAGTGTGTTTGCCAAACAAGCAGACAACACCTACGTTTTGTACTTACTTCTAACTTCCGTCCACAACTTCTAATGTAAAATTTGTTGATCAGTTCTTGTTGATGCTGTAGAAAATTTTACTTTCCTAAAAATCTGGACAAACATGACGTCCTCGTTTGTCGCTGACTCGGGCGACCTTTTCCTGCAGCTGGAGCAGCGGCGAGACGAGCTGGATCTGGAAATTCGCAAGTACAAAGAGAAACTCCAGATTCGGCAAACCGCACGGAACCAGCAGCGCACCTTTTTCGAAGTCAAAGGGCAGTCCCAAGTTTTCGGCCTGCTATGGATTGCAAATATGTCTGGGTCTGGAGGATTGTAACTTGTAATTCTGTCTTTGGATTCCAAAAAAATCTGTATTGCATGACCAGCAACAGGACTCCAGTTTGTGTTACGTGGAGAGGGCATTTCTCATGCGGAATAGGCATTAGGAACCCCTCTAAAAATCTGTGTTGCTAGATCATGCATTAGAGGCATCAATCATCATACAAAATATGCATGACAAGTCTGCATTCTTCCAGACCCAGACACTTTTGCACTTGATACCTGCAAAGGGAAAACGACTACGCGCGGAAGCGGAACGAAGACTTCAAAAAAGTGTGCAACGACGTGGTCGTATCCTGAGTAAAAACGTCCCCACCCCATAGTTGTAATGCTAATCCGCATGCTGAGAATGTTTCTCATGCGCAGCCCCATGAGAAGCATTTTCTACTTGTGTTTCGGAATTTGTCATGCTCCAATAAGCATGATATGCTAGATCTGTGATGCTGCTGGACCAGCTAAACAGCATTACACTACGAGGCAAAACTTGTCATGCGCAACAACCAAAGCTGGCTGATTTGTGTAGCAGATTTTCCATCTTGCCTCTGGGGAGGTGGGAACGTTTTTACACAGGATAGGTCGGCACGAGCGAGCACGGTTCTTCTTCGTCCTCGTCTACATCCCAATCTTCGTCGCTTGGCCGCAATTGGGAGCGGTTCCTGCACCGCGTGGGCTCGCAGTACCCGGAAGCGATTTCCAAAGACGCCTGTCGCTTATCAACTGCAAATATGTCAGGGTCGGGGAGAATGCGAGATTTGTGAATGTGATGCTCGTCTGGCATGACTCGGAACTCTGTAATGCGTGGCCGCGAAGAACTCCGCTTGCCAGCCATGCAAAAACGCAGTTTCTCATGCGGAGTACGCAACTCAGAAGCAGAACCAACATAGCAAAACTTGTCATGTTGGGCAGCGCATTTTTTATACAGTGTTTTCACTATTCCCTTCCTTGCATCATAAGTTTCCAGATCCAGACGTATTTCCAGTTGATATCGCTCGCTCGCAAACCAGTGTCGGAAGTACGTGGAGGAGCAGCATACTACAATGAAAAATGCCCCGACCCTGAAATTTGCAAAAGTTTGTCATGCAAAGTTTCCAAATGAAAGCTTTTTGTCTTGCATGAAAGGATTGCGAGTATTTCTGATGCAGAATCTAGGTGCGCAACGTGTCTTTTGCATAACAGATTTGCTGTTGGGCTCCTTTGCAACACAAATTTGTGCTATTCAGCATGAAAAATTTGTGATGCTGAGATATGCAAGACGGCGAATGTTTCTATTCGATGAAAGGTTTGCAGCAATACAAATGCTGCCAAGTTCTGGGGTGGGGGCATTTTTCATTGTAATACAGCAGAGGCAGAATTTCAACCCGAAGAAGCGCAGCCTTGTGTCTCAACAGCTCATCGTCAATACGGACGTGCGGCAGGAGAGCGAGAATGCGTGGAACTCGAAATTTACCTGGGGATGCGCGGCGCCGGCGGGGGGCGGGGGCGGTTAGCAAAGTGAAAGAAGCCACCACCCCAAATCGAAATGGAAATCTGTGATGCAGGATTTGTGTGCGCAAATTGGATTTGTCTTGCGGTAGAGGGCTGCAGACAGATACAACACCCGGAAAGGGGTGGCATGGGGTAGGCACTTAGCATGGCAGACGTCTACCCTGGTAGCGTAGCAGCAATACAAATCGCCTGCGAAATGCAGCGGAAGCCCTGGCTTTGCTCTCTTGCAAGACAGACTGGATCTGTGGCCACAAATCAGCATCGCAAATTTTGAAAAGCGCGCCCTTTCGATATGGTGAGGGGGGACGTTTCCTCTCAATAGCGGTGGTGGAGGGGTCATGGATGTGGAGAACCAAGAAACTATATCAAATGTAAAAATGTCTGGGTCTGGAAGAATGCAACTTGTAATGCGTATTTCAGAACACAGAAAAGTCTCTCATGCATACGTAGCAAAAGCTGCCCGCTTTCTGTCAGAAAAATAGGGGATTTGTCATGCGGATTCGGCATTGCGGAAGCTTTTCGAAACCTGTGATGCCAGAGCTTTCATGCCAGACCTTCTGTGTCATGCAAAGACAGCATGACTCTTCCAGACCCAGATATTTTTACATTTGATATTAAACTATTGGTATTGGCTACGAACAAAATACCGGTGAGAACTACCTGCAGCACGCACCGCAAACGGTCGACATTACCACATTGGAAGACTTAGTGAAGGAAATTCAGGAGGGGGTCACAACCTACGGCAGAAACTCCACGGATCGGTTCTTGCAGCAGCGCGCCGAATATCAAATGCAAAAATGTCTGGGTCTGGAAGAATGCAGAAGTTTGTCATGCAGATTTTCCATGACCCATGAGGTCTGTGATGCATGCCCTAGCATCAGATTTTCTGCGAGGGCTTTCTGATGCTCATACCGCATGGGAAATGCCCTCTCCGCGTAGCACAAATGGCACCTCTTATGCTGTTCATGCAATACAGATTTTATGTAAAGTTCAAAGGTAGCATCACAAGTTCCAGCTTTCCAGACCCAGACACTTTTGCAGTTCATACCGAAATGTACCGAAATGCGGAAAAGCGACGGGACTATCAAATGTAAAAATGTCTGGGTCTGGAAGAGTTGGAACTTGTCATGCTGTTTTTGGACTCTAAAAAAATTTGCATTGCATAACCAGCAAGAGAGCTACAATTTGTGCTACACGGACAGGGCATTTCTCATGCGGAAGGTGCATCAGAAAGCCCTCTAAAAGTTTGCGACGCTAGGTCATGCATTACAGGCTTCATGGGTCATGAGAAATATGCATGACAAATCTTGCATTCTTCCAGACCCAGACATTTTTACACTTGATAGGGACCCTTTGAGCGCAATCCAGTGGACGGTAAAGGAGAAGGAAAAGAAAAAACAGCAGGGCGATGCGGAAAGGGCGAGGTAATAGATTGGGTCATTTTCTTTAACTTTATCATGCTTGCAGCGTTTTTTTGCATGCATAGCAGACAGCGTCCGGGTCAGCCACAGCCTGAGCACGTATCAAAAACGTACGTATATAACAAACGGAAGCTCACCGAGTCTGCGCTTTATCAAAGGTACAACCAGCCCTCCCAACCGCCTCCCGGTAGTTCTTCGCAACCTCAAGGGCAGACCACAGGAGAGGGTACTACCACAAAGAAAACCACGACAACCACAACACAGCAGCATGTGCCGACGTACGGATCCCCAGGGTATGAATCCTACACGCGACTGAGAAACTACGAGTTGGAAATGAAATCGGATTTAGATCTCTTAAGCCGGATGGCGATCCACGCGGGAGTTAGCTCCGCTCCCCCGGAAAATCATGCTGGAGGGGCAGCTCCCGCTGCGCCAGCGGCAGTACAGCAGGCGAAAAGTACTAGTCATACCGGTGTACTTGTTCCGAAAAAAGGGGAAGAACAACAGGGCGGAGTAGAGCCGAGTGCGTCTGGCGGTACGGACATCGCAAACAAGTCAGCTGAGCACTTGCTATCACAGGTAATAGTACACATACAGTACTAAAGATGAACATGAAGATGCATGTTTTTCTTGTGCGATAGAAAGTTTTGTGTTGTTAAGTAAATCGATACTATGAAGATTCCTTCGGTCTCCCCAGGGCAAGTGGAAGAATGTATGCGCCTAGGGTAAAAAGAAAAACCCCACCTGACCACGAGTTTATGTACAGCAATAATTATCGACCGTCCCTTCAGGTTGCCAGCGCTCTCTCCGTTATGGATCCCTCTGCAAAGGGCGACCTGCTGAAGTCGATTTCGGAATTTAGCAGGCACTGGCAGGACGATTTAACGCTATCAACGTCCCGGGAATTGAGCAGCCGAAACGTTTCTAGGACGAGCCAGCAGCCCCCTCAGAGGAGGAACAAAAGGTTCGTGTTTCTCATATTTAGCACGTACTAGATCTCGATGTTGTACCATCATATGTTTTTTGGTTTATCACAGTCAGAATCAGAAGACATAATCTGTGCGGTAGCCCACTACCGGTACATCAAGTTCTATGCTTCACTGCTGCAAAATCTTCTTCCCAAGGTCTTTATTATGCTTCTAGATCTTCACACACTACATATTGATACATCAATGCAGGTACGAAAATAACCTGGCAAATGAGGACTACATTAACCCGGCCGCCAGCATGTCGCCTCGCGAGCCAGTTCGACGCACAGTGAACTCCCAGTTTCGGAGTGGCAGCAAGAGGGGTAAGTAGGCTCGATATTTATTTTGAAGCAACAGTGTATCTTCAACTACAGCTCGTGGGTTCAAATTTCGAATTTTGGAAATCGTTGGAGAATCTGTTTCGCTTGGCGGGTACTACGAGCTGAAAACGAAACGTGACTTCCGGCCATATTGTTATTGACACTCGCAACCATATAACTCCACAGGTCACCAAGACTCGTCCCCGCAGCAAGTGATTCTTCCGACCGCCGCACACCAGCACGACGAGGAGCAAACTTCTCCAACCACGGCCGCGCTGAACGGTCTTCTGGATGACAATCTGTTCCCAGCTACCGCACAGAATGTGTCATCTTCGCAGAAGGGGACCTCACTGGCAGGAGGGACTCCTGGAACGTTGAACAGCAACCCGATGGTCTTGGGCCCCCCGAGTGCAACCGCTGGTTCTTCAGGCCGACGAGGTGGCCAGCATGATTTTCACAATATAGCGGCGAGTAGTTCCATGGTTGTGACGCACCCAGGAGGGGCCGGGCAACTGCAACCCTCCGCCTCTTCCCCGAGCAACCCGGGCGAGAACACGACAACGAATAATGTCCAGTCTGTGGCAGACCTTCCGTCCGACGGGTCGACGATTTTGTCTTTAGAGCAGAACAAATCCACCTCGAGCAACCGGTCTTTGACGACGTATGGCGTTCTCAAACGTTACATTCTTAACTGTTACATGGATTTGTCATGCAAAACTGCCTTGACTATCGACACCATCAAGCTGCTTCGCGTGACAAATTTTCAGAAGGCCAAATAGGCCGAAAATCTGTGCCAAGTCTGTCATGCAAGACGCGCAAGGTCCTTCCTTTCACTTTTGCCCCTCTTGCATAACAAATCCATGTAACAGCTGAGCATGTAACATTTGAGAACGCCATACGACGTTAAGGAAAATTGTGGAGCAAGACGAAAACGCCTTCAAAGCGATATGCATTGCAAAAATGTCTGGGTCTGGAAGAATTAATGTTTGTCATGCTTGTCTGGCATGACTCTTAAATCTGTCATGCACGTTACCCAAGAGCTGCGTTTTCCTGTGATGCAGAAGTGCAGTTTGTCATGCAGAATAGGCAACACGTAGGAGCTCAGAAACTTGTCATGCTGCGCCAGCATTTGTAGCTTCATCATGAGACGCTACCCAGCATCACAAGTTCCCAGACCCAGACATTTTTACATTTGATAAGCGACACTGCTGGACAACAACGGCGCGGAAGATTCCCAGAAGCCGTCTTCCAGTTCCTCCTCCGCCTCGGAGTCTGCGGACGAAACGGGAACGTTTTCCGCGGTGAAGACCGGAAGTGGGACTGCAGCTGGAGGCTCCTCGTCGGCCTCCGGACAGAAAATGATCTCAAGTAAAAAACTGCCGTCAATCAGCCCGGCAGAGATCAAACTGTCCGAAATCATCCAGAACGCGAACATCACGAACACCAACACATCCTCCTCCATGGTGTCCGCGATGGAGGAAAGGCCGCAGGAGTCGACAGATCACGTTGAGGAATTCCAACAAATGAACAATACGTCTTCCAGCTCGAATAAAACGATTTCCCAGTCGCAATCTTCCGGCGCGATTGAGGACCAATTGGTGAAAGGTTTAAGTGGGGCCGCAGGAGGTGGAGGTGACGCCGCGACCATGACGGCGGATAAAGTGGATGACGCGATTGTTGCGAAGCTCAATCTGTCTGCGAACCAGCAGCCGAAGATCACTTCGTACAAGCAGTCCCCGCGACTAGCTTCCCCACGGGACATCGGAACCACAGCTGCAGCGAATAATATTGAGAGGAAAAATCCCCCCTCCCCATATCGAAAAGGTATGTTTCCGAAAATTTGCGTTGCTGATTTGAGGTCACAAATCGCAGCTGTCTTGCAAGAAGACAAGGGCAGAAGCTTCCGCCCCATTATGGAAGCGATTTGTCATGCTGTTGGGCCTAAAGGGAGGCCGCTTGCCATGCTGAGCAACTAGACCCATACGCCCCCAGCTAGCCTGCGGATCTGGCCGCCATGCCTTCCTGCAACACACATCTGATTTGTGTATCCAAATCCAGCATCAGAAATTTAGTTTTGATATGGGGAGGGGGGATTTTTCCTTACGATAAATAAAGGGAGCAAATCCAAACCGGTTGTGGTTCTGGACCAGAACAATCCAAAAGTGAACGAGTTAGACGGTTTGGGCTTGTCCGACTCCGAAGACGACGAGGAAGAAAACCTGTTTCCGGCGGACAAGAAGCCTGCGACGCCGCGAAACGCATCCTTCAACAAAAACAACCTGATGGACGACAGCGTCCGAACCGGGGCGGACAGCATGGAATTGCTAAAAGGTGTCAACGACCCGAGCGCAGGTCGGTCCTCTTTCGGGCAACAAGATGAGGAGGCAAGAGCGAAAGCAGGCGAGGATTACAACATCAACTACTTTCAACCTGACAAAAGCAGCGCTACCATAAGCGCAGCAAATCCTCCTCCCGACACAACGCCAAGCGTCCACACCAGCAATATCCCTTCTCTGTTGCAAGAAGCGAGGGAGGTTCTTCTGGATAACCAACACCCAGACGGCAACAACGACTTTGGCGCCAGTCCCATGCCGGCGAGCAGTGCGCGGAACAATTACAGCAAAAATTTCTACGCGAATAAGGGGGAGATGAACAAAAATTCATCTGCGCGAAGCAGCGTCGCGACGGCGAGTAGCAAAGAGAAACAGGCAATGCAGACGACGACAATTACCATTACCGGGGGGCAGAAGGAACAGGTCCCGGTATTGTCGTTGGATTTGCAGGAAGACGACGGAATTCCAGATGAGATGGATCCAGTCGTAGGCGGAGGCAGCAGTGGTAGTGCTGGTCCTCGCGGGAATGCGGTAGTTGGAGCAACACGACACGCGGGGGGAGCCACAACGTCGAGCAAAAAAGGTATGAACAATGAATGCGCTGGGACAGATACTTATCTATCAGCGTTAGCGTGTGACTTATTCCTATCTCGCTTGCATGTCTACGCATCACAGACGCCCTTTGTCATGCTCATGCTGCATCGGAAAGTGAAAAACTATAACACTCACTGTCAGGGGACAACTTCGACGACATCCTCGGGATTCTCGGTGACGATATGGACGAGGTATCCTGTGCAAAAGTATCGTACTCGTAGTAATTGCAGTCATGCATCACAAATTTTTTTCTTAAGGGAAATCCGGCGCATGACAAATTTTATTTCTCATGCTGGAGAAATTTGCAATGCATTTATACGACTGCGATACTTTTGCAATGCATACGAGGGCATGTCAGACGACGATATTTCCATTCCCTCGCCCGCCATGACCAAGCAGGCGCCGGGCTCCACCGTGGCCCCCTCCACCACCGCGTTCGGCGCCACCCCCTCGGACGCGGGCGAAAACCAATCGCAGAGCATCGCCGCGCCGTTTAACATTGTGCACCACGGAACCACAGTAGCTGGCCCGACGTCGACCAACGTCTCGAAAACGCCGTCTTCGACCACTTCAAGCTCTGTCCCGAAAACCGCGGAGATCCGACTGGGAACGAGTAGTATTAGTGGCACCGGGGCGAACATGCGACCGCCGTTTTCCCCGACCAAGAACAAAAATGTCACGCCGAAAATTGGTGGCACTTCTGCTGGAGGTAATTTTAATAATCCAGGAACAACTACAACCCTGTCCGCCTCCAGCTCCTCTTCCTCAACGACCAACCCGGTTAATACTAGTGGTTCTTCTATGCCGAAACGCAAGCAGAACGCCCCGCCGCTCGGGATGATGATTGGCGCGGGGGTGGCCGGCCGGGACCTGTCCGCCGGCGGCGCGCCGAAGTCTACCTTTGCGAGCAGCCTCGCGGGCTCTTCGAACAGCGGGCGGACGCCGGTGTCCCAGCGGTCCACCCCGATTTCGCAAAGATCCGGCTCCACCCCAGGCACCGCAACCGCGAAAGGGGGCACAGGAGGCAACGCAGCAGCGGGTAGTTCTTCGGCGGGAGCTGCGAGCAGCAGTACTGCTGGCGCAGCGAATCTGTTCAACCGGGGGGGCATGTCGAACACGAGCCGAAGCACGTCCAGCTTGCCGACCGGGAGCATGATGAACAAGTACGGCGGGGCGGGGAGTAAGAAGCAAGCGCAAACCACCCCGGCGACCAGCAAGAGCTCGGCCTCGACAACGTCGAGATTTGGCGGGAATCTGGGAGGCAGCGGGTTTCCGGAGGATGATTTGTAGGTTGGGAATGGTGAGGAAGTCCTTGTTCTTGGTGGGCTCTTCCAGCATCGTGTTCTGTTGTACTAATGCGCTTCATTTAGATCGCAAGGTTTTTTTCTAGAGATTTCGCTGAACCGAAGGCACGGAAAAAAACAGAGGCTGTAGTAAGTGTAGCCGTGATTTTATTTCATTTTGATATGTGACTTTGACTCGAAGCTCAAGCCGGAAAAAAAATCTTATCTGGGCTTTACTGGAACCGTTACGATAGGATAAAACACAGCAACAAGCTTTTCTTACTGAACAGTTGCATGCCAAATTTCCCTAAAACGCCGACGATTGCGCACGACGAGGGCTTTTGTTGAGATATATAGCAACTGCAGTTTTTCAAATTGTGTTCTCACCTGCTCCCTCGACGTTGACGAAAGAATGGCGGAGCCCGATAAGAGATGACGCAGAGCAGCCCTAGAAGAAGGGCAGCAGTGGGCACATGCCCGGTTCGGACAAGGCGCCACCCGTGTACGAAATCCATCGAGTACGACGCAAGCGGGGCAATTCAATACCGACACGACTGCGCTGGGCGCGCGTCTTGGTTGCCAATGACTCGGGCGCAGGTGCCGCAGCTTGGAAAGTCGCCCCCGCCGACGGTCGCGCGTGTTTTGGCAGAGCACCTCCGAGGCCTCTGGAAACTAGAGCTCGCGAGCGGCCTCCTTGGGAAAGGCCGGAAGCCGATGGAGCGCGTCCATATTTGCCCCGGTCCCCAGCGGGCCCGGCTCTGGATGCTGCCGCGCCGGCGCGTTGCTTGCTCGGGCCGGAAGCGGGCGGCCACTTCCTTGTGCGCGCGCGGCGTGTCTGTGGCAGCATGGCCGCCAGGCTCCCGGAATTGGAGCGCGCCCGAATTTAGTGCCCGCATGGCGCCGCGCGCATTCCCAGCGGCGCCCGCCCCAGTTTATTCGGGGCCGGCCGCGGGGCTGCGATGTTTGTTATGCGCCGGGCGGTTCGTCCGAGCGGGCCAGAGACGCGCCGGGCGGGCGGGCAGCGCGCCGGGCAGGGTACACAACGCGCGACCGTGTCGCAGCCGGTTGCGCAGTTCGCGAGCTTCGAGGCCTCGGCCGCGTTTGACAGACCCCGGGCCGACATTCGTTAAAAGCACTCCGGTAGCGTTCGGCTCGAAAAAACGCGCCAGCAAGCCAGTTGCTTGGCCTTTTTCAAATAAGCGCCCGCGCGCCCGGTGGGGCCGCTCCCCGCGGCTGGGCCCGGCCGCTGGCGCCCCGCGGCGCCCGCCCTTTTCTTTGTGCCCTCCCCGCGAAGCCCGGCCGCCTGGAAGTCCGTCCTGCCAGCCTGCTACAGGCATTGGTGGGGCGCTTCGGTTTCTGGTGTGATGGTGCCTGTGCTATTTCTGCCCCGCGCGCCCTGCCTGCTTCGTTGGCTTTTCTGCGGGGCGGGGCCCGCTCCGCAGGCAGCCGAGCGGCCTAGGCCGGGTCCCTACCCCGCCTCCGAGGTGCAGCCAGGTGCCTAGCGCGCGCGCGTGATTGGTGTGCTAGGCTAAGGCGGCGCGAGGAGATTCTGCCTCGCTTGCTGTTTAGGCAGGGAACTCGAAGCGTTTTTGCCTGGGCCCCGGTTGATGAACGCTGGCTAGTGGGCCATCTTCCTGTCGCGCCGCTGCCGCTTTCTCATCGATGTCTTCACTCTACACGCAAAACAGAAGCGGACCCGGGCGCCGCTTAAGCCTCACTCACACTCGTTTCGATCTGTTCCTGGTTGTTCACATATTTTGCGGCGTGCCAACGGTGCTTAACAATACGCAAACGCACATCTACGAACAAGTGCCCGCGGTGGCGTGAAACTGCCTTAGAACTCTACCGACACTGCTTACTGCAGCCCAGAAGAGCAGCGCATCTCGTTCCTTTCCTTGCGTGCTCTACTCCATGAAAATATTGCTCGCTGCCATTTCCAAAAGTAAGTATGCGAATGCGCAACTCATTCTGTCATTATCTTTGATTATCCTCACCATGGCGCCCAGCACTCTGGAAGTGACTACTTCGGAGGAGGCCCACAAGATGGCCAGCCTCCTCGTGCAAGATTGGCAGGACGGGGAAAAGCCGAAAGTCACGGCCGAGGAGAAGAAATTGAACGATTTGAAGACGGCCGAGGTGCGGAAAGACGACCGGGGGATCATGAAGGTATGAAAAGTGAGATATTTGACGAGAAAAATATATGTCGGCTCATCGGTATTGGTATTGCAAAAACAAAAAGCAAAATGGTATATACACATGAAGCCGCTTACTTTCATCATTCAGCACGACCAAAAAAACAACTGCAACGAAAACGCTTTTTCCAGGTATCCGAGATCGACTACGGCAAGCACGAGAAGTTGGCAAAGGAGATCGAGAAGCAGGAAGAAATTGAGAAGCTGGAAGAAAAAACGAAGTTCGCGCGGGACAACATTCCCCCGGGCTCCTGCGCACACGACCACCAAAAGGAGATCGCGATCTACGAAAAACCGACAGAGGAAAAAATTGCGGCCGCCGACAGTTTCCGGGTGCAGGGAAATGAAGCCTTCAAGGAGAAGAACTACGGCAAGGCGAGCGTGTTTTACCGGAAGGCGCTGCTGTACTTCGACTACTCGTTTCCGGACACGGAGGAACAGGAGCAGGAACTGGACCGGATCAAGTTAGCGGTGCACCTGAACATGGCGGCGTGCAAAATGCAGTTGGAGGAGTGGAAGGAGGTACAATTCTGGAACTTTATCGTATAGGAAAATGAACTGCTTCACTAGAGTAAACTTCTGATGCAGAAAATGTATGACAGAATCGTTTCTCTTGTTGCTAGGTTCATATGCAAGCCTGTGGATTTTAGGGTGTTTTTCCGCTTGGAGGCGCGCATGATATTTTTTTTCATTTGATGGAAAACAAAACAAACTTGTGATGATGCAGTTTCACAATAATCACCTCTACTCAGGTCCTCATCCAGTGCAACCAGGCCCTGTTGATCGACCCGAACAGCGTCAAAGCCTATTTCCGCCGCGCCTCCGCCTACCTCGCCACCGACAATTTTGAGAACGCGGAGGTCGCTGTTTCCCACGCGGAAAAATTAGAACCGGGGAACGCAGACGTGCGGGCTCTGCGGGTGCGGTTGGTGGAAAAGAAGAAAGAGTACAAAGCGAAAGGAGCGGAGATGGCGAAGAAACAGATCGGCATGAAAAATCAGAATGTGAACTCCGCGGAGGAAATAAAACAAGCTAAACAGGATATTTCTTCCGAAGACAACAAGAAGGAAACTTACTTCGTCGAGGGGACGCACCAGGAAGAAGCGCCGTCGACCAATTCATCCCCGATCGGAGTAGAACAAGAACCTCCAGTTGGAGCCAAGAACTACAGCACTAGGAACCAATTGGCGGAAGAAATAGATGAAGTAGCAACGACGAACACGGTCAGGCGACGCGTTGTTGGAAGTACTTCTAAACAAGAACGTAGCAGTTCCGCTACAAATAATGAAAAAACCAAAAGTCCAAACTCCAGCAAGAACCAAGACGAGGAAATAACGAGAAAACGGATCGAGCAGTTAAAATTGGAAAAGAAAAAGCAGGAAATGGAGCTCAATGAACTGATTGCCGCAGAAGAGAAGAAATTTTTGCAGATGAAAAACAATAAAACCGATGTGACGACGACCGATGAAGAGGACGCGATGTCAACATCAAAAATTTCCGATGGGCACAGCAATTCCAGCACAACCACCGCCACGACCTCAGCGGGACTTATTTCCAGCACTTCTTCCACAACGAATACCAAGCTGAAAACGAAGCTTTTCGCTGGAAAAGAAGCAGCCAATTCTACCAGTAAAACGTCCTCTAAAAGAACTTCTAGTGGCTTAGAGCAATTTGAATGGTTGAAAGACCACGACGCCGACGATGAGGGTTCCGCGAACAAGGGTAAAAAACGATCGAAGGAACAGATGGCACTGGACGACTTTTTCGAACGCAGCAAACGGCAATTCGACTGGGAGAATTGCGAGCATGAAGATCCGGCGATTCGGTCCGAGGCGCAAAAGGAACAGGACAAGAGATTCTTGCTGTTGTTGTTCATGTGCGCGGTGTTTTTCTTCCTGGTGGCGATCGCCATGTTTGCCCTGCACTTTACCTACGGGACGCGGCGCGGGCGGTAGGAGAACGCGTGTGACTGGGCAAGGCGGAACAGTCGGACTCGGGCGGGATGCTTTTGTCGTGTGGGTTGTTCGGAATGTGCAGTGAAGTGTTTTTTTCAATGTGCTGCAACTGCTGGATCTACTTAATGGGAAGTAGTATTGGACACCGGAAGGTGTAGTTTTTGGAACCCACCTGTCTGAATCTGTTCATGTCATCGAAACCTAAATTTTGCAAATCAAGAAGTTGGCACATATGTTGCTGGAACTACGGCAACTAAAATTTTGATTTATTTATCCCGAAATGCCATGAAGCAAGGTCGTGGTCACAAAGTGAAATATTAGACATCCTCTGATACCGTCGTGTTTTATTTTTTGCATAGAAAATACCACAACCCATTAGATGAATGCAACATGAAAACAAACCTCCGCACGCTTAATACATCAATAAACAACAAAGCTGCTCGACATGTTCCATCATCAACGTATAAAAAGCGCACGCGTGCTGGTAAATGGGACCGCTGTCTCTGGTCATACCATACCATCTTCAGCAACTAGCACTGTTCGAAGCGAAAGCGAACAATAAGATATTGTTCTTGTCTTCCACCTGTGAAAATGTATCTTCCGTTCGGTTGTGTCTGTATTAGGCTGTTTTTGTCCGCCGCGCCTGCATGTCCTGGCCTGTAGTGACTTTACCGTCTTGTCTAGCCAGCTCTTTCGCGAGCCATTGTTCATTTTTCCACATCTCGGCGATGCATCTGCATGATCTTTGCATGGAAAGAAAGTCTCCAGCTCTTCTCCTGGGCGGCGCCAACAGCTGTAGCAAAGAGTGACGTCGCTACTAAGAGAACTACAACAAGATCCATGAAAAAACGAAAAAAGAAACCCATCCAAACTGAAGAATTGATGCGATGTCTAGCAGAGGAGCCTCGTCTTCAGCTCATTACACCGAGCGCGCCGGGCCGGAGACGAGGAAATTTGCACGCAAAAAACCTTCTGCGCTGTGTGCGGATGAAAAAGCTTCTTACCCAGCATCGTCCACACCCCTGCGTGATTACAACACTGCGGACGCAATAAAAACAGCAGCACTTCTTGCTACCGATAGCGATAGTACCTCGCAACACGAACTTGCGGCGCTCCTGAGAATTTGTGCCAAGAGATCTGCAGTCCACCACAAGAGTACAACTACTCGCACGAGGACCGCCACAGGCTCGCCGCCAATACAGCCGAAGCGGAGGAGAAAGAGTGCAATAAGAATCAGAACTAAAACTACAGCTACAGGCCCACCACGCCATCTTGCACAAAATTCCGACCAATCTGACCCAGTTTACCCGCAGCCCGTCTGGGCTTGCCAACGCTATCAAAAGGAAAAATCCCCCCTCCCAATATCAAAACGAAGTTTCTGATGCTGGATTTGCGTACACAAATCAGATTTATCTTGCTGGAGTGGACGGCAGGCCTATACTAAGCCTGAGTAGGGAAGTCTTGGGCTAGGCGCTGAGCATGGAAAACCTCTGGGCTGTAGGGCCAACAGCATCACAAACCGCCTGCAGAGTGCGGGAGAGTTGTGCGGTTGCGTTCTTGCAAGACAGAGACGATTTGTGGGTACAAATCAGCATTGCAAATCTTCTGAGACGTACCGTTTCGATATGGAGAGGGGGGATGTTTCCTTACGATAAGCGCCGCGCAGATGACGGTGGCACGGGCGTTTGAGAAGTTCCACAACAGCACCCTCTCCCGCCGTTACGTATGAACTGCAAAAGTATCGTACTCGTACTAATTGCAGTTACGCATTACAAATCTAGTTGTTAAGGCAAATCAGCATTACAAATCTAATTTGTAATGCTGAGCTAATTTGTATTGCGATTTATACTAGTACGATACTTTTGCACAGGATATTACGCGGCCCGGGACGACATTCAGCCCATTTACGCAACGGGGTTGACCGCCATCGTTCTGCACGGAACCAGCAACGCGAACGTATTTAAGTGAAAAATACCCCCTCCCCATATCGAAAACGAAATTTGTGATGCTGTATTTGAGTACACAAGTCGACTTGTAATGCTAGAAGGCCAAGAGACGCAGCTGTGGCCTCGTTTGCAGGCAATTTGTCATGCTGTTCCCCACTTCCAGCTGCCCCCTGTCATGCTGAAGATGCAAGGCTTTCCCACGCCAACCAGCACTAGAGTCCGCATCTTTTCCCTTCTAGCATGACAGAGCTGATTTGTGACCACAAATCTGCATCACAAATTTCTAGGTTGAGTATGGGGTGGGGGGATTTTTCATTTTGATAGAACGCCACGGATTCGAACTCCTCGGTGTACTCCGGGGACGAGCAAGTCGCCATAAAAATCGTCGACAAGGAAAAGATTCTAACCACGTTATTGTGAGGAAAAATCTCTCCTTCCCGTATCGAAAAGGAGATCTGTGATGCTAATTTGTGACCACGAATAAGCTTTGTCTTGCGTACAAGGCAAACGGCACCCATGTGGCGCATTGTGCAGCGAGTCTGTCGTGCGTTTTCGCCTATGTGCGACTTGTTTCCCATGCTCAGCTGCTAGCCAGCTGCGGACCCGAATGGGCTTAGAATATGCCTACAAGCTCTTGCTGCAATACAAAACTCATTCGTGTACACAAATCCAGCAACACAAATTGTCTTTTGAATATGGGGTGGGGGCTTTTTTCACTTTGATAAGCGTCCGGCTCCTCGGCGAGCGAGCTTCCGCGGGCCCAGTTCGAGGTATCAAATGCAAAAATGTCTGGGTCTGGAATGTTGTAACTTGTGATGCTAACAACTGTGGACTCTTCTAAAAAAATCTGTATTGCATGACCAGCAAGAGGAGTCTAGTTTGTGCTACGCGGGGAGGGCATTTGTCATGCGGAGTAGGCATCAGGAAGCCCTCTAAAAATCTGTGATGCTAGGCCGTGCATTACGGACATCCTGGGTCATGCAAAATATGCATGACAAACCCGGCAACATTCCAGACCCAGACACTTTTGCAATCCATACGAGGCCAAGTTGCACGAATCCCTCCCCTGGCACCCGCACATCGTCCCGCTCTTAGCGATATCAAATGTAAAAATGTCTGGGTCTGGAAGAGTCATGCTGTTTCTGCATGGCACAGAAGGTCTGGCGTGGAAGCTCTAGCATCACAGGTTTCGAGAAGCTTCCGCAATGCCGAATCCGCATGACAAATCCCCCACTTTCGTGACAGAAAGTGAGCAGGGTTTTGCTGCCTATGCATCAGAGATTTTTGTGTGTTCTGAAATGCGCATCACAAGTTACATCCTTCCAGACCCAGACACTTTTGCATTTGATAAGCGATGGAAGAAACGCAGGCCGCGGTGATTTTGATAACCCCCTACCTGCCGTCGGGAGACTTGTGGGACAAGATACGGTATGGCGACACCATACTGGAATCGGAAGGGAGAAATTTCTTAGCGCAGGTCCTCCGTGCGCTGGACGTGTTCCACAGTAAGATCATTCGCTTGTGCTTTATCAGTTTCGTTCTTTGTTTCGTATGCGTGTTTTGTTCGCATGAGAAATTATTTGCTGTTGCTTTGATTACATGTACTACAACTTCTCGTGCATTCTTTGCATTCTTGCACGACAACGATAAGTACAACTACAACGAAAATCGACGTAATTATAAACATTGCAGATCAACTCTCGCTCATTCACGGCGACATGAAGCCCCACAACCTTTTGCTTCGTGAAGACCATGGGAAATTTATCGTCCAGCTGTGCGACTTTGGTCTGACCGAAAAAGTGGATTTGATATGAACTGCAAAAGTATCGTACTCGTATAAATGCATTACAAATGTCCGCAGCATGAGAGATAAAATCTGTAATGCGGATTTACAGTAAGAAAAGATTTGTAATGCATGATTGCAATACGAGTACGATACGTTTATACAGGATATTTGAACCCGCGCACGAAGAAGTTTCAAATTCCCTTCACCGGGCTGCGTGGGACATCCGGGTATTTCGCGCCGGAAATGATAGACCAGTGTGACTACGGCTTCGCGATCGACGTCTTCGCGCTGGGGGTCATTCTCTTCCGCATGCTCGCCGGGTATGAGCCGTTTTACCCGCCCACGAACTTCGCAGACGGCCCGCTGTTTGACGAAAACTATTGGGGTCACATTTCCGCGCCGTGCAGGGACTTGGTGAATCGGTACAATGCACCTTGAATGATTTACCCAACTGACGGGGTTAATTGATAATTCTTTGTCATGCAGAGCTGCTGTTGCTTTTGCATTTGCCTTACAAAAGCTGAAGTGTTGATGCTCGTTTTGATGCACAAAAACAAGAAACCATGCACAAAACAGAATGCTCGCAGTCGATCCGGATGCGCGAATATCGGTGGCGCACGCCCTCGCCCACCCCTGGATTGTCGAGCAGCCGGAGACGAAGCCCGTATCAATAGGATTCGGAGCTCCGCCAAACGAAGCGCTGAAATTCCACGACCCCGTGATGCTGGGTCATGACTTTCAGCCAGTGCGGAGGTGATAGATCATGCTGGTGAAGGCGGCTACTTCCTGGTACTAGCGGCACTGAGATTTGTTCCGGCTCCGTCTTTCTGATTCGTACACTAGATCGTCGGCACGCGATGAAAATGTTGACCACTTTACGCAGCATTTTTTGAAATTGTTTTGGAAATTTTGAAGCTAGTAATTAAGAACAGACGACCTCATGTAGATGAACATATTGTGCGACCTCCAACTGTTGCTTCTTGCTTGTTATGCCGCTGCGAGTAAGAGCCCAGTGTTAGTCAATACCTGTGCCTGTGCGCCTGCACGTAATATTATAATCCATCTGTGGTTGTAACTAGATTCAATTTCAGGCATCGAGGAGCTGCCCTGGAATGATCTAGGACAAGCAGCAGGTGGAAGATCTTCCGGAGGACGACCGCCTTGGCTCAGTTTTCCAATCAGTTTTCTGGAAGTTGCAATCAAGAAAAGAATTGAAGGTGCCTTTTGATGCACGAACGGTAAAAAAAGATGAACTGATGTCACATGATGTTCCGCGTTGTGCTGCTTTCCTCTTTGCTTATGCTCGGACTTCTGAGTGACTGCTGTTTGCGTTTCGTCTAGGATCATTAACACCAGGTCCATTTAATATATTTGTGGTCTACAGAACTTCATTCGCTTTGTTTCACCCCAATATGTAAACCCAAAGTGTGTAGTTTATAACCTTTTTTCCTAATTCACCTAGTACAATCACACGCTGTTGTACTACTAGCAGGCACTTCATTACCCAATCGCTGGAATTTTGTAGGATCAGTTTCGTTTCTTTCTCATTAGTGATTGAGCACTACCACTGGTAGTAGTCTGTTTAAGTAGTTCATTTTTGAATTTTTTGTGTTTCCTTTTCCAACCTTTACTCTGCCGCTGTAAGTACATACTACTTTGTCTTGCAGTTGTTGCACCACTAGATTATCACGATGGGCAACCTCATCTCTTACTCCGCCGCCTCCTCTCCACAGGAGCAGGTGTTTCGCATGCGCGAAGCCGCCGGGGAGCGATTCGATAGCCAAAACGTCGAGGTCCCGCGGAACAAACTGCTCCAACCTTTTGACGACCAATTCTACACAGGTGTGAAGCAGATCGCCGCCGCGAGTCTGGCGGCCAGCACGGCGTCCGTGATTCTGAACCCGTTTGATGTGGTAAAAGTCCGGCTTCAGGTGCAAAACCAGCTGCAGATGAACAATCAGATGAACAACATCAACGGCTATCAAATTACAACTCCAAAATACTACAAATCCACACTCCATGCCTTGCAGCGCATCGCCATTGAGGATGGGGTGATTCACGGGCTGTGGCTCCCCGGGCTCACCGCCAGCGTCTGTCGGGATGTGATCAACGGGGGTCTGCGGGTGGGGATCTACCCGATGGTGAAAGACCTACTTCACGATCAGTTCCACGACCCAACAGGGCGGACCGAATCCCCCACCATCGCGTTTCTGTCCGGGATCCTCACCGGAATGTTCGGGTCGTTTTGCGCAAACCCGTTTGATTTGATCAAAGTGCGCTTCCAAGTGGAAAACGGCAGGCTGGAAAGGTGTGATCCGAAACCGAGGGACCAGAAGATGACGAGCGGTTTCGGGTCATTTGGCGAGAAAGGGACGAATGGGAAGAAAAATGTGAATGTTGAAAAAATCAATTTGAAGATGAAAGCGGCATACCCGAGCTATCCGTACAATCCTCCCCCGAGCTTGAAGACGATTTATGAGAGTGTGAACCAACATGGTGGACAAGAAATAGTCGGAACGATGAACCAGGGAGGCGGGCTTGGTTTCAGTTCCGAAGGCAACGCAGCCGGAGGTGGGAGCAGTACTAGTTCTAGCAATGCTTCACCCGCCGGTCACGGGAGTGGCAGTGGCGCAGCTCGCTCTACAACTACCGGTAAGATGAAATACGATTTACGCTGGTACTCCACGCTGACGAGCAGGTCAAAACCAAGGCTAGACGCAGCTCCGAAGAACCACAAGCCTCGCCCTGTGTCCACCGCTACGACAACATCCTTTCTCCGCAATCTTCTTCCGAAATCGAAGCAGGAAAAAGCCGCGGAGTTTTTCCTTCACGAGCAACAAACTATGGTGTTCTCAAACGTTATATTCTCAACTGTTACATGAAATTTGTAATGCAAGAATGGTAAAAGTGCAAGGGAAAAGGTTGCGCCTTTTGCATTAGAGTTTTGGAGCAGATTGTAATGCTATCTAGCGCGTCGAGAACTTGTCATGCGAAGCAGCTTGGTCATGTAGATGCTGGCGCCAATTTTGCATGACAAATTCATGCAACAGTTGAGAATGTAACGTCTGAGAGTCCCATACAAACGGCGAGGTACGTGTACACCACCGGGCTCTACCAGGGATCCGAACCCCAGTTCAAAAACACGCTGGAAGCGTTTCAGGGCCTGCAAGCCGACAAGTTGTTGTTCCGTGGGGTGATGCCCAACATGCTCCGGGCGTCGATAGTGACCGCGGCGCAGATCACCAGCTACGATTGGTCGAAGAAGTACCTGATCCACGAGAAGCAGATGGACCAAAACTGGCAGTTGTTCACGCTTTGCGGGTTGATTTCCGGGTTTTGCTCCTCGGTTCTATCCACGCCGGTGGACCTGGTCAAGACGCGCGTGATGAACGACCGCCCGATAGGGCTGCTGCTCGGCCAGGAGAGGGAAGGGTACCAGTTTCGGTCGACGAAAAAGTGCTTCTTCGCGACGGTGAACAAGGAGGGGGTTTTGGCGCTGTACAAGGGCTTCGCCGCGACCTTTTTGCGGCTGGGCCCGCACTTCATGCTCGGGTGGCCGCTCTTGGAGTTTTTCAGAACCCGCGTGTTCGGATTGGACTACTTTTGACAAGATAGATTTGCTGGAACTTATGATGGAAGTGGTTTTGAACCGTGTGGAGGAGGATAGGATAAGACTTGTGAAGTTGCTCTAGCGCACGGCGTAAAGAATATTTGAGCTCGAAGCTGCGCAGCCGTATCGGTATCTTGTTCTTCGGTGCAGCGGCAGCCGCGTTTTTAATACACACTGTTTCCGTGAATGATGATGAAAAGCGTGCAAGTCAGAGAAGAAAAGTTTCGCTGAAATATGGCGAAAAAAAGCTCGCCCATCATATAATTGTTGGAACTATTTACACTCACGAGTTCCTTAAATCGAAGGAACGACGATTGCCAGCGGTGTTCTTTCCCTTGTCGTTTGGATTTATGGTGGTCGACAGGATATCTGTGTCCTCGACTCGCAAAAGTTTCATTGGCGCGCTCCAAGGGACTGCCGACGCACGAAAGCGCGGGCATCTCGGCAGTGCTGCGTGGAATCCAAACGAAAACGCCCGCGCGCGTGTCTCCCGAATTTGGCCGCGGCTTACTCATCGCGGTGATCGCCGTGCCTTTGCTAGCGCTGAAGTGGCGGCGCTTCAAGTGCCGCCCTGCAGTTTGCTAGATTTGGAAAGGCCTGCCCCAGCCTTTGTGGGGAGACAGCGCACACGGTGGCGTACGATTTGGCGCCGCCGACAGTTTGAGCTGGCGCGCATTGGTGCAACTGTGTCGCGGAATCCCATACCAGGCGCCGCGTCCTACAGCCTGCCGCCGGGACTCCAGGTAGGAGGGGCGCCCGACCTCGCCTACCGCCTTCCTCGTCCGTCGCCCACTCCGACGTGATGAGAGAACGTGATCGACCGCGCGAGGCTGAGAAGGCAGGGGCAGCACGACGGTGAGCCGGCACGCAGCACGGCGAGCATGGGGCCCGACCTTCGCGGGGGTGATTGCCGGCGCAGTGTTCCCCCTGCCAGGCGTGGGCCCACGCCCGCGCGTGCCGGAGCGGTGTCGGCGCCGCGCGCGGCCTTCCAGCAAAGGCCGCCCGCCCACTGTTGCAGGAGCCGCCCGCGGGCGACATACGAGCCAACCGAGGGGCTGCCGTGGCGGTCCTAACGCGCTTCGCAAACTTTTGGGCGCCGCAGAGCGTTTGCAAACGTATGAGGGAGAAAGCGGCGGCGCGCGCCCGTGTTTCTGTTGCCTTGGTGCAGCCGGCGGCCCCCGCCCCCCCGCTGCCCCCGCCCCTGTTTCCGTGTGGCCATTACCGACGGGCCCGATTGCTAGTGCGGGGGGCCCGGGCGGCGGTTTTTGCCGTTAGCCGGACGCCCCCCCGCTCCCTCGCGCAAGCGGGCGGGCCCTTCGTGTTTTGTGCCGGCCCGCCCCGCCCTGGCCTGCCTTCCCCGCGCGCCATCGATCCAAACGGAGCCGGCGCCCTGTTGCCTGCGTGCCTGCGCCCCCCTGTGCCGCCCTCTCTGCCTGTGGCGTGCCTGCGCGGCTTTTTTTTTTGGTGTCGGCCGGCATCCTTTGCGCCCCTCTTTGTCTTTGGGAGGGCGAGACTGATGCCGCGCCGGCGCCGCGTCCACACGGTGCCTGCTCGCGGCAGCATTGTCGATTTTAGTTGTCGGCGGGAGCAGCCGTGCGTTGGCTGCTCACATTTTTTCCATTTGATCTCTTTTCGGTGGCCGGCATCGTCGGGCTGGTTGGTAGCACATGGGCAAGTCCATTCGCTTCAAGGGTTGCAGTGCCCGGTGTCAGATTTGACTTGGGACTGCATTGAAAAACCGGTTGCGCCACCACGTGTGGTGTTATTCTCGCACCGAAGCAATTCCGAAGGATCATCTTCAGCCACTTTTGGGTCACTGACTTCTCATCTGCATGATTGGATGTGTTCCGCGCGACACCTTCGCCACCGTCTAATCTTTACATCGTAGGTTCTGAGTGTAGTTCTGTGTGGACCTAGAATAAAAGTCATCGGGCCGATCATTCCCAGAGTCGCGCTATCGTTTTGTTCACCGGCGCTCCAAAATAAACCTCTAAGAACTTCTCCATCCGCTTTATTTCATGTTCTTTCTTTCCTGTTCCCGCCGTCGCCGTGCCAAGCCCCCTCGCCTCGATGAATATGATTTCTGGGACAACCTGTGTGCCCGCGGCATTTGGCGCCAGCGCAAAACCACCACCGGGTGGTTCCCCCGGCCCTTCCCCGAGCTCTCGACCAACGAAATGGTCACGACCATCGACAAGGCGCCCAAGATCAACGTCACCAACCGCGACTTCTGGTCGCGCGCGGCGGAGGCCTGCAAGGCGGCCTACTTCTCCTTCAACCCGAAGCAGCTCTATGGAGAGAAAAAAGTTTGTCACAGTCACTAACTTGCAGGTTTTGCATTACAAATTTTCTCAGCATCACAAACTTTCCTTGTATTGCAGAAACACTAGGGAAATCGCTAATCAATGAAGTGTGGCTGTGATGCATTTTTACGCATGACAAACAATTTTGTATTGCAAGAATGCGCATGAGTGATCGTGACGAACTTTTTTTCTTTGATAAACTCACCGCGGTCTGCAACGCCTTCATGCAGGCCAAGTACTACGACAAGCACCTGCTCTATGGAAGCGTCAGGTTTGTTGAAATCGTCAAAGTTGAAATAATTTGTAATGCATAAAATGCGATGCAAAAAGTGACGCTATTGCAGAGGGCCCACGGGAGGCAGATTATAGTCCTGGTAAGAGTCAAAAATTGGACTGCTAACTAGCATGACAGAAGGCAGCTCTTTTGCCCTAAACCGCATGACAGACTCGCTTCCAGGACCGGGAAAATTTGTCATGCGCCGACTGCAAACTGTAGGTCTAACTGGTATCCGTTTTATGCATGACAAACTATTTCAACTTTGACGATTTCAAACCTGACACATCCATATGCTCTCCTTCCTCGCGAAACAGAGCGCGCGCCTGGTGCACAACTTCCGCCCGAATGACCTGGCCGTCCTGTTGAAGGCCTTCTCCTGGCTGGGGCATCGCGACGACCATTTTTTGAACCAGGCCGCCGTGTCTTTGCTGCACCACCTGGGCGGCGGCGGGGGAGGTGGGGCGACAAATACATCATCCAACTCCGCTTTGCAACAGTTTCATTTCCAGCCTTCCCGCCCCGCGTCCGCGATTAACCTGCGGAGTTTCTCGGGCGTGATCAGCCCCAAGGGGTGCCGGATCATCGTGGAGGCGTATGCGCGGTTGGACTACGCGCACAAGGATTTGTTCCTCAAAATCGCCTACGATGCCGAGCTCAACTGGCCAAACGGGAGCGAGCAGTTGGTGCCGTTGATTCGCGCCGTCGCGGCCCTGTGTGAGACGGAACGGAAAAGGTGCCTATTTTTGTCATCAACAACTACTACTCCGGGGTCTGGATCTACGTTGACAACCACCGGACGAGAAGTCAATGAAGACGACCGAGACGACGACGGTCTGGAGCACAATCCGGAATTTTTTTCCCCGGACGCCGCGATCTGGGACGGGAGCTTTGTGCACGCAAACGTCTTGCAGGATCATGTTGCTGAACAGAGATTTGCTGGTGCGACACAGGCCGGCGCAGCGGGGAACACTATGATGTTCCCCGTGAGAAAAACCTCAAGAGCAGCCAGTGTTATCGACGCGGAAGTGATCCAGAAATACATCGACGTCATTGACAACAAGGTGATCATTTCCCTCCTGGAGCCGGAGTACTTTGTCTCTTTGGTCTGGTCCATGGCCCAGTTCGCGAAGTGTCAGAAGATCAAGAATGGCGATTCTTTTGCTACTCCTGTATCCTCCTCCTCCTCTTCCACGTCCAGCACCATTGTCCTCCCGCCGCGCCTGGTCGACGAGATTCTCTCGCTCGCCCCAAAATTGCTCTACACGACGAGTTATCAAATGCAAAAATGTCTGGGTCTGGAATGTTGCCGGGTTTGTCATGCATATTTTGCATGGCCCAGGATGTCTGTAATGCACGACCTAGCATCACAGATTTTTAGAGGGCTTCCTGGTGGCTACTCTGCATGACAAATGCCCTGCCCCCGTTGTACAAACTAGACTCCTCTTGCTGGTCATGCAATACAGATTTCTTTTTTTTTTAGAGTCCAAAGTTAGCATCACAAGTTTCAACCTTCCAGACCCAGACACTTTTACATTTGATACGAGTTCCGGCGGCGAGTCGAACATTTTCGATGGCAAGGCGAATCACCTCCCGATCCTCTTTGAGGGTCTGGTGGAGTTGGTGGGCCCGGAGATGGCCAGGAGCGAGGTGAAGCGGGAGGAACAGGCCATGCAAATGCGGAAAGAACAGGATCTGGAAAGGGAGCGGGTGTTGCGTGCGCGCGAATACATGAGGGCAAGGACAGGAAAGAAGTCGTATGGCAATCACAAATACTATGGTGACCACCCGGAAGATGATGTCGGTGCTGCAGCTCGCGGCGAAATCAGGAGAAATCAACATCGGAGGAAGAAACAAAAGAGCAGTGGCTCCTCGTCGCACCAGCCAGAAAAAGTTGGCGAAGAAGTTGTTGGTCGCTTAACGAAAGGTGGAAAAGGCCCGAATAAAGCGTCGCAAGGGCAACAACGAGATGAACGACGAAAAACTAACGACGACATCTTTCCAGATGATCTGGAACAAAATTATTGCTCGCACCAGGACGATCACAATACTGCAGGTCGTGACCAGTTCTCCACACAGCAGAGTGATATTACAACAACTCATACTGGCCAACGTGCACACATGCTGACAAATCAAAACGGTACTATTAGTTCCGCAAGTAAAAAGCCCTACCCCGCGACGCCTTATCTGTCCGAGGAAGACAACAAGTCGCCCTACCGCTGCTACGTATGCATTGCAAATAAAAAAAGTTATCGTACTAGTACAAATCGCATGACAAATTTTTTCGTAGATAGAAAAGTGAAACTTGTCATGGTGATTCAGGAATCAGGTATGCTATGGTAGGAAACCAGATCTGTAATGCTAGCCTTTATACGACGAGTGCGATACTTCTGCAATGCATACTACGAGCCGAAAAACAATCTGTTTTACAAGGACGCTTTTATCGTGGAGGCCTTGCGAAATGCGATCTACCGCAAAATCCCGCACTGGACGATCAGTCAACTGAATCGCTGCCTCTTGGCCATGGAAAGGTTAGAGGAACTCGTGAGGGCAGAGAGAAATAACGGCAGGAGTAGTTCAACATCCAGCACGGACGCGGCTCATGCTGGTGTTCTTTCTGGTGCATGTGCAACTACGTCCGATACTGGATCTCAAGTTGTTTGCCTTCCCTACCGAATCCTGGACGACTCGACATCCGAAATGGTCAAAGCGATACTGCCCCAGAAAATCGACCACCTGAAGCGCAATAAAGTGCTGGATATGCATTGCAAAAGTATCGCACTAGTATAAACCAGCCATGCTCCGGCTGACGCCGGAGCGCACGGCTGTTGTGCTGGGGTATGACTATTTGCGGATCGGACCGCGACGTAAGAGCTTTGGGGGCAGCGTGACAGGCCGAGGGAAGTACTGCCGCCGGCTTGCGCCATGTCAACCCGCAGGGGCCCCTGCGCGCTTCCCGCGCCTTTAGGCGCTATGCGCAGGGAGCAACTGCAGCGAAGCTTGGGGGCGAAGAAAAGCCGCCGCGACGTAGGTGCCGAAGCAGAACGGGGACCGCGCTGCCCTTTGTTGATCACTCTCCCGCGCCCGCCCATCTGATTCCCAGGCGGAAGCTGTGGGCGCGGGGGTGGCGCGAGAGGATGGCGCGAGAGGGTGGCGCGAGAGGGTGGCGCGAGAGGGTGGCGCGAGAGGGTGCGCGAGGGGGTGGCGCGAGAGGGTGCGGGCCGACGCATGAAAAAGCCCCAAAAGAATCGACCCTGTGCCGGGCGGATTCGGCTTCTTTTAACCCTCTCGCAGACCCTCTTTTTCACCTCTCCCGAGAGGTGTTGCTAATAATCCGGCTATACTCGCCGGTAGAGGTCTACAGAGGTGGCCGAGAGGTGGCCCAGAGGGTGCGCGGGAGGTGTGCCCTTATTCGCGCAACCTCTCGGCACCTCTGTCCCCCTCTCGCTTACCCTCTCGGGACCCTCTCGGCCACCTCTGGGCCCCATAGGCGCGGCTTTAGGGCGAGTCCTTCGGCGGGCTATACTCGCGCACCCTCTCGGCCACCCTCTCGAATGACCTCCCGCGCCACCTCTCCACCTCTGTCGACCTCTTTTTGACCTCTGTCGACCTCTTTTTTACCTCTCGGCCACCTCTCTTCGACCCTCTGTAGACCTCTTTTTTCGCATGAATATAATAGATAGTAATTGCATTACAAATTTTATCAGAAAGAAGAATGGTGGAATTTGTAATGCTAATTCGGCTAAAAAGGTAGGTTTGTCATGCAAGCTTGCAATTAGTACGAGTACGATACTTTTGCACCGGATACTGGAAGTCCTGTCGCAATTACCGGACAACCGAGGGAACAATGCGCATGTTGCTGCGACCACACCCGGACCGGGGAAATGCGGCGAAAACGCCAGCAGCGATGAACCTGAGACAACTGGAAACTGCAACAGGAGTTCATCTTTCACATCAAGTTCTCATTCACAGTCGCACATAAAGGACAAACTCCTGTCTCCCTCTCCGTCACGCATCTGCACCACCACAAGCAGTGTGAAATCCCTCGGCGTCTCGCCGATTATCTTGGAAGCTTTGGTGGAGCACTACGATTTCAAAGTGCAAGATTTGGTCTTCGTATCAAACTGAAAAATCCCCCCACCCCATACTCAAACTAGAAATTTGTGATGCAGATTTGTGGTCACAAATCAGCTTTGTCATGCTAGAAGGGAAAAGATGCGGGCTGTAGTGCTGGTTGGCGTGGGAAAGCCTTGCATCTTCAGCATAACAGGGGGCAGCTGGAAGTGGGAAACAGCAGGACAAATTGCCTGCAAACGAGGCCACAGCTGCGTCTCTTGGCCTTCTAGCATTACTCAAATGCCGCTAGTGGTTACTCAGATCACCTTGTTACTCAAGTCGATTTGTGTACTCAAATGCAGCACCACAAATTTCGTTTTCGATATGGGGAGGGGGGATTTTTCCTTTTGATACTTCGTCTCGGAACTATTACGCCGGAATCCGGATCTTAACGTCCGAAGAGCGTTTGAAAACAGGATTTTCGAAGCGCATAGTTTGGCTGTGATAGGCGAGGACCAGCATGTTGCAGCAAGTGGTCGTAGTCATAATGCTCTCGCAAGTAGTGGGGCTGATGCTGAGGACGAACGTGTCAAAGAAAATGGTAGAGGAAGTGGAGAAGGGGAAGGCATATCTCCTGCTACAATACCCGAACACATTCGCTTTGCGATTTTGGAAGACTCGATAGTGCAGGTTCCTCTTCGAGACGGTGCCAACATCCTAGAAGAGGTACAACTACAAGACGGTTATGATGGAAAAGAATGCATCCGTCAAAATCGAATGTCGTTCTCGGCCGACGCCATCGCCTTAGCGATAATTCAGTACTCCTCGCATGGTCGGAGTAATCATTGGTTGTTGGGCGGAAAAAGTGAAAGTGGAGCAGCGCTGTCAGAGAGCTGCCAAAGAAGAACATCATTTTTTTCATCACCTCATGGTGCCGCCGAACGTCCTCGAGAACAGCTTCTGGCGCTAGACCAAGTCACTCCCAACTTGCTCCCCGCGCTGCTTTCCGTTGCAGTCACGAAATACAGCACGAGCTCGAATTTGTTAGCAGCGGACAGAGAGTTGCTTTTCTCTCGGATCACGGAGATAATCCTTCTCATTGACCATAATATCCAAGGAAAAAATGTAAAAGATAACGGCGAAGCGACCACAAACAGCGACACAAGTCTGCAAGAACCTAGTGTTGAAACAACCGCTCTGCCTCTGTCTCCCCAAGCCCTGATAGTCGCGGTAAAGGCGGCGAGTAGTGTGCTCCCTGCGGAGGATTTTTCCGAATTGTTCTTGGAGAAGTGGACAACAGCAGTGCTTGAAAATCCGAAAACAAAACCGAAGCACGTCTGCAGACTAGCGATCGCGTTGCGGGACGGAATGCTGGACTGCGGGACTGTGCGGAGAAAGATAAGAGTGAGACATGCGGCGAAAAATACTACCGGGCAAGAGCGCACGGGCTTGCTTCAACTAGACGAGGAAAGAACGCGAAACGAGGACCACACAACTCTCGCGACGGGCAGAAGGCACTTCTATTCGTGTCTCGAAAGGCTGAATCAGAATACGAGCAGCGATCTTTCTGTCCACTACCTTACCGCGGTGTCCGAGTTGCCGGATGTGGAAGACGTGCTGGTAGCTTTGAAATTCTACGCGGATTATTTCCGTTACGAAGTTCTTGCTCCCTTGATAACAGAAAATAAAGCAGAGGATGTCGAAATGCGCAAGTTTGGCTTCGAAGCCTCCCAAGTTTTTTCCGCGACGAAAACAGCGGCTCTTTCATCTTCCTTGCCGTCAACATGCTACAAAGCAGCGCACTTTGGCGGCTCTACTGATGTCCCTGGCAAAAATTCATCCGTCTTCACACCGACGATCCGCACACGTACGAGAATAATTCCCATTCCGCCGGATGTGAAAGCGGTTCTGAATGCGAAATTGATTTTGATTCAGGAGACCCTGAAGGAGTCTTGGCGCAAGCAGTTGGACCTGCAGAACACGTGCGCTAAACTAGGTTTGGAACTGGAGGAAAAGATTCTGTTCGACCGGACAGCATGCAACGCGATCGGGTTGGAGCATGTGGGTAAAGATGAGTGCTTGGGAAGTGGTCCTCACGACGAGTTATTGGAAGAGGACGATGAAGAGCCGGTGGATGAAGATAACGAACTAGAGGACGAGCAAGTTGAAGATAGCGATGTCGTTGCCGCAGATGAGACGACAGCAGCAGACGAAAAAGAATTTGAAGTTGACGACGATGCTGACGAAGATAGAAGTACTGCAAGAACTGCTGATGTGTCAGAAGACGAATGCGCTAAAGTTAGTGGCAGAGCAGATGTTAAACGCCATCTCCAAGCGAAGACAAGCATGCGGGATATGAGCAGTACTCCTCCTGCGAAAAGAAGGGACAGCCTCCGTCGCAATCCTGAAGTGCATGAAATGGTGTCGGGGAATAGCCGCAACGGTGACAGCAGTGACTCACAGACTCGTCCTGCCAGGATTCATCCTCGAAACGACATTAAGTACACCGGGCCGCCGTGCGACCATGGGCAGCGGGGAATAGCTTAAGTAGAGGCAAGAAAAGCACACAGCGAGAATGCTAGTACACGGCACGGCATGAAGATCGGCTTCTTAGCTAATTGTGCGGTCGTCCAAACCGTTGAATCGCAATCGGCTTCCAGCCAGGGACGCTGCACCTCCGCCTGGTACTACGGAAATAAAATCAAATGAACCCATCCGGAAATCAAATGAACCCATGCAGAAATCAAGTGACACCATGCGGGAAAATATGAACTCCAGATTCGAAATGTTGAACCCATGATGTTGACCACACTAGTACACAAAAGATAAGGATAGCTCCTTTCATCTTGCTTTCTTTTGTAAGATTTTGCACGGACGCTTTTTAGTGCTGGAAGAAAAGATAGCTGTTTGAAACATCACGTGAGGACGAGCTGACCGCTGCGGCTTGCTGCGGTCCATGATGTGCTAGTTGCAGCTTCTGGCTTGTGCGTTCTTTGTTTAGTGCCCCCGAAGACACTTTTCGATTGCGGACGAGAAGAAGCGCTACAGGCTCTAAAACTGCAATAGAAGTAGTGGCAAAACAAAACTGTAGACCTTTAGAGAGGGTCGTGAGTGTGCGTGTAGCTGCCTGGCAGCTACAGTGACGAGGCGGTACTTGGTTCCGCTTCGAATCTACAAATATGACGTCGTGGAGAGAGCACAATATGTGAGATAAGCGTGTTGCTGTTGCAAACCGAAAGCTGTGCGAGCCCTAAACATGTCTGCTTGTACAACCAAATATGCTGCAACAAGATAGCAACGTCGTGTCTTTTCGGTACACCAGTCAAAACTGAATTTCGTCCCTTCTTATCGCAGTCAACACACAGTGCAACACGCTTCACAAATTTAGTGAAAAAATGCTTTGCACGCGCGGGTGGTCCTTTCCCTCGGTGATGAAGCGCGGTTGCCCCGGACCACCAAAAAGAAACGACAAGCTTCTCATGCAGAGTCAGCATGAGAAGTATAATTTCCCCCTGTCGCATAATTTCCAGCACCACAACTTTGATGTCTACTACTCCGCTGGCGCGACAACAAATTTTCGTTCCTTCGTCGGCGTTATGACTTGCCAAAGTATCGTACTCGTATAAATGCATTACAAATTTCGTCAGCATGAGAGATAAAATTTGTAATGCTGATTTACCTTAAGAGAAAGATTTGTCATGCATGATTGCAATACGAGTGCGATACTTTTGCACAGGATAGGCTTCGTCAAATTTCCAATGAACAAGCCGAAAACTACGAACTACTATCCTATGTAAAAACGTCCGCACCCCATAGTTGCAATGCACATCTGCATGCTGAAAATATTTCTCATGCGGAGCCCCAACATGTGAAGCACTTTCTAGTCGTGCTTTGGACTTTGTGATGCTCGAATCACCATGATATGCTACATCTTTGATGCTGCTGAACTAGCGAAACAGCATTATGCTACGTCGAGGCCAAACTTGTCATGCGCGACAACCAAAGCTTGTTAATTTGTCTAGCAGAGTTAACATTTTGACTATCGGGTGGGGGCGTTGTTCCACACGATAATTACGAGTCCATCCCCACCTACCCGCCGCGCCCGAACTTCAAAGATTTCAAGAACATTTTGAAGCCCGACTCCCATATGGAGTTCTCAACTGTTACATTCTCAACTGTTACAACATGCATTTGTAATGCCTGACTGGCAACAGTGAAAGGAGGAAGATGATTTTTGCGCCTTTTGCATTATAAGTTTGGCGCAGATTTAGGCTCGGCTTAGCCCTTCGCAAATTTGTCATGCGGAGCAGCTTGATCGTGAGGATGATGGTGGTGCTTTTGCATGACAGATTCATGTAACATTTCAGAATGTAACGTTTGAGAACCCCATATCCCAGGTCGTTGTTTTCGACGGCTGCCCGGATGACCCCTACAAACCCTCCTCCACCCCGCTCTACCAGACCGCGACTTTCAAAGCGCCCACCGCCGACTCGTTCGGGGAATATGACTACACGCGGTCGGGGAATCCGACGAGAACGGCTTTGGAAAAGCACGCGGCCCTGCTGGAAAAGGCCACCGCGACCTTCGCCTTCACCTCTGGGATGGCGGCGCTGGCGCAGGTCGTATGCGGGTGCACAACTCCCCCTCCCCGTCCCCCTCATTTGTCATGCACAATACCAAATCCAAGCGCTGCTCTTGGGTACTGTTCGCATGACAAATTCCGGAAGCCCAAACAGAAGTACTACATTACGCACACTCGCTTGCCATGCACTGGCTTCACAGGTGCAGGTGTTTGTATTGCTTTCCATGCCATACAAATGAGAGGAAGGGGGAGTTGTGAACTGTCATAGGTCGTGCGGTTGGTCGGGAAAGACGGTGTGATTTTCTGCGGGAACGACATCTACGGGGGCATGTACCGATATCTGACGAAAATGAGTTTCTGTGCGGAGCTGCACTTCATTCCGACCTACAACGTGGAGGCTGTGAGGAAGGCGATCGGTGAAGCGCGGACGAGACTGGTCGATTTGGAAAATGAAAAATCCAAGCAAAAGATCCTGCTCCACCTGGAATCTCCCTCGAACCCGCTTTTGAAGATCTCTTATCAAATGCAAATATGTCAGTCTGGATCTGGGACATCATTGCGAGATTTGTCATGCTAGTCTGGCATGATTCTGACCTCTGTATTGCGTGACCGCGAAGAGGAGCTCCTGCACGCGTCTGTCATGCAAAAACGGAGTTTCTCATGCGGAGTACACAACTCAGCACCCCGGAAAGTCTTGTCATGCTGGAAAGCGCATTACAGTGTGCTCAGTATTTGCTTTCTTGCATCACAGGTTTCGTCCAGACCCAGACGTATTTCCAATCCATATCTCCGACATCAAAGCCATCGCGGAAATTTGCGAGCAGAACAACGTCCTGCTCTCCGTGGACTGCACGGCCATGGGGCCGCTGCTGTGCAAACCGATCGACTATCAAATGCAAACATGTCAGTGTCTGGAAACTTGTAATGCTGAGTGACGGAGCATGTGTGGAGGCCACAAATGATGGCTCCGCATGACAAGTTTCTGGGCTTTGAAAGTCTAAGTGTAAGTGTTGCTTATTCTGCATCACAGAAAAATGGGGCTTTTGGGTAACGTGCATGACAGACATACTTAAGAGTCTTGCAAGCCTAGCATGACAAACCTTGCGCTTTTCCAGACCCAGACACATTTGCACTGGATATCGACCTCGGGGCGGACCTGGTCGTGCACTCCGCGACCAAGTGGCTGGGCGGCCACTCGGACACCATGGGTGGCTTGCTGTCCGTGAAGTGCCCCGAGCTCGCGCAGGCGGTGGCCTACAACCAGAACGCCGAGGGCACGGCGCTGGCGCCCTTTGACTGCTGGCTGCTGCTGCGGGGCATCAAAACCCTGGCGATACGGCAGAAGAAAGCCCAGGAAAACGCGCGGCAGGTCGCGGCGTTTCTGTTGCGGCATAAGAAAGTCTTGAAGCTGTATTGGACGGAGCGGATTGATACTGATGAGGAGCCACAAGAACTACACTCCATCGCGGAACAGATGCTCACCGAAGAGGAAGAACAGATTCACCGAAAGCAGACGACGCCGGGGGCGTGCGGCTGTTTGATTTCTTTCACCACCGACTATTGAGAGGAAAAATTCCCCCTCCCCATATTGAAAAGGTATGTGTCCAAAAATTTGTGTTGCGGATTTGAGGTCACAAATTACATCTGTCTTGCAAGAAGACAAGGGCAGAAGCTTCCGCCCCATTATGGCGGCGATTTGTCATGTTGCTAGGCCTAAAGGGGAGCCGTTTGTAATGCTAAGCACCTAGACCCAAATGGAATGCCCCTCCCTAGGCTGCGGATCTGGCTGCGGTGCCGTATTGCAAGACAGCGCGCATTTGTGTACACAAATCCTGCATCACAGATTTCCCATTTGATATGGGGTGGGGGCTTTTTTCATTTTGATACCGACGACGCCGAGTTCAGTAAGCGACTGCTGGACTCCCTGCGTCTGTTCAAGATTTCGGTGTCCTTCGGGTCGGTGCTATCAACAGCAAAAATGTCTGGGTCTGGAAGAATGCCAGACTTGTCATGCAGGTTTTCCATGACCCATGAGGTCTGGTGTGTAGGACATAGCATGACGGATTCTGTGTTAGTTCTATCATGCCTATCCTGCGTGAGAAACTGCCTCTCGATTAGGTCAAAAGTGGACAGCTTTTGGTAATCATGCAACACAGATTTTTGCACGATTCAGATTCGGCATGACAAGTTGCTCTGTTCCAGACCCAGACACGTTTGCACTTGATACGTGCACTCGGTGTGCGAAATGCCCGTCTCCATGAGCCACGCCAGTTTGCCGAACGAGGTGAAGGGGGCAAATGCAGCGGACGCCGCGAAGAAGGAGAAAAGCGCAGAAGATATGGCGATGGCGTTCCAAAACGTTACATTTTCAGCTGTTACATGAATTTCTGATGCAAAAACACAAATTTGCAAAGAGGCAAGCTTGCAAGTCTCGCATCACAAATTTGGCACAGATTCCGATGTTGTCTAGCCTTTGGAGAATTTGTCATGCGCAGCAGCTTGATCGTCTGGCGGCTCATCGTCATTTTGCATGACAAATCATGTAACAGCTGAGAGCGTAAGGTTTGAAAACGCCATAGAAGATGATGCGGACGTCGATCCGCTACCGCCGGATTTGGTCCGCCTCTCCATCGGCATCGAGGACGTGGAGGACTTGATTGGCGATTTTTATGCAGCTGAGTACTTAGCTCATTTCTCATGCGGGCTGCGGGAGTCGAGAACGTGTTTGATGTTTGGTGGAATCGCATTGTCATGTTGTTGTATTTCTAGAAGGTTGCATATGCATGCTTATGCGGTCGGATATCGCAGATAGATGAATCAATACTAGATTGTTAATACAACTTACTCTTACTTCTACGCGAACTCGGTCCTTGTCCCTGCTCCTTCGTAGAAAGAAACCTCACCTATTCCATACCCCGCACCAAGCTTTCAAAGCGGCGGAAATTTTGGTGGAAAACAACGTGAAGCAGTTTTATCAGGGTCCGCGGCAGGAAAAGCGTTTGGAGCAGATTGGGAAGGGTAATTTACCCGAGCTCTTTGCGGAAGCGGACCCGGAGGAGAATTTGCTGTTCGATTCGAAATATCAAGTGCAAAAGCATCGTACTCGTATTGCAGTCATGCATTACAAGTCTTTTTCTTGAGGTATATCAGCATTACAAATTTTATTTCTCATGCTGCGGAAATGCATTTATACGAGTGCGATACTTTTGCACTGCATACGAAATTTGAAGATTTAGAAGTGACCCCGAGAATGATGGAGAAAGAAGATAAATAAGTTGTTATACACAACGTGCAACTTTTGCGAGGTAGCTCTAGTACTTGTTGCACAGTTTCTGGAAAGATGAGAGCTGGAATTATGCTTGCCGTGACCTCCGGTTCAAATGGTGAAATTTATGCCTCCTCATGTGCCTGCTCAAGGACTGTCTCGATATGGCTCCTTGAAAATCCGAATCGGAATCCGTCAGAAGTAAAAATACAACTAGTTATCTCCCGCCGTCCAGAAAGTGGTGAACTGAATGGAAGCAGAGCTGCATAGCGAGTATGTCCAGGGGTAACGTACGAGACGAACGGAACGAGTGCCGAGAATAGGCTAGAAACGTACAACATTCGAGTTTACAGATTTTCCTTTTTGTCAACGTCAAGTCAACAAGACAAAACTAAGTGTAAGTACTATGCGCAGAAAAGAGAAACAATAAAAAATACTAACACCTGCTACTAGTAGCTCTAGCACTGTGCTTTTTTGAATGCAAGGACCACCGGCTCTGTTTCGTGTACCTGTACGATGGATGAAAGTAGAGTCGCAATAAAGCGAATGTAGGTGGTCTTGCAGCGTGCCGCAGCCCATGCCTGAATCAAACTAGCGGCAAGTGCCGGCATGACCAAGTGGAAAAGTTGTTTGTGTTGCGTAGTGGCAACGCCAAGTTTTCAGATCGTCAGAACAAGAAAGGGCAGAACGGAATGAAATGTATGAATGTAGTAGTTCTATTTGTTTCTACCGTCTGGATCTGCTTCCTTCATTCATCCTCTGGACCAATGGACAGGATCAACAGGCATGGAAAGTTCCCCTGCGGATCATGCGGTCCGAAAGCATCTTCACGATTTTGAATTTGTTTGCTCGCGGGTGACAGAGAATCTAACACTACTTTAGCGCAGTCAAGGCTCGAAGCTCCTATCGTAAAATTGCTAATTTGAAGTTCCTTTGTGTTTGCACCGTCGACATGAAGAAAAAGACAATTGAAGATGATCAACGCGATCGGTTGAAGAAAGTGCATAGCCGCTCTGGTGATCCACGCCTAGACACTTATCCGTCACGTTCTCGAGGATAGCAACAGTTTCTATTTTTTGTCTACTGCAACTTAGATAGGCCTGTGTCAGACGTGACTGAAAGGACTCCACCTCTACTTCTCCAACAGTTTCTAAATGCGTAGTTTATATCATTTTCATTTGACGCACGTACTGAAATAGAATTAGCAATACCAAAGTAGTACTACGACAAAACACGAAAGATGAAGATCAACCTCGACCGCATCCCGGTTTTCCTGGGTTTTCTCGCGCTGGGAATTCTGCTCACCACGGCACTGATGCAGTGTCTCGACTGGAGCTACGGGCAGGCGGGGCCGCTGGGCTTTTTCCTGGTGGTGCAGCTGCAACTATCAACTGTAAAAATGTCTGGGTCTGGAAGAATTCACGTTTGTCATGCTTGTCTGGCATGACTCTTAAATCTGTCACGCACGTTACCCAAGAGCTCCGTTTTTCTGTGATGCAGAAGCGCAGTTTGTCATGCAGAATAGGCAACACCTAGGAGCTCAGAAACTTGTTATGCTGAGCCAGCATTTGTAGCCTCATCATGAGACGCCACCCAGCATCACAAGTTTCCAGACCCAGACACTTTTACTTTTGATAGCAAAAGATGATGAACAATTTCTCGGACAAGATGAAGGAAATGGAAAAAGGTTATCCTGAGTAAAAACGTACCCACACCAGAGTTGTAATGCAGATTTGCAAAGACAGGAAGACTTGTAATGCGCATCCGCATGAGAGCCATTTCCAGTCGTGTTTTGGAATTTGTGATGCTGTGAACAGGATGAGCAGATGAATCTGTGACGCGGCTGCACTTGCTAACCTGCACTACACTGCAGAGTGCAACTTGTCATGCGTGACTCACAAAACTCCTAGGTTTGTGTTGCAAAATCCCCATCCTGACTCTGGTGTGGGTAGGTTTTTACTCAGGATAAAGGTACAGCAAGCAGTGGGGCTGGGGCCGGGAAAAATACCGCAGGAAATGTGAAAGCCGTAGCACCGTCAACACCACCTGGTGGCAATAAAACGGGGACGAGCAAAAAAGACAAATAGTAACAGCGACCCAGTGGTTTCTTTGCCGGAATAAACCAAAAGCATGAACAGCCGATGAGCGCGATTTGCTGGCCGCGACCGAGGCAAGGAAAAGCGGACCAGAACAGCTGCGCCGATGGTCACGAGGGCCCGCCGCCACAAGATGGAGTTGGAGAGAGCAAATACATGATCCTCAGTCGGGGCTCAAGAATTGCAGGGTTCTCAAAGCGCCTGCGCTGTCCAGCCAACCGCGATCCTCGCGAACGAGAAGGGCGATAATTACCACATTGTTTAGTAACCTGTTTCACACTAAAACGGCAGCGACATTTTGTCTTCGTAATCCTCGTGGCAAAACTAATCTTCGTAATCCCCGCGACGAATCGGAATCCGCTGGTGCCCTTCATTCAGGTAGAACTATTTTTGTGCATTCATCCCGCCGGATGGGTTCATGCTTTTCATTCCTAATAACTTGGCGACCGATGTTGCTCTCAGTATCAACGAGAACGACCAAACACGGCTCAGTCTCCAAGCTGCCCATTTGGCGGCTTAAGAAAGTGACGCTCACGAGGATCTCTTTACGGCAGAGTCAGCCGCTAAGTGCTTCAATGCGAAGTTTGAAAATCAAGCACAGGAGCTGCATTTCAACAAGTTTCTAGCAGCACGCAGATGAACAGATTCAAGTTTGTTCGTTAGTCCGTCCAACGGTAGCAGATAGAGGATGATTTCTTTTCGTGGTTTCCATGATCTCGAAGACCCACGACCAGTGTTGCTCTTCCTGCCGTTGCTCGGAGTACTCACGTATTATTTGTTGTTAAAAGTAAGTACGAGAAGTCCACCACGTCGGTTGTACTCGCTAGAAGAAAGATACACTCATGGAACTCCTCGGCATTGGTTAGCATGCGAACGAGCGTGGGTCGTGCAAAAACAGTGTAGTTGCCACAAACTGAGAGTGAAGTCGTCAGGGGAAAGAAAAAAATCCGTTGTTCGTTGTCGTGGGTCTCGTTGAAGTTCTACTGAGAAAGTTACGACACAGCTCTAGGAGATGTTGTAAGGGCCTTATAGCAGCTTTACGTTTATTACCGGGAATTCTGCCGCAGCAAATAAAAGATGCACGTGGATAGTACATCGACATACTTATCCTCGTCGAGAAGTATTGACTGATTGAAATCGACAGAAGAAGAGAGAATCGAAGCGCTCGTTGTGCAGGGAGAGCTTCTACCCTGTTTTCGTCCTTCAAAAACAAAAAAAAACATACAACTGATCAGAAACAGTGAGTTCATTCCAAGAAGATGCGTCTTCCTTCTCCGGCTTTGCCGGGATTGGCGCCCCACCCGGGTGGAAAAATGGCACTGCGTGCCTCGGGCTACTTCGCGGCTCTGAACCTCCTGCTCAACTCAGCCGGTGTTATTTCCGTCGCCGAAGCTCGCGGCGAGGGCATCACCACGAAGGGTCGGGCCGAAAAGCTGCTGGAGAAGCAGGCCATCTCCGTGACCCCACTCGGTATCAGAGTGCACAACTATTTCATCCCCTCGTCCTGCTCATAATTTGCAGGGCATACTTACACGGCAATGGACGCCACCCGGGCGCACTTGTGTTCTTTGCATGACAGCTCCAGGCAGCACGGACTGTAGTACTGTCCAGCTGTAGCTCCTGTCATTTGTCATGCGCGTTTAGTGCTACAACGAGGCTACAACTGGATTGTCATTGTTTCATTTTTGCACGACAAAAAATTAGAGGAACGTACGAAGGGAAGCCGTGCACTGTCATACCCGGTGCAGCGAATTCCGAGCAAGAAGATGCTGGCACGGACGAACCGTCGTCGCAACACATCGAAAGCGGCCACTACGCCAGTTTTCTCGACACGGAATTGGATGTCCAGATATCCTGTGCAAAAGTATCGTACTCGTAGTGCAATCATGCATTACAAGTCTTTCTCTTAAGGTAAATCAGCATTACAAATTTTATCTCTCATGCTGAGGAAATTTGTAATGCATTTATACGACGAGTACGATACTTTTGCAATTTATACCAGACGGGCACCTCCAACAAGGGGTCCATCTACACCTACGAAACTAGTGGCAACAACGAAACGCTCCCGACGAACACGACGACCGAGGAAGCGGTGGCCGAAGGCGGCGTGGAAGAAAACGAGAAACCGGCTGAAGTATCAAATGTAAAAATGTCTGGGTCTGGAAGAGTCATGCTGTAGTTTTTGCATGACACAGAAGGGCTGGCATGGAAGCTCTAGCATTACAGGTTTCGAGAAGCTTCCGCGATGCCGAATCCGCATGACAAATCCCCCACTTTGGTGGCTGAAAGTGGGCAGCTTTTGCTACCCATGCATGAGAGATTTTTCTGTGTTCTGAAATGCGCAACACAAGTTTGTATTCTTCCAGACCCAGTAGACACTTTTGCATTTGATATGAAGTAGAGAAGGACGATGAAGCTGGTGCGACAACCACTTCGACTGCCCCCGCCGAGATATGCATTGAAAATATGTCTGGGTCATCTTCTCGAAGACTGCAAACTTTTGATGTGGATTCTGGAACAGGCAAAATAAAAATCTGTGTTGCATACGTACTTTTAGCAAAAGATGCGTGCTTTTTGTCCTCAGGATGGCTTATTAATGGCATTTCTCATGCAGACTAGGCATGAAAAACGAGAACCCTCCGCAGATGAATTTGTCATGCTCAGTGCCTCTTAAGGACCCTCTTGCACTTGCAAAGGCTGGATCACAACTGTCTGTTTTCTCTCAGACCCAGACATGTTTGCGTTTGATACGAAGAGACCGGAAGCACCAGCAAAAGCGACGCCAGCTTTCTGGAGGACAAGAAGGTGCTGAATGAAGTTGCCACGAACAAGGGCGCCATCTACAAGTACGGGGAGCAGCAAGCCGAGGAAAACAACGAAACCCTGCAAGAATATCGCAAGAAAAAAGTGTTACAGTTACACATTGTGTTGCAAGAGCGGCAACACAGACAACCTTTCTCATGCAGGAAATGCTTAGGAGCCTCGTTTCCTTCCTGTTTTCCCTTATGATCTTCGCATTACAAGTTTTCTCTGCCAGGCAGAGAAAATTTGTGATGCGGAAACTCCAACAAGTGTGTAACTGTAACACTTTTTTCTCATGATAAAGAAACGAACGCAACCACTGCTGCGCCGTCCGCCGACACAGACGAGCATCACGACGAGCCGCAGCGGTGGTTGAGCGCCGCAGAACAAGGTATCCCGCCTGTGCCCCCGAGATCACTACCGCAACCCCTCATGTCGCCGGAAGAGTATCAAATGCAAATGTGTCTGCTGGGTGTGCAAGATTACAACGTGTCATGCTAGATCTGAATCAGGCAAAAAACTGTGTTGCATGATTGCCAAGAGTTGTCCACTTTTGACCTAATCGAGAGGCAGTTTCTCATGCAAGAGAGGCATGATAGAACTCTCACAGAATCTGTCATGCGACGCCCTGCATTCCAGACCTCATCAGTCGTGGAAAACCTGCATGACAAGTCTTGCAAAGCAACTACATTGCTTCTCACCTCACTTTTTTGAGATGGGTTTTTTCGTAGATGGGTCTGTGTCATAGTAGATGCTTTACCGCTTTTTTACTTTTCTTTTCTCCCTCGGCGCTAGAGTTATGGGTTTGCATACAAGATTATCCCTACTTAGATAACGACAAAAGCTCATCCTGCAGCCGTCCCAGGAGCTCTTTGTTGTTGTCTCTCGGTAGTGATTATTTTGTCCAAATCTATTTCGGCTAGAGTTTATTGCTGGGTAGGCGGCTACTGTTTTACGACAATTTACACAGGGACGCCCTGCCCTTAGTTTCCCAACATGACAAGTCTTGCAATCTTCCAGACCCAGACATATTTGCAGTGCATAAAGAGGAGGAGGTCGCAATCGACCTGAGGATGGCACACGTATGGAAAGACGAAGAGGTATCAAACAGAAAAGTCATTCATCTTTGTTCCAGCGCGGAAAAGGAAAATTTGTGATGCTGATTTCCGGGCACAGATGGTACCTGTCTTGCAAGACGGGGGCAATGCCGTAGAAGACCACGACTTATTTCATCAGCACCATGACATCTCTATTGCGGTTCAGTGTCTGCCATGCTTCTAAACAGCTACGTGCGATGTACACCTTCAGCCTTAGACAGGACTACGCTTAGCATGCGCCTGTGCATGACAAAGTGAGATTGTGTAGGCAGATTACGCTAGACAAATTTCGCTCGAGTATGGGATGAAGAAACTTTTCCTCCTGACACAACGACGAGGAGATGGACCGGGAATTGATGGAAAATTACGGGATCACGCGGTACCAGGCCCTACGCATTGCAAATATGTCTGGCTCTGGAAAGTTGTGATGCTAATGTCCAAGTAATACACAACTTGTGTTAGGGGGCCGCGCATGACAAGTTTCTGAGCGGTGATGTCTAGCGTGAACCGCATGACAAATGGCGGCCTTTTTGCATGACAAGCAAGTTGCACATCTGTAGCGCACCAAGCATGACAGACCTTTCTGTCTTGTCGGCCAAGCAAGACAGACCAGCATTCATCTTCCAAAGCCAGACATATTTGCAATGGATAGGCGCAAGCCGGACACCAAACCGTGAAGGACAATGGTACCTTGGACCTCTTCAAATCGATGAACGAGACCGGTATGCTGACCGCCTTTGAACACCAGGACGCAAACCGCGACCTATGCATTGCAAAAATATCGTACTAGTAGTAACGGCATGCGCATGACAAATTGAATTTAGAAACACAGTGAATTACCTACAGATGAGACCAGCACCAGATTTGCCATGCGTGGTTGCAAGAATTACTACGATGACTGAGTGCGATGATTTTGCGCTGGATACGACCTCGTGATCGACGAAGCCGAAAACGCGGAGCTGGTGCACGCGGCGGACATGGATGACGACGGGCGCGTCACTGCCACGGAGTTCGGCGAGTACTGCGGCGAAGCGATGGAAGATGTTCAGGATGGACAGGTATTTAAAGACGTTTTTACCTCTGTTGTGTGCCGTTCTTTACCTTGCGAGTCACATCAAAAACTCGGATCGGTGGATCCAAGGCACGGGTCACAAACAAAAAAATCGGTTCGTCTTTCTTCGGATTCATCGCCATCCGGCGGTCCGGACAGATACATCGCCAGCATCCGGCGGCACTGGTGCTCTGCGAATCGCTTCGGTGGCCAGAAGGGTGGTGGCCTAGGCCTACTTACTTCTCGCACAAAATTCCGGCTGCGGTCTTGTTGCGGAGTAGACCGCGTCTCGGCGTGTTTTAAGGGCTACGCCTATGCATAATCCTGCAGTACTTCTTCTTCTTCTTCTAGTATCGTGCCTGGCCCATAAATCTACCCGGGGGGACTGCCTTGGCTTCTTGTAGTCTCTTCTTTTCCCCTGTATAGTATGTTTCAGTTTCCCCCGGGTCCGATCTTGAAACCCCTCAAGATGGCAGGGTGTACTGTATCTGCGCCACCACCGAGTGAGCAGCCGATATCATAAAAGACCAAGCGCACTTTATTAGGAATCGCCTGGCTCCCTAGATTAAGTTCTTTAGATACCCCACTCCCACATAACTATCTTCAAACCACCGAAAGCCATTGAAAATTCGGCCAAAGGGCGCTGCCGCTGAGAATCCGCGAAAGCACTAGTCGGCTGTGCTACTATGGGCACGTATGTCGTGCGCTTCCATTCACCAGACCGATGGGCGCACACGATCCGCGCCGCAAGATCGTAAAATACAACTACTCCTCAGTCTGGCGATAATGAGGGTAAAGAGTTCCCATTCGCAGACGTATCCGTATGAAATCCGAAAAGATCGGCGTGCGCCGAAAGAAATATGGTGACTGAGTCATCAGATTCCGACAACCATCCTATACGAAAACAGGATCCGTCGACAACCAGTGGTATCATGGGCTCCACCGTGTTGCAAATCCAGCATTCGAAGACTTTGCAGATGATGAGGTTGTTCAATTGGTGTACGCCAACGGAGCGACCAGCGACGGGGGTCGATTGGACGCCCGGGACCATCACGACGGCGGCGTCGGAAGGTCCGATCGATCGTCCCGAATTCCGACAACAGGTCGGATACCCAGCGCAACCGCAAGAACACCCGCACGACAACGGGCGTGCAACAGCAAGGTTTGAAGGTTGATGAATAATATTGATTTATGTATGATGAAGTTGTTGGAGCCGAGTGATTGCTTGTATCTATGCGTAATCGTACCTGTTATTCTTGTGCATAGCGATACACTTCCACTTCTGCGTTTTTTGAGATGATCAACCTCAGAACTATTCGGAGTTGCTTTACCCAGTAGTTTATGTTTACGTAAATAAAGAACCTCGGGCGTCCGCCTCTCTTTCCCCCAGGGAGCAGAGCCGGATCAACAAGGCACCAGGGCGCCACCACAGGGCTTCCCCCTGGGATCGATTGGTTAGGGTGCTCCCAAGGCCGTGACTCCGCGAGGGAGTTGGTTGCCATGAAATGACTCACCGGAGATCCAACAACACGAATCAGCCGTCCGAGTCCCCCTCGGCGGTTGGGTGGACTATGTAGCGGTGTTTGTTAGTTGAGGTTGCTTATTTAGATGCGTCGGTTGTCTCTTCGCTGGCGTTCGTGCTCATCTCCTATACTTACTTAATTGTATATATTCAACGGCAAACTTATTATGTGCGAGACGCAGGCCCGGGCCCGGCCATAGCTAGCCGAGCTAGCCCCCGACCGCTCCTAGTAGAACACATCCAGATCATCAAAAGTCGAGGAATTCCCTGATGTCTTTCTCAATCAAAATGTCCAACAATGGGTCACCAGGTTTCAACCAAGAGGAAGACCGGCAACGGTGTTACGTGGCGGAATCGACCCGACAACTGGACAAGCTGCTCCCGGCGCGCGCTATATCGGAGGACCGCAGACCCTGCCGTCAGGGCAGTCCCAACTGACCGCGCACCAGGCGCAGTGGTACCCCCGCTCTCAGTACTCATTCGCAGAGAAAAGCCACGCGAAAAAGAAAACAACTCCAGATGCTTCGGTACGGTTGGCCTCGTTGCCGACATCCTTCTACTTTTACTTTTTTACTTACTATTAAATGACTTCAGTCTCCTTCTTGTTCTTCGCCTTGATCTTGTTCTTTCGTTTACATTTAAATGTAGTTCATGAAGATGCGAAGCCTGTATGAAGCGGTGAGGAAAAAAAAACATTGTCAACTTTGAAATTTCACGCATGACCTGCTTCACAGGGGTCAGGGGACAAGGCTGCACCACAAAAATTTGTTCACAAACGAACCACTGCTAAATTAATATCATGTACATTATCAGGATGACAATGGCCGTCATCATGGAAACGAACTATTTCAGGGCGTCACGAAAACGACGACAACGAGGATCATCTCCGACGATGGAGACTTATGGAAGCGATCTGGGCGTTTTCCCAGTCCAATGGTGGCATTCTTTGGCAAGAATTTCGAATGTCTGGCGAGGACACGGTGCAGTGCAGCGAGCACCCATGCGGTCAATAAGTACGAAGTTCTTTTGACCTGCGCCGTGTTTGTTGCTGCTCCTCCGCGTGTCCGCGTCCGATCGCGGTATTTTTGCGTTTGCCTTTGCATGAAGACTATCACTGCGTTCATAGTTGTCCGTGCCATGTTTCACATATTGACTTGATAATGCACCTGGAAAACGAGAAACGCTCAGTGCCTTTCTTCTCGCTGATAAGCAACCGCCGTGGAGCAAGACACGCGGGCGACTACGACCTTCAACACCGGGAACGACAACGCGAATACGTTTTATTCCGGGAATCAAATTCCTACCCGCGTTTGATGAGGATCCGTGCCGTTTTCTTTTCTATTATGACTGCCAACTGTCTTCGTTTTGCATGTCAACAAAATCGCACGTCTTTCTACGATGAGTGCTCTACATAATTACATGCATTGATCATGAGGAAAATTCAAAGTGGACGAACCAAATACTACACTCAAGACTACGCTGCTGCTTGAGGATATTTTTAGAGTCATCCTGCGTGGGTGGCTTTGCAAGCATAAAGCGCACCGCTCCGTGGAAACCAACGCCGGCTCTGCGGGGACCACCGAGCCGGGCGAGGACGTGACGCAGAATTCGTGAGCACGATTTCATCGACGAATTGAAAAACGGGGAAAGTTCGCTGAAATTAATGCAAAACTTCTACTTACAACATGAGATGAACTCGAAAGAAGCAACGAACTACAGAGAACGAAAACACTTGTATTTTCTTACAAGAACTTTTTGAAAAAAAAAAGTTAAACGACAGAAAAAATATAGAGTAAAGCGAAACAAAGACTTACTCGAGCGGAATGCTGCAGCCGTTTATGTGTACATTTAAAATATTGCGTACCTAGCGGTGGTGCTGCTCCTTGATTACTCCAACTTCATCGAGCGGTGACAAGCTGCGTCGTCGCGTGAATCTGAAACTGTTTTATCCGCATGCAAATTCCGTATGTCTCCCCCGTACTTGTTGTTTCTAAACACTTTTCAAAAAACACTATCTACAATTTCCAAAAAGGAGACTATGATAGACTCATCAAAATAATACTACCCCGAACAAACGACGGTCTGTATGATTGAAAAAAAATTGTTTGACTTGAGCATCTTTTGAGAATAAAACACGCAGAACATTGAGAATATTGTTTGACAGTGGTTGTTCCTGACTGACTTTGCCAACCACAGTGTAATTTCGTGCAAGCATGAAACAAGACAAATCAACTGGATGAACTGCATTTACAAGATACCCATCAGAGTTCACGAGCAATGAATAGTATGTAGTGAGGTTAGAAAGTCCTCCGGCTTTCTTTTCGGCGCATTGCGGACGATATCGCGCCAATTACAATTTACGATTACGAATATATAGCAACTGTAGATGACTAAGAACTCACAGCGACAGACTACCACCTGAGAGGCTGAAAAAATTAGTTTACCTTTACACGCTCGGAAAAATATGTATTAAATGCCGTTGAAAACAAAAAGACACCACACGAATTTTCCTTAGCAGGTAACCAACATGTACATACGAAAAAGTCGCAAGCAGTACTGTACAAAAATGCGTCCTGATTACACCTCCAGCACCTGCGAGGACCATGCATACTAGTAAGACGTGTGTGTGTGAAAACATAAAGAACCCTGCGCGCAGGAGCAGGGGTAACGCCGAAGTCCTGAATCAGGGCCGGCTTTGATGTAAAATGATTTCATGTGTTGGTGTTCAAATACAACAATGTGGTCTGCTTGATGTCCCAATATCACTCCGCGTCGGTCCACCAGCCATAATCACCCGACCAAAAGGAATGGCCAGACAGTTTTTTCATTTTTCTGGGATCAGGAGTTCACAACTTCCTTGGACTCTTTCTAGAAGAGAATGGAGCGGTTTCTTTCTACTAGATGCCATCGAGCGCATACTTCTCACAGTTTTTTTCGCGACCAGCTTGGATACGCCGGTGCGTTTTTTTTTCCAGTTGTCGCTCAAGATCACAATATTCTACGAAGTATGTCGCTGTCCTCAAGCGAAACGTGCAACAGCTGCGACGGGATCTTCTAAAAGATTTCAGGTCACACATGATAAAAACATACACTTTCTTCAGGACCTCCTCTACTACTGCCTCTATTGAGCAAGACCATTTTATCTTATTCCCCCTTTCGGTTTCGATTTAAGTACAATGGAATTACTCAAACATTGCGCTTCATGAAGCCTCCGTACATAACTCCTTGATTTGGACGTCAATATGATCCCTATCGGCGACAAAATTGTTCCGGCCCCCCTTCCCTGTTTGGAAAAGCATGACCAAGGTTGCCCCGGGTAAGAAGAAGTCCAACTGGTCTCTGCGCTACTTCTTCATCTCATTGTGATCTAGTCGTGTGGATACTCCTAAAATTTGCGCGTTCCCGGATCCGGTGAATGCCTGGCGCCGGGAGATCGTGAGTTTGACTTTCCGGTCCAGCCTGGTAACTACGAGCCGGTACCTTATGCTACTCGTCTCAGGGAGGCAGTAGAGCAGCAAACTAAGCACACCCTCATCTATACCCCACAGACGAATACAGTTTCTGATGCATGGACGCAGTGGGTGGCAGGGGTCAAGACGAACGAACCCAGGACGTCGACCAAGCGGCGGACGTTGGACGTGAAGAAGTGACAGTCCCAGGAGCGTCAGCTCAACAAGCAGTGGCGCTACAGCACGGAGCTGAAGAAAATGTCCACGACCACGGGGAGTTTGTCTCGCCTGAGGAACTACAAATAAACCAGCCTGGAGTAGAAGACCCAAACCCGCCGAGGAATCTTGTGAACAACGAGGAGATTTTTCTCGATGCAAATAACGGTATTTTCATTCACCACCCGGAAGGCGAAGCAGAAGCCGCACAACTTATCGAAGCCGACGATCCAGTAGAGGACGAAGACGAGGAGGAAGATCAGGGCGAAGATCAGGAGCACAACGACGACATTCGCCAACTCCACCTGCGGTTCATTGTTTACTCCTATTTTTTCACCGTCGGGCTCTTCATCCTCCTAGTGATCTCCGACCCGCAAACGTACTTGGTGGAAGACGTATCGTGTGGGAAATAAAGGCCATAGTCATCTCCGCGTGATAAAGGTTTCGAAAGCTCTGTATTGCTCCCGTGATTTGGATTTAAGTACCTGCATTTCTTACCTGGCTGATGCGGGCTGGCTATGTATTTGTTTTGAAGAAATCGGATTCATTCCGCTCGATTGCAGTCGTATCCGGTCTTTAAGTGGGTCTGCTCGGGTGCGAGCGTATTAGGTTATTTTTGCCAGTTATTTCGTCGGTAACACTATCGTCCGGACGACTTGTGTGTCAACATGCAAACGATGGAACGACTACTACGCAGTTTATCTCTAAACTCGTTGCACGTGCCATTTTTTTGCATGGTGGGATCATCGACTTTATGCGGAAATGGCTCTTGTCCCACGCGATACCCGGTACTCCCGACGCACTTGATAGCAGTCCTGTCCGTCGTCTTCGTGGTGTCTCACATCAACGGGAACCTGCTACGAGAGGCCTTCCGCATGTTGTTCTCCCGCGCAGACACGTTTTGGGGATTGACATAATCGAGTACACTGGGAGCTGCAGGGTTTTTTGCAGCTACTTGCCAGTACTACCTGTAGCACGACGCCGGATAATTTCCTGTAGATACAACAGCTGCCATAAAAGAAAATGTTGTCCTCCCTGATCTCCCTCACTCTCCAGTTCTGTACCCAGGTCATGACCACGCTCTTGACCCTCGTGTTTCTCCTCACAATGCTCCTCCACGTGTTTCCCGCCCTGGCGGACCGGGTGTTTTATGCATTGCGAATATGTCTGGGTCTGGAAGGATCCAAACTTGTCATGCTGTCTTTGGATTTAAAAAAAATCTGTATTGCATGACCAACAAGAGGAGCCCAGATTGCGCTACGCGGAGAGGGCACTTGTGATGCGGAGTAGGCATCAGAAAGCCTTCCAAAAATCTGTGATGCTAAGTCATGCACTACAGGCACGATGGGTCATGCAAAATATGCATGACAAACCCGGCAATCTTCCAGACCCAGACATAATTGCATTTGATATGTTTCATCAAACGAAGAACGCGAAAACAGCAGCTATTCTCACGACGACCTCCGGGGCGGGTGCGGGTGCAGCGGCTGCACCTCCAGCGTCGCAAGAGCAAAGCCAAGAAACTACTGCGACCGGTGCAAATAAAACAACTTTCGAGGAGAGAGTGGTGGAAGTGCTGCGAAAATCTTTCCAGTCGGCGAACTTCCAGCAATTCTTGGACACCTCCCTCAGCATATTAAGTGCAAATATATCTGGGTCTGGAAGATATGCATGTTTGTCATGCTTGTCTGGCATGGCTCTTAAATCTGTCATGCACGTTACCCAAGAGCCCCACTTTTCTGTCATGCAGAAACGCAGTTTGTCATGCAGAATAGGCAACACCAAGAAGCTCAGAAACTTGTCATGCTGAGCCAGCACTTGTGGCCTCCACATGATACGCCACCCAGCATCCCAAGTTTCCAGACCCAGACATATTTGCAATGCATACAGCAAAACCATGTGCAACAGCCTGGGCCCCAGTCTGACCGCCGCGAGCGAGAGCCCGGAGACGTGCGCGGCCGCCGGACAGCTCTTTCTCTCCGACGACGTGTGCAACCGGCTGGAGAAAATTGGCGGCATTTCCGTCCAGGACCCAAAATTCCGCGAGAATTTCGTGCGGCTCGCGCACCAGTTAGCAGCGGACAAGGAATTGCGTAAGGTCATTGGGGACGGCATACTGAATACGCTGCTGGACGAGGAAGTGCGGCTACTGTTGCGGGAGATTTTTCTGCACGCGCTGGACAACGAAAATCTGCACTCCGCCATGGTGAAGGCCATTTATCCTGTGTAAAAACATCTCCACCCCAGAGTTGTCATGCAGATCTGCGAGCACAAGAGCATTTGTAATGCGCATCCCCATGATAGGCATTTCCGATCGTGTTTTGAAACTTGTAATGCTGTAAACAGGATAAGCAGATGGATTTGTGATGCGACATCCCTTGCTAAATTGCACTACACTAGAGCCTGCAATTTGTAATGCATGACTCCCAAAACTTCGAGGTTTGTGGTGCAAAATCCCCATCTTGACTCTGGGATGGGGACGTTTTACCTTAGGATACCATTCGCGCGGGATTCACAGCCGCGGTGCAGGACGAGGAGCTCACGCAAATGGGTATAAAGTGCGTCTTCTCTTGATGACATTGAGGTGGAGTGTGCAAAGCAAATTACTTTCTTGGGTTTTACTTCCCTAGCGTGCATGAGAAATGGCTTTTGTCGTGCAAAAATGCGCATGACAAAGTAAGATCCATGTATGCGACTTCACTACATCAGGTAAACACCTGGTTATCGAGATGCTATCCGACGCACGGTTCCACCGCGCCATCCTGAAAGGCGCGATACGCATTGCAAATTCACTGCCTGGGTCAGAAGAAAGATATAAAATCTGCATGACCAGATGTGTCAGATTTGCTTTCCGATCGTTGCATCTATGTCATGTATTTTGCTGGGACTCGGTCGGCTCGTCGTTGCCCGGCAGAGCACGTCCATGAAGGAAGGTTGTGATGCCCCCGTGTGGGTGCTCCCAGGCGGCGTTTCATCAGAAGCTTCATCAAACTCTCAGTCTCAGCAGTACTGAAAGCATAAAGTTTTCAGATTCCCTTGTACCCCTTCTGACAAAGTAAGTCGTGTTTTTGCAGTTGATAAGCAATGGGCGCGATCAAGGCCGGCGTCCGTGACGCTTTGCGGGACCCTGAGTTCTATGCTACGGAAAGCTGTAACTGTACCCTTCGTCGTGTAGTAGTTCCTCAAGAAAAAGATCCGAAGTGTTTATTCATCTCAACATTGACGGCGATAGAAAGCTGAATTGAAGAACAACTTCGTCCGCGTCCGTTCTTTTTGTGTATAGTTGCAAAAATGCGCTTACGCATGATTATGCATGCTAACTACACGGTGTTGCAAATAAAACGGCTACTGTTTCTTTTCCCCTGGCACACTCCGCAAGCGGCTTTCAAGGACACCCTGGTCGACGCCCTGCAGGACGAGACTTTGCACAAGGCCGGTATGCAGGGTGCATTCGAGGCCATTTTGCCCGACGCCTTCAAGAAGGACCGGCCGCACTCCAATCTGCACTCGAGCTCCACGAACCTGAATTCCACCGCGTCGAAAGACCACAACCACGACTACACAATAGACAGCAGCAGTCACGGGCAACTACAGCAGAACGGAATAGTAAACCATCATGACCAGCACGGTTTGACCTCGGCATCGAATGTTGCGGGGATCACTACGACAACTTCCGGCGGCACGCAAGCTTTCCATGGTACCAGCGCTTCAGCGCCACCTCGCGGTGGCGAGCAGCCGTCACAGTATTCAAGAGCACACCAATATCAGGACCAGAATGGTGGCAATGGTTTTTCCGGAACATCATCCTCACACAGTTCAGCTTCAACATTCGGTGTCGCGTCAACAGATCCTTCGCAGCAACAGTCCCTGACCTCGTCATTACCTATCAACCTCCCAAACACGCAGAGCATTCTGAGCAACATCCAAAACACCACGCAAAACCTGGAAAACCGCTTCCGCGGCATGTTCGGGGCGACGACGTCCCCGCAACTGATATCGACGACGAGCTCCTCGTCGAATGTAGAAAATAACTACCCCAGTTCGAGTGAACAGCAACACCAAGATCCTGTTGGGGCGTCCTTTTTCGCGCGACCCTCGGCAGGACGAGCGTCCGCATCGGCGAGTAGTTCTAGTTCCCCTCCTCTGGTGGCAAATAAAAGTCCGAGCATAGCAGGAGGGTCAACATCTTCGTCCGCTTCAAAAATACAGAAACAACAGCAGCTGGACATGAATGTGAATCTCGTCCGGGAGGCAAACGCTAATGGTGGCGAGGACGTTATCCTGATTAAAAACGTCCCCACCGCAGAGTTGTCATGCAAATGTGCAGCTCCATGAGAGGCATTTCCAGCCGTGTTTTGGAGGAATTTGTAATGCTTTCAACAGGATGAGAAAATGGCTTTCTCGTGCGGCTCCCCTTGCCAACCCCAACTACACTGCAGAGGAAAACTTGTCATATACAGCTCCCAAAACTTGAAGATTTGTGTTGCTAGATTCCCAACTTGACTATGGGCTCGTGGGGACGTTTTTGCTTAGGATAGACGTGGGCCTCTTTTCCAGCTCGGACATGGAACAATTGTCCATCTCGCAGACGCTGAAAGGAAGAATAGTAAAGCCTGGCGGTACTACAAGTAGTTCTAGCGCAGGAGCAGCCGCGAGAACAAATACCGGAGCCGCGCCATCCTCGCCGACCATCGGAACAACTACAGGTGGTGGTAGTGGTATACATCCGAAGAGCCCAGCGAGTTTCAAAGCATCTTCGCCTGGATCATCTGGAGTTTCCGGCGGGGGAACGAAAAACAACAGCGGGGGGCAAAGGAGGAGATGATAAGTAACAGCACAATCCAAACAAGAAAGAAAAACAAATTCTCATATATTTGCGCCAATCGCAACTGCTGGAAAGTCACCTTTGTTCTCGAACGGACACCACGCCTGGGACTTTCTAAGCAGGAGTACTGAACAACTCTGTATCTTTGCATGCATGCAACTCTTCGAGGAACAGAAAATCTAATTCCAATACTACCCATGACCGCCGACGCGAAGCGGGGTTCATTGAAATAGGATGGGTCTTCTTGACGAAGGCCTCGGTGTTCCCTTCATACGTCGTTTCAGATGTTGTCATAATGATCCTTTTCATTGTTAGAGGGCCACTCGCATGCCTGCCCCAAACGCAAACGATCACGGACTTCCATGTGTCTATTATTTTCATCATGCCCCTGTACTATCCATACGCTTCTTTTACTTTTTTGGTTTCGACAAACTTGCGTCTCTCTCCTATTCTTATCAGGGCTGAGGCAGAACTGCGTTTCCTGAATCCGAACTAGGTACACGCTCGCCGGTTACTTTCTCGTCAAAACGCGCGAAAAAAATACCACTGAGCATTATTTGCGAACTCGATCGCGACGAATAAGCAAAGATTGCGACACGCCCACGATCAAAATGACAGCTGTGTTATTCCCTACATGAATGATACGAAACACAACGATTTATCTTGTAAGAACGATCGCATCGCTAGTAAGTTAGAAGTTTGAAGCGACCGACGTTCACTAATCTCACGACCCTTATCTCCCCTAATCCGCGGATCAGCCTCCGAGCAGCTAGTGCTCGTCTGCAAGAAGAAGAAGAAGACCTCTGCACGACGCCCTTAAGTGGTGCCACTCCGTGAAGGACAGCGTCGTAGACCAAATGGTTGATTGCAACATCACGAAGAACGACTTTTGCGGCCCATTGCCATTGTTGAAGTTGACCTCTATTTTTTCCCTCACCAAGTTCGTAGACGCTGTAGCTGCAGGTCCTCCGAATAGAAGGCGTTACTGATCACAATCATCTAGACCAACAACGAACTCCACCGATTTTTGAAAACCTCGCCCGTGGCCCTGTAGCTGATCTTGAAGCACGACCAACACGGATGAGCGTACAAGTTGCACTTCTAGCACGACACACATAGAAGAGAACGAAAGATCCTGTTGTCCCGTGGTGTCATCCAGCACTCGATGTTCATGAACTTCTACCTCGCGAAGGCAGCGATTCTAGCACTAGAACTTGTTGAACTACTACCTGTAAAAATTTCTCCACGAACTACTTCTACGTGAACCTCACCTGAATTCGTTAAAAAATACGAATTCGGAGGCAAATTCAAAATTTCCGCACGACGACAATATTACGTATAAAAACTTCAGTCTTGGTGCGAAGGATTTTTTCGAGACCCAGAACATTTTCATCACCTACTTCAAGATCAAGACGCTACATTCCACTTGCGCTTGTTCATCTAAGACCACAAGGCGAGGACGACCTCTTTTCGTACTACAGTTAGATTTCGCTACTGCTACTTTGCGCTGCTGCTGCTGCTGCTGCTGAATTTGTACTACACGAGGACGACTTTCACATTGTTCAGGAATATTAAACCCTCCACGACACCTACAAAACACCATGTCCGACTACTCCCGTTCCCGCTCCCGCAGCGCGCGCAAGCCCGCCCGCCGACAGCCATCCCGCCTGTCCGGCAGCGAGTCTCCGCCCCCGCGGGACAGCAAGAAGTCCCGTCGGTCGCCCCGACGCTCCCGGGACCGCAAGGAGGTGTCCGAGTATGCATTGCAAATGTGTCTGGGTCTGGAAGGATGTAGCTTGTCATGCTGGATCTGGATCATGCAAAAATTTGTGTTACATGATTGCCAACAGCGGTCCATTTTTGACCACGTTGGGAGTGAGTTTCTCATGCAGGATAGGCATGATACAGATCTCACAGAATCTGTGATGCTAGATCCTGCATTCCAGACCTCGTGTCATGTTGAACCTGCACGAGAAGTCTTGCAATCTTCCAGACCCAGACATATTTGCATTTGATACCGAGGAGCCTACCACGAAGGAGGAGATTCGGCTGACGGATAACGACGCGGCGTTTGTGTTGGGGAAGAACGGAAAGACGAAGGTGAAAATCGGCAAGGCGTCGGGCATCAAGTCTATCACGTTGGACGATTTGACCTTGCGGGCCACCGGACCGAAAACGGCCGTAAAGCGGGCCATCAAGTACGCCCGGTTTCTGATGGCGCAGCGGGCCGGACCCGTGGTGGTGAACAAAAAAGAGCTATGCTCTGCAAAAGTATCGTACTCGTAGTAATTGCTGTTCTGCATTACAAGTCTCTTTCCCAAGGTAAAACAGCATTACAAATTTCATTTGTAATGCTAAGTCAATTTGTAATGCAATTCATACTAGAACGATAATTTTGCAATGCACAAGAGCACGACGAGGGTGATCTGACGCTGCTCGATGTGCCCAACGCGGCCATCGGTTTTGTCACGGGCAAGGGCGGAAACTACCAAATGCAAAAATGTCTGGGTCTGGGAGATTGCAAGATTTGTCATGCTTGCCTGGCATGACTTTGAACTCTGTGTTGCATGGCCGCGAAGAGCTCCTCCTCCCTGTCATGCAACAACGCAGTTTCTCATGCGGAGTACGCAACTCAGAACCATGGAAAAAACTTGTCATGCTTGGAAGCGCATTATAGTGAGTTCACTATTCCCTTTCTTGCATCACAAGTTTCCAGACCCAGACACTTTTGCATTTGATAGAAACTTCCTGCGCGCGATCGAAGACGAGTGGAACGTTCTCATGTTCTTCGCGGAATATGAAGGTACTATAGCAGTTCTACTTCTACTTGCACTTGTTGTCGGATTTGTGCATGACAGACACTGTGCTTTTTCGTTTGACCACATGACAAGTTCCTTTTAGAAGTTCTGATAGCAGAATAAACGATCTCTATGTCATGAAAAGACTCCTGCATCAAATGGCAAACAACGACCAAAATCTTCACAGGCCGTACCGGTATGCAGAACTCCATCGAGACTCTGGCGATCTTTGGGGCAGACCGCCGCAACCGCCGCGGTGCGGAGCTGAAGGTTTTGTCGGCCATTGAATCCAAGGTACCGAACTGGTTCGAAGACCACAAGGAAGACATTCTCGGGCGGGACGTGGACGGAGAGGACTGGCGGAGTGGGGTCATGCCCTTTTCCGATGACTCGCAATTGTCCTTTGCGTTAGGGAAGAACGGGGCGACCAGGAGAAAGTTGGAGCGGGCCAGTGGCTGCTTGTTGCAGTACATCGGAAACATCGCGATTTTTACGGGTATAAAGAGATTAAAAACTTGATCATGTTCAAATTTAATTATGTAAAAGAAGATGAAGCCATATTTGCGTTGCTGCTGGCATTGTTGGACCATCTCGTCAGAAAAATCAGAATGAAGTTTGTTCATCGCATGAGAAACAAGTGATGGACATGGATTTGGATGCTGATGATTATTTCTATCCACAACAGGTGACCGGGTACAGCGCCGCACGTTGCGACAGTACATGAAGTGGCTCTTTGCCCAGTTGGACGGACCCGTCGACGTCCCAGATGCAGCGGACCGCGATGATTGCACCATGCTCAAAATCCCACAGGTATTCTTTATGTGAAGTTCTTGCCCGCCGTAGTTTTACTTTCAATCTAGAAGAAGAGACTCTACAACTGGGTGTTCTACTCGCTTCCCGATGTTAATATCTGTGATCCACATCCAACAAAAACAAGTTCCAGGATGAAATAACCCATGCTACAGACAAAAAGTCCTTGTCCTTACGACCGCCTTATAGACAACTAGTATCTAACAACCCAATCAGGATTGCGTCGGTTACATCACTGGTGCCCGGCGCGCGGCCCTTTCAACGATTGAAATGGATTTTGGCTGCCTGATGTTCTTCACTGGCAGCAAGAACGACAAGGCCGAGTTTGAATGGCTCGCGATTTTTGGTGGCGAGTCGGAGAGGAAGGGTGCAGAATTGAAGGTCAAATCTTCCGTGGAATCGAAGGTATGGGAGGAAATTTTGGAATCCTCACAGGTAGCAGCGGAAGCAGATTTTTTGGCATATGTATTTCTTACAGATACTAGCTTTAGAACCCGTGGAGGTGGCCGTCGTGCACATTGCATGCAATGCAGCAGTGGCGGCAAAGGATGCTGTAACCGCAAACTTCTGTTGTATCCGAAGATGCGACGGCCAGAAATTCATCTCTCACCGAGTGGTAAATAATCCTGTCGGGGGGTTCCAAATTTCCAAAGCATAACACTCCAAGGGATACTACTCAAGCGACTTGAAGCAGAACAAAAAGGACTGGGATAAGCCAGGGTATACAGATCATGATGTTATTTTTGAATTTTATTTTTCGGTGCTAAGGTCCTACCCGTGATGTTTTTCTGCATCTAAGAAAGACAAACCTGCTCGCTTGGATTTTGCTCGTATTGAAGTCGAACACATGCAATAAATCAGGTTCTCCACCGACATTATGTACATGGCCGATGACGATATTGGCTACTGCTTGGGCAAGGGAGGTTCGACTCGCGTCAAGCTCGCCAATGCTTCCGGGTGCCACCTGCAGGTAAGAAGTACAGCCTTTGGATGTCGTGAGTAGTTTCTTTTCGCTTTGACTGGCTCTCGTTGATGCGCCTTGTTTTTGCCTCCAGGTTGGAAGGCTGGGACTTCTGCATTTTTCATAAACATATTTTTTGACTTCATTTGTGTAGTCCGAGTCAGAGCATGGCGTAGGTGTTTATTCCAAGGGTATTAGGCTCCTGGAGGTGAAAATCGTTTTGTCAACCTTTTCTCAGGGTCGTTTGATGCAAGAAGACAAACCTGGCTGATCGTGAGGCAAGACGAGGGGCAGCTCTAGTTCGTTGTATTAAAGCGACCTCGTTCAACATCTCGTTTTTGTCCAAAGAGCTGCTCGTTCTTGATCGTGCCCTTTCCCTCCTACCTGAGCAGTCCTGTACATGAACCTGATATTGTTGAAGATCCTCTGTCGATCTGCCTCCTCTACTAAGTCTACGACTTCTACTTGTGAAGGAGCCCAGTCAGCACGCGCTAATTCACCCACGACGTGAAGACCCCACGGCCGCCACACAATGCCTTGCAATTGAGCTGCGGTCTGAACGACTAGAATCTGTAGCATAGCTTGTGGAGGTGGTGTCGCAGCTCTTAGTTCAGGCGTGGCAGAAGCGTCGCATCAGAGCGTCGATATCGACGTCAACTAGCACACGCTTTTCAACATTCATTTCTTCGGGGGTAGAAAATTTGCAGTGTCAAGGCACAACTTCGTGATCTTCTACGTCGACGTTTATTTCTTTCGTGAACAAGCTGTCGCGCCTTCTGAGCCGAGGTCGTGGTCTACTTTGGCCTGCTCCTTTTGCGCCGCACAACGCGACGACATCACTGTCAACCTGTTTGAGGCCATCGCGACTTGTAAAAGTAGTACTGACTAGACTCCAGGAAGAACTGGTGCACATCGTTCTTGTCTCGACCTGCTGCTCGTGCTCTCCCGTGCCGGACTTGCTCCTGTCGCCTAGATAAAGAACAAAGCCATCAAGTTCAACGTCAAGAACGTCAAGGTCGCCTGATGTCGTGAAGATTTTCATCTCCTCAACCGCCACCTCAAGCAGGGTGGTCAACATTCCTCGAACTAGGAATAATTGAAATTCTTGAACATGATCATGATCTACTACAACAAGTAAGTCAGCACTTAGTTTTTCCCACCACAACATCCACATCAGTACATCGGGCAGCACGCTTTGATTGCCGGATCCCTGGAGCGACGCCGCAACTGCCGGGACTACATCAAGTGGCTCTTGGAGCAGCGCGACAGCAAGAACGGCAAGATGGACGTGGATGCCTCCGGCCGCGACGATATTAACGAGTTCACCGTGCCCCACGAATGCATCGGCTGGGTGACGGGCAAACAGGGCACGGAGCTCCGCAAGGTGGAGGAGCAGACGAAGACGTTCTGCTTTTTGGCCCGAGATCCCAAGCGGGATGGCAAAGAGCGCTTGCTCATCTGCGGACTGCAGGAGGGAAGCAGGAATGAGATCGTCGGTATTGAAGATTTTTATTTACTTATTTGTTTTCAAAGACTGAGAAGGAGGAATCTGAATCTTGGAATCTTGATCTGGATAGGAATAGGAAGAATTACTGCATGTTAATTGCTCGTCTCTGGGAAGAGCATCCTAATAAATGCACTTTCGACATGACGAAATTCCTTTTTTTACGACTACTGCTCAGGTCGTATGGGCGCCCAAAAATTGGTGGAAGATTTGGTTCGCGAAAAACAAACTATGGACTAGTATGGAATGGAAACTTTTGACGAGGAGCTGTTCTTTCGAAGGCATGCTTGCTTCGTGTGCATTGATTATGATGACCGCACTTCTGGGACGAGTTTACTTGCCTGCTAGTATGCATCTGAATTCGAATTCCTGAAAAACAAGCCCGAGCTTGTCATGCAAGTCATGTATACATAGCTCTGAGTAAAATTTTCCTGTCCATACCTCCCGTGAGAGCAGACGAGGAGGTCGCGACCGCCGCGACAGCCGTATTGTGAGGAAAAATCTCCCCTCCCCATACCAAGGCGGGAGACTTCAGAAAATTTGTGATGCTGATTTGACGCCACAAATCGTCTCTGTATTGCAAGGAGGCAAATCCAAAAGCCCCGCCGCGGTCTGCAGGCAATTTGTAATGTTGTATGAACTACGGAGGACATGCCTGCCTTGCTAGGCGGCTACACCAAAACGTCCCGACTCCGGCTTCGTATCTGTCTGCAGTTCTCTACTGGTACTGCAAGACTGTACACAAATCCTGCATCACAGAATTCCATTTCGCTATGGGGACGAGGGGATTTTTTCTTTCGATAAGCCGTGCCCCCCGCGGGCGCCGGGACAGTCGGGGCGGCGGCCGACGCGAGGAACGCGGACGCAGTCGTGATGCCCCAAGGTACGAGGAACGCGGCCGCGGGCGCCGGGATAGCGGTCCGGCGGAGAGGAAACGCGAAAGTCGGGGTCGCGAACGGTATGGTGGCGACCGGGGGCGCGGGCGGTACTAGAAACGTAGACGATAGAGCTGTTTCAATTGCCTATGATAGAACTTCTACACGGTGAACTACCAAATTGAAAAATTTACTAGTTTTCAAAAAAAGTGAAATCTTGTTTCACATGAACCTATTGTCTAGAACAAACATCACTCACATTTTTACTTTGGATCATTGCAACCCAGCACCAGCAGGGAAGCTGTACTTTTTCTACGACCCAGAATGATGTATCACATTTTCGACGCCACCGATATCGAATATCATTATCATTTTGAGAGACCTAAGCTAGATTTTGTTTAAAGAATACAGCACGTTGCTCTGCCACATCTACGTGCAGCAGACTAGAAGTTCGTTCGTTACATTGGATTTATTTAGCTCTGATTTTATTAGTGGCAGTCACACGCGAGTTGTAATAAAGAGCCAAACGAGCAACCCGCGTTTATTATTGTCACCCTCCCCACCTGCTCGCGGTATTTATTCATCAAGTGACTTGCTATGAGTTCTGGAAAACTGCTAAACCCTCTGAAGAGCACCGACGCATCTTTCGCAACAAAGAGTTGCTGTTGTGTTGTTACGGAACCACAGACAAAGATGACGAACATCTGACCCAGAACAAAAAAGAGTACGTACAAAGCTAGCAGGAGGTCGCGCAAGAGCACGACCAGGAGCAGGGCTGCACGTCACGTATTATAATACGGTGCGGTGTTGCAAGTAGCAAAATTGTTCCGTGTCTTCCTTCCGTGGTCGTCTAGTTCGTCAGCACTTCAGCGTGTATAAAAGTCTTTCTCTTTGTTCTCAAAGTTTCTTTATAGCTCCCGCTGGTATGAGAAAAACGTAAAAAAGCATAGAGGAGAAGCATTCCCAAATGCGACACTAAGGCTAACGATCTATGTGATCAAGCTGCTGATAGATACTATGTAGCAAACCTACAAACCGAAACGCCTTCACAACAAGCAGGCAGAGAGATGAATGCACTTAGTGCAGCTGCAGGTTCAAAAATAGAGCACCAAAGTGAAGGAACATTTCAACTGTAAAAATGCCTTCTTCCTGCAAATTGTCCTCTCGCACTTTTCTTCACTGTCAGCGCATGTGAATAAACGCAAAGCACGTACTGAAAAAACTTCAAAGTCGGAACACGAACTGGTCAAGAGAAAATAAACTCCGATAGCCCAGTACTAGAACTCCATTCGTAAACCCCCCTGCTCCCTATCACTCGCCCAAGATGGCCGGCTCTAGCGGCGTCAATTTCCCTTCGGACCCAAAAAATCCGACCGGTCCCCGGCCCACCACGGATCTCAACAAGGGCGCCTTTGTCGCCGCGGTGGCGAAACAGGACGCGAAACTCGCGGAAGAGATCACAAAAGTGAAGAACTGGCGTTTTGGATACAGCAGCCACGTGCTGAAGCAGACCGAGCTCGCCTGCAAAAGCTACGACACGGCGTTGAATATCGCAAATGACGGGCTGGACTACCTGCACACTACGATGGTCTTCGAGCGCGATGGGAAGGAGCTCCCGGTCCGCGAGGCCATGGCCAAGTACTTTTCGACGAAGTCGGACAAGCTGTTTACGGCAATCGTGAAGGGAGAGAAGAAGCAAACCTCCCCAATCGGGCTGGAGGTTCCGTACGGAGGCAAGGTGCTACGAGGGAACGCTATGGATTGCAAATATGTCTGGGCCTGGAAGGATGCGAACTTGTCATGCGTGTTGCGGATCATACAAAAATCTATGTTGCATGACTTGCAAAAGCTCGTCCCCATTTCTGGCCATGCTGAGAGGGTATTTCTTATGCAGAATAGGCATCACCAAGGGGCTGCAAAACCTGTGATGCTATGCCCTGCATTCCAGCTTTGGCGGAGCTTGGAAAAACTGCATGACAAATCTCGCAATCCCCCAGACCCAGACATATTTGCAGTTCATAAACGCCTTGATGACGCAAATCGACGCGTGGGTGCGGAAAGGAGTCATCGAAATGTCGGCTGGACAAAGTTTGATGAACGTACCTGCTACTTTTATGCGTGAATAATGTACGATTTTCATATTTGAATGAGGTGCTCTTTGCAGCAAAGTATCAAAGATTTTGTTTTTCTTGATCGGAACTACTTCCCGTTGTTCTTCGCATGAGAAGCAACTAGAAGGACAACCAAGCAACAGCATCCGTCACCATCAGAAATCAAGCACAAAATTTGACAAACAGGTGATCCAAAACGAGCAATGGACGGATTTGTCGGACCTCACAGTGGTCCTCTGCGGTGCCGGTTCCGCCATGGGCCCCTACCCTCTGTTGATGGCAATGGGGTGCAACGTGGTAGCCTTGGATCTGCCAAGGCCCGGGATCTGGGAAAGACTCATCAAGATTGCCAAGGACTCGCCAGGTATAATTATGTTGGGCTTTCTTGTTCTCACCGGTTGTGGAGAAGGTGAAGAACCCTGTTTCTTGTCGTTCTTCCCATTCCTATTCCTTCGTGCTGCAAAAATACAAGACTGCAAAAATGCTTTGTGATGCATCAACTACATCGCAGCCTTTTCTAATCGTCCGCTGCTCATCTATCATCCCAGGTACCCTGATCTTCCCCGTGAGCAAGCAGAACGCCAAGCCCGAGGAGTTTACGCAAGTGGCCGGGTGCGACCTGCTGGCAGACACCCCCGAGGTCCGCTATCCTATGTAAAAACGTCCCCACCCCATAGTCAAGATGGGATTGGGAAATCTGCCACATAAATCAATCAGTTTTGGTTGTTTCGGATGACAAGTTTGCCCTCGTAGTGTACTAGCCCTGTTTAGCTAATGCAGCAGCATCACAAAGCTAGCCGATCGCGCTGATTCTAGCGTGACAAATTCCAAAACGCGGGTAGAAAATGCTTCTCATGGGGCTCCGCATGAGAAACTTTTTTGGCATGCAGATTTGCATTGCAACTCTGGGGTGGGGACGTCGACGTTTTTGCTCAGGATATCCGCAACTGGCTGCTCACCGTGCAGCCCAACGACCGGCTGGTGATTGGCGCCTACGCGTACTTGGACGGCCCCCTGTTCGTCCGGGTGTCCGTCGCCATGGACGCCATCATTGAGTCCCTGGTCGAAAAGCGCAAGAAAAAGCCGGCCATTGCCTACCTCTGCACGCCGACGGACGCCCACCTCTGCGGCGCGGCCGCCAACACGCAGGCGGCGGCGGAATGCCGGCGCAGCCCGTTTTGGCAGAAGCTCTACTGTGGGTTCGCGCAAATGTTTTGCGCACGGAGACGGCTGGTGAAAAACGCGCGAAAACCGGTGGTCGCAGAAAATATCAAATGTAAACATGTCTGGGTCTGGAAACTTGTGATGCTGGGTGGCGTCTCATGATGAGGCTACAAATGCTGGCTCAGCATAACAAGTTTCTGAGCTCCTAGGTGTTGCCTATTCTGCATGACAAACTGCGCTTCTGCATCACAGAAAAACGGAGCTCTTGGGTAACGTGCGTGACAGATTTAAGAGTCATGCCAGACAAGCATGACAAACGTGAATTCTTCCAGACCCAGACATTTTTACAGTTGATAGTTGCAGCTGCACCACCAGGAAAAAGCCCAGCGGCCCCGCCTGCCCGTAGCTCCAGTCGAGACACTGCATCAGTGCCGTGGTGAGCAGAATTCCCAGCGCGAGAAAACCCAGGAAAACCGGGATGCGGTCGAGGTTGATCTTCATCTTTCGTGTTTTGTCGTAGTACTACTTTGGTATTGCTAATTCTATTTCAGTACGTGCGTCAAATGAAAATGATATAAACTACGCATTTAGAAACTGTTGGAGAAGTAGAGGTGGAGTCCTTTCAGTCACGTCTGACACAGGCCTATCTAAGTTGCAGTAGACAAAAAATAGAAACTGTTGCTATCCTCGAGAACGTGACGGATAAGTGTCTAGGCGTGGATCACCAGAGCGGCTATGCACTTTCTTCAACCGATCGCGTTGATCATCTTCAATTGTCTTTTTCTTCATGTCGACGGTGCAAACACAAAGGAACTTCAAATTAGCAATTTTACGATAGGAGCTTCGAGCCTTGACTGCGCTAAAGTAGTGTTAGATTCTCTGTCACCCGCGAGCAAACAAATTCAAAATCGTGAAGATGCTTTCGGACCGCATGATCCGCAGGGGAACTTTCCATGCCTGTTGATCCTGTCCATTGGTCCAGAGGATGAATGAAGGAAGCAGATCCAGACGGTAGAAACAAATAGAACTACTACATTCATACATTTCATTCCGTTCTGCCCTTTCTTGTTCTGACGATCTGAAAACTTGGCGTTGCCACTACGCAACACAAACAACTTTTCCACTTGGTCATGCCGGCACTTGCCGCTAGTTTGATTCAGGCATGGGCTGCGGCACGCTGCAAGACCACCTACATTCGCTTTATTGCGACTCTACTTTCATCCATCGTACAGGTACACGAAACAGAGCCGGTGGTCCTTGCATTCAAAAAAGCACAGTGCTAGAGCTACTAGTAGCAGGTGTTAGTATTTTTTATTGTTTCTCTTTTCTGCGCATAGTACTTACACTTAGTTTTGTCTTGTTGACTTGACGTTGACAAAAAGGAAAATCTGTAAACTCGAATGTTGTACGTTTCTAGCCTATTCTCGGCACTCGTTCCGTTCGTCTC